GCAACTGACCACTCCATCCCATTTTCGTGGGCTGTCTAAACGCCACGCTCTGGGTCCTAATTTGACCCCGAAACGTGGGAAACAATAGATGCTCACCTGCCAATGATATTCTTAGACAAACCGACGAAAATGTGGATTGATTGGTCGCAAATGCAGTTAATTCAGTGTTTTTTTGTTTCGTTTTTTGGGGGTTGTTTTTTGGGTGTTTTTATTTTGGTTTTTTTTTTTTGGTTTGTTTTTTTTGTTGGGGGGGGGGGGGGGGGGGGGGGGTATTTGTGGCGGGGGTTGGTGGTGTGGGGTGGGGGAGAGTCAGATGTCAGTAAAAATCGGAGCCTTTAGTTATGGCAGTTATTTTTTTTTTTTCGGCATTGTCAGTAAACGCAGTGACCAGAATATACATGTAACATCATCTGCCACCATTCCAATTCACAGTCTTGACAATTGAGTATGTGTTGTACTGACCTTATGGCACTCGCTCAATCCACCATCTTTTTTTTGTGATCGGATCCAAAGTCGAATCTTAAAAGAGTCGCCGTTGCGATGTCTCTAATACCGCTGACGACGACGTAAAACAACATTCAGCATTTGACTCACATTCTATTTCTTCATTCTGGTTGTATTGCATGTCTAAAAAGTGTAAAATGATATTCCGCTAATCCGGATTTTCGTTTATCCGGTCCACTGTACAGAAAAACGGTTCCGTCCGGATAAACGAGTTGCCCTGAATGTGTGACAGGTCAGTATATTCAGATGGCTCAGGTATAATCTCACACGTCTAGCCGTCTGTAACAACCATGAAGGTGAAATCGTGTCAATGTCATGCATATCTTCATTAAAATTCTGACTGTCATAAATGCTGACTCGACATTTAAGGCAAGTTGAAGAATGGGGCTGATGCGCCAGATTCGTTTCTTAGGTTTGATTTTCTTAGAGACCACATGTAGGTATGTGTATGATTTCTGATTCTATTGTGATTTTAATAGTTGACAAAACACCCGTTTTATCTATTAACAAAGACGTATGTCAGGATGTCTTAAAAATGGATATTTTAAAGGGTAAGAAATGGAATAAACCTGTAATTTAAATTTTAAATTATATTATGTATATAGGGTTATATTGTAGTGCAATACATTTCATCTAACAAGTATGTTCATTGTGAGTCTATGTTTATACTATTAGTCATCTACACGTCACCAGTTACCATTGTCGGGTGGGTCTTTCCCTCACCACACATGCCACAAACCACCCCTATTCCCATTGCAACCCACCCCGTCAGCTTTTAGGTTCCCAAAGTCGACACGTGGTCTGCGAAAGCCCTTAATCTACCCCTATCCCAAAGCCACCCCAGCCCCGTCAGATTTAAGCTCCCAAAATGACACATGGTTTGTACTGCCGCAAACGTACCCCTATCCGGTCTGTCAACTTATCGGTACCCCGGTGTGCACATGGCGTGTGCTGCCAGCTGGCGCTGAAGACAACGGCTATCTGAACAGGCTGATCAAATTGACCGTTCTCTTCTACACCCCGACTGACACAGACAGTAATCAACAACACCCAACAGTCACGCAACAGCCCTCCCCTCGCGCTCCAAACATGTAGGGGTCTGTCTCGTACATGCCACCATCTCACATGCAAACGCATGTAAGGAGGACCCCCACCCCCCTAAAACAGACATATGATAAGTCCCCCCCCCCCCCCCCCCCTCCCGCGCCTTGCTTGCAACATTCATATCTGTCTCGCTACAGCACCAGTGTGACCTCGACGTGTTGCCGTGACACTGCACTTCTCTCCCCCAACCCCCCACACCACCGCACTGCCTTCTGTGATGAACACTCGCCATTTCCTCCCCTCTGCATACCCATCCGTTCACAATGTACCCTTCCCGTCACATATCACTGCTATCTCCTCCTTCGTCAGGGTAAACCAACCAACCAACCCCCCCCCCCCCCCCTCGGAATAATAAGCTCACCACAAACGCGCTTAGTATCTCATCACATTGCATCAAGTTGTCAAGTGTTAACCCAACCCAACTCTCCAGGGGCACACAGTAGAGACCCCCCCCCCCCCCTCCCTCCACCAAAGTGTCTCTCCCCGACGAGCACGCACACCTCACACACCGCGACTACGCACCCCCTTTCAACCCCCCCACCCCACCCCACCCCCCCCACCCCCACCCCCCACCCCCCACACACACACCACCACCACACACACACGCACAGCCTCAACCCTTCTTTCTTCCACCTCCATGCAAACATTACATGGTATTTCGAAACGCGCTAAACAGCCATGCTCCTTCCACCTCCCGACCTCCCTAACCCTACCCCACACCCAACCTTGTCCACCACTGCATGCTGTAGAAAAGTCCTCATCACAAAATACACCGAAAAACGTGGAGCGTCCTCCATAATACCAAGCATCTGACCTCCTCCACCCCACCACCTCGACCCATTCCACTTCCCCCCCCCCCCCCCCCCCCCCCCCCTCTCCTAATAGACACACCACTGAGAATCCATCCATCCGCTTCGTAACCGAAAATCCAAATATTCCTCAGTCACGGAGCGAGATTTTTCTGCTAAACTCGGAAAATATTGATTTGTGTTGGCGATATCGTGTCGCACTCAGCATTAGCCAGATGCCCGCAGTGAACGCTCAGTCTCAGCTATTGTGTAGGGATGAGCAGGATTAGGATTAGGTACAGGGCTGCTGGGCTTATTCTCGGTCATTATGAACAATGGAGTTTATGGCACATATTTGCCAGATATTGATTTTGGCCCTCACCATCCAGCAATGAGATCTGCGTGTGGCTCGCCTCAAGTCAATAGGTATAGGGAGATGCTATTATTAAATGACTATTGTTATCTCTTCGCGAATAATATTATTTTAATTTTAATAACTTCGACACATGTTGTGAAACAGTACATACCCTCATGATATTGTTATATATACGTTATACATGTACAGTATCAAAGTATTATTTAAATACAATCCAAATATATGACAAAGGATACACCCTCTGGTTATATAGTAACAAAACATGGAAGTCGTGTGTAACACAATATCATAGGACAAAAATGTAAAATCGCTTATTTTAAATTGCCAGTGCTTTAAATTGAAATCGCCATAATATCCCGATAGTAGTTTACAGAGGTTTTACAATAATTATTACAATAATGCATGGTTTAAACTGAAAAAGGTTGTGTATCTAAACATAAAAGCATGCAGAACAACGTCCAAGCTAATCACACTTAATAATCCTTTAACGCGCGTATCGATTACCTGTAATATATTTTTAAAAGAATGGATTACATGCACTTTGTTTCATATAGCCAACATATACATCAAGTTAATGGTTTATTGGTCATGACAAATGCATGTCTGACGCAGCTAACCTGACACTTCGTTGCACAAGCCGGTGCTTGGTTTTAACATGAATAAAGTACGCATGGCGAATGTATGCGGAGTCTCACATATGTTAACCTTAACATCGTAGCGTATTGATATGAAGACTATACAGATAGGATTTTTTATAAGTTGGGGATCCAAAACAAAATATATTTCATACACAAGTAAGCATTTTTCTTTGATTGGTAAATTTGTATTTCATTCTGCAACACGTACAATATATATATCTCATAATAAAATTGTTCATATTTTCACTTTTCCACTGTAGTCATGTGCCTTGTGTCCTATGATCGTTATGTCTGCACTGGAACTAAAATAGTTTTACGAACGAATTATACATATTCCATAGCGTGAGCGACAAACACACGGTCAATATTTCACAAGAGAGTTGTCAATATACAAACAGGCAGGTGCGCGTTATAACGAAACGGTATTGTAAGTATAATCGTATTTCAAATATGTGACGAAGTCAGTACTGTTATGTGATCATTATGGAATATATTGCATTTGTTTTAATCTTTCATAAAATTAATGACTTCAGCTGTTGTTAGAGCATGTCGAGGACAGGTGCGCGTTATAACGGTGTGCTATGTAACGCAATTTCTCTCTATAACATGATGATTTCCAAAGGGGTGTATACAGATGTATGCCGTGCGTTCCTGTTATCAGCAGCTTTACCAATCGATATCGATAAAACACAAGGCCGACATGGAATAGACACCTAATTAGTTCATATTAAATAGCGATTCATCGTTACACGAACTTACATCGGACCAGAACGCGTTATAACCGAGTTGACATCTAAACAATGTTTCTGAACAAGGCGTCTTTAAGATTATCAAATCTCGCGTACCCACGTGCTGGTTCTTCCTCTTAGTAAGGAAACTCCACTAATTCCACTTACATTCGTCAGTTTCCGTATCGACAAGCTGAACTGAAATTCCGTCTCTCGAGCACATTTGGTCACGCCCATTTATTTCGTGGTGTCGTCGAGAGCTGTCGCTGTATATTTTCTCTCCATCAAAATGGAAGAATCTAATGCCTTTCAAACTCGATGGTATATTTCACAATTTTTGTTTATTTGTGTCCCCTTTTCGTCCGATAATACGTTTAATTTTATTTCGTTTTTTTTCGTTTTCGTAAAATGTCTATGTGTTATAAGTATCAAAATATAATAATATGGAATAAATACTTCAGCATCACTTTGTATGAGATAACCACTAGTTTTGAGTTTAAGTGTGTGTGTTGTGCATATTTATATAATCTAACACATTCTATGGTAAATAATATTTGCATATCCTAATAAAATCAATAAGATCGATGTCAGTTATTGATATTAACAATTCATAGAGTCGTTAATTAATTGATTTAATGAAAATATTATTTTCGGGTTTTTTTCGGGATTTCGTTTTGAAGTAAGAAAAAGTGAAAGTGAAATTAGATTGGTGGGTGATAAAATGCGTAGGTATTTATAAATACACTATGTCACATCTAAAATTATTAAAGTTCATATTTTTATGACATCACACATTTCAAAGGCATTAATGAGATTCAAATGAGGGTAGGAACAGACAGAGTTACGGGTACTGTCCGCGCACCCACCGGATAGGGGTCGCTGTTTACTTTCCCAGCAGAGGAAACAAAATGGCTTCACCCGGTTCAACTGCAGATATGCCCTCTCGACAAACTGCACCCGTTATGCTTGAAAATTTATCGAAGGAGGTAAGTGGCTTAGCTGGTATAAATCCTAGATGCTTTTACACGTTTGTGACTGAATATTAGCCCGTTAGATGAGTTAAGGAAAAGGTAATGGGGGTTTATAATGGGGTGGGGAGATCGGTCTTTTGTCAGCAGCGAGCGATGGCGATCGGCCAATACCCAGATGTGTCCAAGCGACTCCGCGCTACGCCCAACTCTGGTGAAAAATTTAATGACTGTAGCGTTTTAGATGACTGCGGAGGTACTATTTGAGCAAGTGAGCTTTGTTATTTATTTGATGCATGTATTAGAAGGCTTGGTTTGATTGAAAATGTTATTTGTTAGACGGGTACGATTGTAAAAGCTTTCGTTTTCAGTCATTTAATATTCAGGTCAGAGTGGTGTGACGTCACGCAAGCTTCGCTGCAAGGAGTTCACCTCGGACTGGGCGAAATGTGCCAGATGTTGATAGCTTGTAAATGTGTGGGAAGATGTCCCGTTATTTTATCAATAAACGTGACTTGGTCCTAATAATTAGAAATATGTGACCAAAACTTAACATGTTTATTTCTCTAGGTGAAGCTGGATGCAAACAACAACATTGGAGATCTCAGTCACTATTGAGAATTCTCCTGAGTTTATGAAATATCTCATAGCTTAAAGTTGAACCATTTTAATGGTGTTAGCCCCTATGTTGTATGTTGTTTTGAACATGTTAATATTATTCTGAATGTAGTCAGTGATGCAGTTTGTTTGAAAAGTTTATGTTGCGGCATAAAGGTATAAGTTATGTTTGTGTGAAACACCATTTACCTTTGCTTGAAATATGGAAAGAGTCAAATTGTCAGTCAGGACAATAAAATTATTGTACTCAGAATATTCCAGATATATTTCAAATTTTGTGCTTTTGTTCCATTAATACTTTTTCTAAAAAATGTCTTTTCTTCTTACACTCAATTAATATTGATTCCATACTCAGACAATTTGTAAAAAAAACCTTTGTGCAGCTTTTAACCAAATTTATTCATTAGCTTTTAGAAGTGATCAATATTAGGAAAGCCTACTTTTCACACTTTTTCAGATGTTCTACTCTCTTCGAGCACCATTTCTTTTTACAAGATAACCCATAACATAATCTATAGCTCATTTTCTGTCTGAAAATGTACAATCATTGACATTCATAAGGACAGTCATCATTTTACTTGTCATAAGAGGCGCCAAAAATGGGATTGGATGGTCATACAGCTGCTGAGTATGGCCAGTACTTAGAAAGGAGACAAACTGGGAAGACCAACACTCAGCAGTGCCTGATGTGTGTCATGGTACCCAAATGTTCTGGATCTATGCTGCACTGACCACTGAATGGCCAGTTCCTGGCCCTATTTGCTATAAAAACCATTGCTATATAGCTGTGATTTTGCTGAATATGGTGTAAAACCCTACTCACTCACTCTCTGCTTTTCTTTTTGCCTGTCCTCTTCTATGCTAACACTTCTCTTTCTACTGTCCAGCTTAGTACCAAGAAATACTCTACCACGGACAATGTAATGGGGTGAGCGTCTCCTATGCAGAGCCATTCGCTTGCCAGGCTTCTTTAGCACCTTTGTGTGCTACACAACAATTGCTACCCATGAAGAATACTCAAATCCTGTGATATTCAACCTACAGCCAGTATATATACAATTATATAAGAAAATCTCGCCAAAATGAAGGGAGAGAAAATAGCTTGTCAGGACCTGCGCCAGTACCTCTATAGCATTGATAATTATCGCCAAGCAAGCATGCTTCGGAAAGGACGGGAGGTGCACAAAATATATTGTGAAGTTCACAAGGGACCGAGTTTCCTTGACGACCGATTCACATTGACAGAGTTTGGAAAGATGGTGCTGCAAAATGGATCAGTCAGGGCTGGAAGAGCTAAAAATGTTCGTCATATTGTCATGGCGAGAGAGACTTTGTACTGCAGTGGGACTAATTCATGCAAGAGAGGATGTGGCGGATTCGGAGTTTGTGTCCCAGGTATTGAACTGTTTCTGTTTGTAATGAGAATAAACTTTATTACCTACTTATTGGTTATATATAAATTAACACGATGCCCTAGTTTGTGGTTAAACATAAAATTTCTGAAATAAGTAAGTTTGGGTACAAAACCAGTTTCAATCTTTTCTCTTTGGCAATGTTTAAAAAAATGTAATTTAAGAAACATTCAAATATCAATAGAAATTATACTGGAAACATCACAGTTTTACTATTCTCTCCAGTTTTTCATTAATGTCTTCTTGGTTGTCATGTTAAAAAGATCAGAATTTATTTGTATTTCATCTGTTTATGACCGATAACATCCAGTATCACATTCGTAATACCCCTTTGGTGGCCTGAAGCTGATCTGGTTGAACTTGAATTGTGTCACATTCGATATGGAAATACATAAATATTAAAAAGGCCTTAAGATTATAACCACAAAATTAGTTTTTCTTTTTTAAGTTGGGAATTAAGTGCATGGTGTACTAAAATTGAACTGAAATTATGACAGTCAAAGGGGAATAACTCTTCAGATAACCAAATACAGAAATAGTCTGGATCGGATGTAGAAGAGATATGACTTAAATGAAATGTCAAATTTGAATATTCATGGAAGGATGATAGTCTACTTTTTATGGTTACGTTGGGAAATATAAAGGTGTTTTTTTTTTTCCTGGATTTGTAATTTTAATCTAGAGATGTTTGATGTTTAGTTAAAACATTAAGAGTGATGACATGAACCATTTGTTCATACTTTCACCACTGTTTAACAAATTTGTTCTCATGTATTGCAGGATGTGAGAAACACAAAGTTCGTGGTCATAAGTGTAGTTTTCGTGTGAAGCTGACAATGAGGCTAGGCTTTGCAGACTTCTGGTTTGTGGAAGTTTTGGGCAACCATTCAAACTTCACCGATGAGCCTGATCCCACTGCAACTGATGTGAAGAGGATGGTATCAGAATACGAAGGCTATACACAGACAGTAGTTCCCGTAATTACTTCCAATCATGCCAGCGAGGAGAAGAAACTGGTCAGTAGCGTTGGGAAGCGTGGTGCTATATCTATTCCTGAAGTCTACTGTAACTCCCCAAGTCTGACAGTAACTAGTCACCATTTGAATATTCCTGTATTTCCTGAAACATACTCACTCAACTCCGTCAACCATGTCCAATCACCCGCCCAGTCCACACCCACTTCTCAGGATGGCAATACTCAGTTATCTCCCCTCACCATGGCCATTAAACAGGAGCCGGTCGATGATGCGTACCTCGGAGGTGTCATGCTGGCATACGCAAACGGTCATGGAGCGATCCAGCTTCGGCAGTTAAATGAGATTAATCACGTGGAAAACAATAACGATATCGCCAGTGTGACTGATGATTCTATTGTAGAGACTCAAACTTACGAGGATAGTCGCACAAACGATGACATCGAAGAGGAATATGTTGATATGATAACCGAGGAAAGTGACAACGAAGAAAAGGTATATCCTGGTTTAGTGGATGGTCATGGTTGCCACACTTAAGTGGTGCGCATGTGCATGAAGATTGTAGCATGCTTTGGATGTTGGTAGCTTCTGGCCTAAAGCTGCGGGGAGCTTGCACAACCTGCAGTTCTGTCCTAAGGGAGCTGCTCCTTACATGGTGTTTGTTTTGACAAGGATTGGTCTTATCGTAGCAATCAGAATTGCCTGAAAACTGCATTCATGTCTTGAGTCTGATGTTTCTGAAATTCTCCTATCACTCTATACCCATATCTGTATCAAAAACGTAAATTTCTTTCACTAAAAATTGCATTGATATTTTTGTAATTTTTAACATATTCGTTCGTCTAACCAGTTCTTCAGCCCTGACTGTCCTAGTCTAAAGCTGGTTTGAATAATATTGGACATTTTTTAGACCACTACGTCATGGTTAAATACCCTGGTATGTTTTTGAAGAGCATGACAGTTATCACAAAATGTCAGACTTGAAACAGGCAGTTCTGATTTTGTTAGTCCAATGTTCATTGTATGGTTTGGTTGGTGTCTGGTTGTCCTTGGTGCAAGACATTGAAATGATTTGTCCTCATTTATGACATGCTTAACAATGCTTAACCCAGACCAAATGGTGATTGGCATTATAATATGGTACGCGATCATCAGTGTACACGTTTCTACCATGGTTGACATTCATGTGGGTAATACCTTGCTTAACCATTTAATCCATTTCAATGTTTCAGATTAAGCTAATATCAGAAGACGAATTAATCTTCAAAAGAGATTTTTTATAATTTAACATGTTTGTGGTTGAATAAATGTATAATTGTCAAAGCTAGGATGATGATGCCTTTGTAAGGCGGCGAATAACTAATATAGCTTATGTATATCTGGATGAATATATGTCACAGCAGCATCATTTGAATCTTGTTCAGTTTGAAATGGAATGCATGTTTGTTTTGTGTTGTCTTGCAAATATAGACTTGTATGGCATGGGTATGACACATATTGTGAAATGTGGATGAACACAGCATGGACACTTAAAACAACCTGACCCAACAGACTATTAGCCACGGTCATGTCTGAACAATAGTTCCTCTAGCAACACAAACATAAAATTTGTTTGTTTGATGACTTTCACATAGGAATTATATCTTGCACAGCATGTGATTTTAAACCATTCATTATTTTTTCAAGCCCCTTTTTTGACATATGCTAATATTTTGTTGGACATGGGTTTTTTGGTTATTTTTGCCATCGCTGATATCGTGACTGCTGACTAAAGACCATACTGGTTGTAGGTGCTATTGCAATATTTTACCTATGTCTCGAAATAATATTACGCAGTACCTAAAGCTATTGTTTACTTACTCCTTTTGGGGAAAGGATTTCTGATTTGCCCAAACTAGCCATATTTATTTAATGACTAACAGACAAATATGACCATCTTATCTGGATTTCAGCTGGAGTTCCTTTGAAAACCTTCATGAATATGTTGATACCTATCTGGGGAAAACCACAATGTTTTGCTTTTTTATGCTTTGTTTTTGCAGTTCTTGGGATGCAATGGGATGCTTAAAATTTTATGAAATATGTATTTGGGATGTGCCTTGGAAGAAATGATTCTTATGAATTTTGTGAAGTTTGTAGTCCCAAGAAAAAGGAAAATGAATTATTTGAACAATATTTCTACTTTGTTTCAATCAGAATTATAATCATGTATTTTGGCGAAAGAAATTTTCAACAGATACTACTGTAATGTTAACAAGAAATTTTTAGGTTTTCTTCAAGATGATTTGAGACGTAAGAGATGTGAAAACCATTCATGGACATAAATTATTATTTATTATTTTTTTACTGAGTGAGGAACTTTATACCCTCTTTCATTAATTCTCAAACCTGTAGCTCATAACATAGTGTACCTTTTTATTATATATTGTGAGATAATTTATTTATCTTTTGAGAAAAAAAAGTGGTTGCACACACAATATATTGTTGAATTCACAAGTCGCTTAACTCTTAATAGATTAGTTGTTTTATTTCTTGGCTTGCAGATTATTCTGTGAGAAATCCTGGATGGTGGGTGGGAAAAAAATAAATTGTAAAAAAATGTTCCTGTTTATGTTTTAAGGATTTTCAATAATATTTAAAAGAATGTTTCAATACATAGAATGTCAAGCTTGTCACATTAAATAGCATTTCAATCAACTGCACAATTTTCTTTTGGTGATCTTGTAAGTTTCATGATGCTGTTTAGATGGTTTTTTAAACTTTCATTTTTTAGGGTTAGTTGGATCTGTTAACCAGTCATTTAATTTGAAAAAAAAATACTTTCTTGTATTGTCACAAAATTAATGAGTCAATACTACCTGGCATGTATTTGAAGTGCATGACACACATTATGACATGTCAGTTGTTACTTGTATATGTCTCACACTGTATATATAATATATTTGTGATGTCACAATGTTGATATGCATGTTACTTGTCTGATGGTGAATAACTGATGATAACAAATGGGATCGTGCATGATTATTATGTTACTATGGTAATCGCAGATTGTTCTCGTATGAGATCACTGCAGAGATGTATTGATTAGTAAATAGGTTGCATCCATTATGAAAACTGGAAGATTACACATGTTTAAATTTGTATAGAAATTATTAAAGGAAGGGTTGATAGTAATTATCATGCTCAGTTTTCACATATCTTTGTGAAACATAAGAACACTTTCCAGTGTAACCATGGTAACTATTGACTAGTGAAGATGTAAATTCTGGTATAAAGGTTTCAGTTGATTGTGCTTGTCGGAAGAGGCGACTAAAATGTATTAGATGGTCACAGTGACTACCGATTATGACAATTAGTTTTATGGGTAGCAGTCAGGTCAGATTGATTTGTCTGGTCTGTTTATACACCCATACGGTGAACGATCATTGTTCTACTGCACTGGGGTTAATAATATATATTGGTCCATTTGTGATGCGCCTAATATTCCACGACGAAGTGGTTGCTCATGGCGCTTGCTGTAATAGCCTGATGCTGACAACAGCTACAGCTTGTCTTGAAACGAAGTAAGGTTGATCATGGGAGCACCAGTGTGATTCATGTTTTTGAAATGTGGCTGTTCACTTGCAGGACCTCTTAACGCGTGTCCGTCAGTTGGAGGCTCACGTGACCCAGCTGAGAAATATTGTGCTCAAGGGAGAGTTGAAGGTCGATTGCAAGAAGAAACTAAAGGCCCAAAGAGAGTTTGATTTCTCAAAGTGAGTGTTGTGACTGTCATGACCGTTAGCATGGTTCTTTCCTTCCGTGAGCATCGGGTGTAGAATTGGTTCCCGGGAACCTGCTTGTTAATCAGTGTTCCCGCTGGCTTTTGAAACTGACAGTCCTTTTGGACTGGCAACTCTAAATATAACCAGTCCCCCACCACTTTTTGTCAGTCCCAGCTTTCAACAAGTATGAAAATTTATTTGGTTTTAATTCTTTCAACATCTTGTTCAGTGCAAAGATGTCATCTCTGATGTAACTTTGTTAGATCTATAAGTCATTCACTCAAGCTTCGGTCACAATTTTCTATTCTTCTTCTTTTTTTAAAATTTCCAGACAAACTTGCTAACCTAGACTTGCTAAACTTATTTAACCTAGAAATAGACAAGGGGAAAGTCTGATGGTAACAGATTGACTGACTTTCTTTAAAAAATGTACTTATATGAATATCACCGATGTTTTGTTCAACAACAAGGATTTATAAGGTACATTATTTGCCGGTCCACAGGGACTGGCAGTCACATGAATTACCAGTCCAAGCCAAATACGGGAACGCTGGTTAGGGCTGGCAAAACACATCCGCTAACAATGTCACATAACAATATGAATATTTCATATTTATTTTTTATTACGTGTTTGTATCGTTATCTATCCTGTAGTTGTCCGATTTTCGATCATGAACAGTAATACTACTTAATTTCGGTTATCCGACATAATAAATGCAACCAACCATGTCGGATTAACGGGATTTGAGTGTATATCAATAGCCATTGCTAGTGCTTGTCATGTTAGATGCAACTTAAGTTAATGGGTTGTCAGGCTCCAGTGTTTTAGTACCCTGACGGCATGGGATTCTATGAATCACCGGTTTGTCTGGGCCAGTCTCATGCATGTTGCAATATAAGTGCATTAATGTTGAATGCAACATTCCACCTCACCTCGACTGAAGTAGTGCTGAATGTATTGTTTAACAACACCATTGTGTGTCATATAAAGAAATATAGCCAATCCAGCTGATGCTGAGTTTTTGTGTGTCAGGTACAACACTCGTCACATTGCCTTGAAGATAGCGTACCTAGGCTGGGACCACCAGGGCTTTGTGGTTCAAGAAGAGACGGACAAGACCATCGAGGCAGCTGTCTTTGATGCCCTGCTCAAAACACGGCTCATTGAATCAAGGTAAGATACTCTTACTGTTTTCATGTGCAGAGCCATTGTTACCCTGTCTGGCGCCCGGCATTGCAGGGCTAAAACAAAGACTGGTCAGTTCAAAGTCGGTAGGGGCGGTCGGGTAGCCTAGTGGTTGAAGCTTTCGCTCGTCACGCCGAAGACCCAGGTTCGATTCCCGACATGGGTACAATGTGTGAAGCCCATTTCTGGTTTCCCCCCGCTGTGATATTGCTGAAATATTGCTAAAAGCGGCGTAAAACCATACTCAGTACTCAGTCAAAGTCGGTATAGTTTGTCTTATAGGGGTATTCAAGTTAAACTGCGGCGTGGTATCTCAGTGGGCTAGCACTATTAAATCGGCATAGTCAGATCTAGTACAAGCGCTCACGCACACACTTACATCACTTTAGAAGTGCAAAAATCATGGATGCGACGTTAAACCCCATTTCACCTCACCTTGTCACAACATTTAACATGGATTGATTGTGATGCCCATTCCCTTGGGTTCCAGGGTATGAATAGGTGAGCCCTGGAATCTTCAAAATGGCTTAAAAAAAACATAGCTTGTCCAATATTTAAAACTAGAATGTCCCTGACGCTCCCTACGTTTATGATACCTGAGTGTTTTGTGTACATCATTTTGCAACTGCTTGATTATGACTGATTTCGTTTCAATTGGGATTTATGACATTTGGGTTGTCTAATGGTGTATCGACCCTGCACTTTATAATGTTGGATACCAAGGATAGATGTCAAGGGAGGGACTGGCAAGTGCATATCTAGACCAGTTCCTATCACCTGCACTCGATAAATATACGAGTGTATGGTGAGGCTTACCCTTTCGCCTTTCTTGTTAGCAATGGTGACTGGAATGTGAGGAACGGCCAAGGGGAGATAATTCAGAAAATTCACAACCTATAAGAATACCAGTATAACTAGAAGTGAGAGGGAATCTCTTTAATTAATTGAAATATATCAACACAAAATGTTATTGTTGGAATGAAGTGTCACATAATCTCCCAAATTAAGATGCAGTAGATCAAAGATTAATGAAGCTCACCTGGTGAACTTCAGGGTTAGAAACTTACACTCTTTGTCCACTAGTCCTTGTGATAATATATAGCAAAACCCCTAAAAAGGGCTAATTTCTACTAGTCCTTATTATACCTTAACTATTGGGCACTTTGACAAGGACTGTAGGACTAGTGCCAATTTCTTACGCTGAACTTACAACTTGTGGAAATAGACATGTACGAATTATTACCATGCTTAGAAGGTGCTGTTGTGTTACATCCACGGTGACACACCTGTAATAGTATGTTGATGTATGGTAGCTGTAATTTAGCCTTACTTACGTTATAAAGCTATGTATCATTGTAATATTGATGTGATATGGACAATGTTGATGTAATTTTGGTGTTTCATGGATGAAAAGCTGTGATATTACTGTCATATAGCTGTTGTATTGCTGTAAAACCATGTTCACTCTCTGAGGCACATAAGCATTGGCGAGCATTTATTGCAATGTAACCCATAGGAGAACAAATATAGCTGGAGTTTTAAGCAATTATCACTTAACATTATCATTTTTCCAAGTATTGCACGTGAGTGTGTTGATGTTGCAGAGAGGTGTCCAACTATCACCGATGTGGCAGGACAGACAAGGGAGTCAGTGCCCTCAGCCAGGTAAACAGCAGTTTTGTTTCCATGGTGTCGCAGACTACCTACATGGTGTTGTAGATAGAGCATCTGCCCAGAGAACAGAAGGTCTGTGGTTCGATCTCTTGGCAGTGTAAAAAAGATGGTACTTGTTATTACCCTTCCTTGTGATCAGCATTAGGGGATAGAAAAGGCCTGGTCAGTTTAATGTGTCTGGATCAGGTATTCATGTTAATCCATGCCACGGTATCCCTGTTGTTTAGTCCCATAAAACCGGCATGCATGCATAGTTAAATAATTTTGAATCAAAGTTATCTTCACCTTTGGTGTTCCAAATGTCCACATCACTTGAATACTACTAGTAAGAGATAACTTGCACAATTCCCATGTTCAAGGTATTTAGGTTCGTAAGTAATCAAACAGTTTGTTCGCATGACTGGTTTACTTAGGTTAACTTTGATTCGTTCTAATAGTTTGGTTTGGTTTGTTTGTTGTTGAACGCCGCATTCAGCAATATTCCAGCTATATGACGGCGGTGTATAAATAAATGAGTCTGGACCAGTCAATCCAGTGATTGATAACATGAGCATCGATCCATGCAATTGGGATACAATGACATGCATAAACCAAGTCAGTGAGTCTGACCACCAAATCCTGTTAGTCACCTCTTACGACAAGCATAGTCGCCTTTTACGGCAAGCATGGGTTGCTGAAGACCTATTCTACACCAGATCCTCACGGGTCCATCCTAATAGTGTCATGCATAGATTTAGCATTTTGTTTCATGGTAGGTGGTATGGTTACTCTTGTAAGAGTTGTAATTGGGACAGGTTCAGTACAAGAAACTGAATTGAGTCATGGGTAGGCATAATGTGCGTTGATGTTATCAGGCTTAATTCACAATGCATTAGAATAAAATACCAAATGCTGTAGTTGTGCAGTGAAAAGTTTTCAGGTTCTTTTGTTATCATGATGATATTTGTTGCAGGTGATCTCTATTGACCTGCGGACGAACCTTCTAGATGGGCCAGGTGTTAAACAGAGAGACGGTGGCTCAGCCCACCTCAGACAAGGTACGGACATATCTGTGTGGGAATGTATTAACATAGAGAAGAATGTATGTTAAGAATAGATGTTTCCAGTGTGTACCACTAAATGACAAAACAGGACCACCTCCGTGGTCTCGTGGTAGATCGTCCGCCCGGAGAGCGAAAGGTCCGGGGTTCGATCCCCAGCCGCGTCATACCAAAAGACGTTAAAAGATGGTACTTGTTGTTACCCTGTCTGGCGCTCGGCATTAAGGGGTTAAAACAAGGACTGGTCGGCTCGGAGTCAGTATACTGTGTCTGAGTGGGGTATTCATGTTAAACTGTGGCATGGTATCCCAATGGGCTAGCACTATAAATCGGAATCAGTCCGGAGTAGTGCGCGCACGCACGCACACGCACACACACACGCACACACACACACACACACACACACACACACACACACACACACACACACACACACACACACACACACGTGCATGAACGTTGCTATATAATTTCACCTAATGACAAAACAACGATCAGTCAAATGTTACCACAGAGTGTCTTTATTCTTATCACAAAATGCTGCAGGATTTCCAAAATTTTACATGCTAATCTTGCATAAAACTGGGGCATCTCAGGTCTTTGACGTATGACGTCACATGTGATGCGTCAACACTGACTCAGATCATGAACACGACCTGAACAGTTTGTTTTGCTAAACATATTTCCAGTTCACAATTTTTTGTCATATTGTCACAAGTCATAATACCTTAACAATGAATGTGATGGTGATGCGTTATGTTTCAGGGGACAAGAGTACCGAGATACGTTATGTACATATTCTCAACAAGGTTCTTCCCCCAGAGATAAGGGTTCTGGCCTGGGCACCAGTAGAACACAACTTTAGTGCTAGGTAAATTAGGAAACTTACCCCTATTTAAAAATGTTTCTGCTTAATTTGATTTTATGAATCAGTTTGTACCCTATGAGTTTTGTAAGAGCTGACTCATGTGGCTAAAGCTTGTCATAAGAGGCGACTAGCGGGATCGAGTGGTCAGGCGTGCTAACTTGGTTGATGCATGTCATCGTATCCCAATTGCGTGGATGGATGCTCATGATGTCAATCACTGAATTGTCTGGTCAAGACTCGATTATTTACAGACTGCCGTCATATAGCTGGAACATTGCTGAGTGCGGCATTAAACAACAAATAAACAATTAAGTGGTAACAATGTGTGTTAGTGTAAAAGGTGGCTTGCTTTTCATATCAACCACTGGGTATCCTGGCAAAGATTTCATTATTTGCAAGCTACAATTTAAATAATGTACTGTGTACAAATTATGTTTATATATACATTCATTGTTTCTTTTTTGTAAGCTTCCCTGTTTTTGTGTATTTAATGACACATTGATTGTTATGTTACAGATTTAGTTGCAAACGAAGGACCTACAAGTATTACTTCCCTAAAGGAAATTTGGATTTGGGAGTAAGTAGTAGTAGTAGTAGTAGTAGTAGTAATGCTGTCAGTCAGGCTGCCTGTTACCTGTTAGTAGACCTGACACAGGTGTGTGTTGGGAAAGCATTGCTGGCCCAGTTGCATCAGTTCTGGAACTCACGGCCGATTTCCATCCTGGACAGTGCCCGATGCTCTAAATCGCCTTCATTCATTCATTCGCTTTCAGTGTGATTCTGTGTCTGTCAGTGGGGGCACAGGTGGCCCAGTCGTCTAAGGCGCCACGATTCATTGTGCAGAGTTCCGTCCTTTGGCCACGCCAGAAACCTATGATTGTGGGTTCGAACACCTGGTTCACCGATTATGTTTCTAGGTTTGTCAGCACCATACCTGTGCTTGTGGGTTTCACCGAAGTGGTAAACGTCTGAGACCTGCATCACTTTGGGCTTTCCTCCCACATTAAGCTGACACGCCGCGATATAACTGGAATACTGTTAAAAGCGGCATCAAACCCCACTCACTCACTCACTCACTCACTCACTCACTCACTCACAAAATTGTTTTTATGTTACATAACCACTTGCCCTAAATGACCATCAGACAAGTTAGATATGACCAGTGACGTCTACCCTTGAATTTTCCTCCCATATTACAAGCTGTGATACTAGAAATACTTTTATAAGTGGTGTTAGGCCAAACTAACTCACTAGTTTGTCCATAATGATGCAAATTTGACCCAGTTATCACTCATAAGTTAATTTTCACACTGACAGAATGTAGAGGTCAGAATAGGTCTTCAACAATCCATGCTTGCTGTAAAAGGCAACTATGCTTGTCATAAGAGGCGATTAATGGGATTAGACAGACCACCGTCATATAGCTTGAATATTGCTGAGTGCAGTGTAAACAGCAAACAAACAGACATTTCTAGAATACAGATATTAGCTCAAGTATTGACTGATTCCAAGGTGTCATCTGTGTGTTAAACTTATCTTTTCATTGCAGGCAATGTGTGAAGCATCAGCTAAACTGATAGGTGAGCACGACTTCCGCAACCTTTGCAAGATGGATGTGGGCAACGGTGTTGTCAATTTCACAAGGAGAATCCTATCTGCAGAGATCAAGATTTTAGATGAAAGGTATAGGACTTTATCTTTCGACATAGCACTAAAGGATTACCACAGCTCAACTGTTTCACAAATTAATAATTGGAACCTGACTACTGTCAAGTCTCGTTAATCCGACACTCGTTTATCCAAAATCGGCTTCATCCGACACTAATGGTGGAAACCGAATAAATCAGTGCTATTTAGACCATATCAGACAGTCTCGCACTCCGACTCCGACACAACTTATTTGCAACGAATCACCGAAATCACTCAGACACAGTGATCAGTGTACTCCGTGGTCATCTGCCCGCGAGTACACAGCCCCGTGTTTTGATGCGAGATGAGTCAGCTGGTAGCTGCATATTACAACGGCTGCAGAGATGAACTTGCTTAACAATAAACAATTAATGAGCAATTAGTGTTTGTATCGTTATCTATCGTGTAGTTTTCACATACTCGTTAATCCGACATAATCATATGCAAACCAACCATGTCGAATTAACAGGACTTGACTGTATATCACAACACATGTACAATATTTATATAATTTATATATATTTATTTATATAATTTTCTCAAAGCACATGAAATATTATTGTTACATAAGGAAACATCAAATTGTGAAAATTAAATTAACCAACATAAGGAAACTTTTGAATTGCAGAGAAAATGGGTACCAGATGTGTGAGCTGACAATAGTGGGTCAGGCCTTCCTGTGGCATCAAGTGCGATGTATAGTGGCTGTCCTCATGCTGGTGGGACAGGGAAAGGAGGGGCCAGACGTAAGTACTGACCGTCCTCTGGTGGATGACCACCTCTCTCTGGTTCTACACAGTGCCAGGATACCCATAAGGATTCCGGGGTAGAATAGGTCTTCAGCAACCCATGCTTGCCGTTAAAGGTGACTCTGCTTGTCGTAAAAGGCGACAAACGGGATCGGGTGGTCAGGCTCGCTGACTTGGTTGATGCATGTCATCGATCCCAATTGCGTGGATCGATGCTCATGATACTAATCACTGGATTGTCTGGTCCAGACTCGATTATTTACAGACCGCCGTCATGTAGCTGGAATATTGCTGAGTGGGGCGTTAAACAACAAACAAACAAACAAAACAAACACAGTGCCAGGTCCTTATAATTGTTGAAAAAAAGACAATAGTTAAAGAGTAAACATAATATGTAATTGGCCAATATTCAACTGTGGCCTGCAAAATGGAGAATGTTAGTGTTAGGGCTGCGACTATAAGATAAGCAATTAGTATGAGGTTAAGGTAGAACTATTTTGTTGTTCACAACATAACAAGGTTTGCACAAGTTTGATAAGGTCTTGAATTTGTCAGTGTGGCTTTGAAAAGGATTTCGTGTTGATCTGCCTTGAAATGGTCTTAAGATTTGTTAACATGGTTAAGATGACTTGTATAGGCCTTTCATTATGCTACCCAGACTATTAAATAAATATATTAGAAATATTTTGTATGATATAGTTGTCATGTTGCATTAATCCACCAACTCCAGTCGATGCTGTACTGCCTGTTATAAGCAGAACATAAATGAATGACATGTTCGTTTCTTCCGTGCAGATTATAGATGAATTGCTGAACATCGAACAGAACCCCAGAAAACCTCAATACACGATGGCCTCAGGTAAGGAGACGGAAAAACTATTTGGGGTGTGACCAGCGTTAGGAACCAAGTGCAATGGAAATGTGGATGCGTTACTCTTTTATGTTATCATTAGGACATGTGATTGACACGGGTGATTGAGCAAACTTGGATCATGTGTAGAAACCATGACCGCAGTTAACTCTTTTTAAACATTGTTTCTGCTGTAGGAAATGCTGTTCACTCACCCTACTAGGTTTAAATATATTCATATTTATGTTTAAAATATTGTCAGCTGCATGCTTGATAATGAAGCTCTGCTTTCCTCTATTATGAGAGGGGCGGTCGGGGAGCCTAGTGGTTAAAGCGTTCGCTCGTCACGCCGAAGACCCGGGTTTGAATCCTGACATGGGTACAATGTTTGAAGCCCATTTCTGGTGTCCCCCGCCGTGATATTGCTGGAATATTGCTAAAAGAAGCGTAAAACCAAACTCACTCATTCACTCACTCTATTATGAGACTTGAAGGGGTGGGGGGTGGTATGGGTAGGGGTGGGGGCAGTAGGCAAGGGTGGCCCAGTTGTATAAAGCGCTGCAATTTACTGTGCAGAGTTGCATTTCTTGGGCACCCCTGAAATACATGATCATGGGTTTAAATTCCAGTTCACTGTGATTATGTTTCTATGTTTGTTACCTCCATACCCATGCACGGGGTTTCGCCAAAGTGGTAAATGTCTGGGACCTGTGTCACATACAGGTTTTTCTCCCACCTCAAGCTGACATGCCATATATTACTGGAAAAGGTACTGGTCAAAGTAGCGTGAGTGAGTGAGTTCGGTTTAACACCGCTTTTAACAGTATTCCAGTTATATCGCGGCGTGTCAGCTTAATGTGGGAGGAAAGCCCGAAGTGATGCAGGTCTCAGACGTTTACACTTAGGTGAAACCCACGAGCACGGGTATGGTGCTGACAAACATAGAAACATAATCGGGGCGAACCGGGATTCGAACCCACAATCGTAGGTTTCTGGCGTCCAAAAGGGACGCAACTCAGCACAGCGAATCGTGACAACTGGGCCACCCGTGCCCCCCCCCCCCTCCCAAAGTAGCATGAAATCTCAACTCACTCATTACCCAGAGTGCCCGATCGATTCTGTAGCATTGACTCAGAAATTAAAAATACATGATTTACAAAACTAATATGGGAACACTAACTGCATGTTTTGTTGAATGTCTGTCTTTTATTTTACATGGCTTGTTTTGTTCTTTCAGAAATACCTCTAGTGCTGTTTGATTGTGATTTTGGAGACGATGTTGAGTGGGTCTATGAAGCAGGTACGAATCTCTAGTTTCAGACAAGGGAGAAATGTGTGTAACAGAAAAAAGTATAATGGTGTTACGTGTATTTTAACTGATGGTTGACGATGATGTCGGCATTTGCCCAGTGATGCTGACACACGTAGAACTAGGTCACACAAAACACAACATTAATTTTTCCAGTTACAAGACTCCTACACACTAACTAAACACATCAACTTTTCAAATATTTTGGCTTGGAGAAAAGTATATTTATGACTCCATCCAGCAACTTTCTATTTGAGTATACACAAACAGCTAGCTGACTATGACAAACCCAGTATTAAATCCAACTGAAAAGGGCATTATTGTTGGAAGTACGAACTTTCGATGCAAGCTGATTTTGAGGGTCCTTTGTTGACTGTTGTGTATAACTGGCATACTCCATGTTCCAGTTGTTGCTCATTTAAGAATTGACATCAATATTTTTTGCATTTTTTAATGGTATAAACGTAAAAGACGTTATGCATACAGTGAAACCGATGAGTACTCTCGGTCCACCGATTTACATTTTTTTTACACCTCCAAAAATGCAAAAAAGTCAGTTAATCAGTAGAAACTGAAGATGGTGGTGAGAAATTGGTGACATCGCTCTATGCAATAATTCCTGACCCACCCGCTGAGGTAATCAGGAAACAGAAGTCTGCTTGTGTGTGTGACCTTATTGTTTCTCTCAGTTGGTTGAAGTGTCAACACCAAAATACTTTATTTGTTGTTCAATTCAGTGAGCTTGCAAGTTCTTTATTATGTGTTTTTGTTCTTCAGACTGGCATGAAGACAACATTCGCCACCTTCAGCAGCTGTGGGCCCAGCATGCAGTCAAGTAATGTCACATCTTCATCTTTGTTTGTTTCTTCCCAGCTATAACAAGAAAACCGTTAATTATTTCAACAAAACTTGCCATAAGCAGTGCTTGTCAGATCAACTGGTACCTTCTGCTGTTTTGAAATGTTTCACAGTTTTATTGTTTTATGTTTCCATGGAAATAATTTTGACTTAGTCGCAAACAAAAATAGGGTTCGTTTCTGGGCCATATGTTGAAAACTGTTCAACATATTTCAACAAAACTTTGGGATATGCAATGGTCTTGAGCTTTTGCTATTGGAAATGTTTCTAAGTTTTATTTTGTTACATTGTCATGGAAACAATTTGGACTTTGCATGAAACTATACATGTGCAATGACCATATGCCTAACTATTGCCGTTTCAAATTTTTCAATTGTTTAATTTCTATTTTTGGCTATTACTTGCTAATATTGTTTCTCGGATTTGGAAACACATTTACAGTAACAACAACTTAATCTAATGTTTAAAAAAAAAGCAGTAGGGAAACATTGCCTTTTAGTAAAAACACATTCTAGTTATACCTATGCAAAATTTGTTTAATAGATTTTGCAATTAAATCATATTTGAACAGTGATTTTGACACAAAAAGCTGTATATCGGTCAATAACTTGGACCCAAGAAATGTAATAAGTCAATGGTAAAAGTCAAAACGTCAAGCAAACAAAAATGGTGGAACAACCATAACAACACATCAATGCAATACCATTTGTGATTGGATGAATATATGTGATCTAGCCAACGAATGTCACGATAAGAAAAGCATTTGACTAAGTCACTAAAGCTCCTGACAGCCTTTCCCTATAATACAGAAAGTATGATGCAAAGACACACTACTCAGAATTTCAATCATGATTTTTTATGGCTGTGCACTGGTTTATTACATCGACACTGTAAACGTGTACATGTTGTAGGACTAATCCTTACAATTTACTTTATATTTATGAAATTATACAATATGTGACACCTTGCTTAGCATTTCTATAGGTCAAAAGTCAAACTACTTAAAAAAATCATAAGTCAAACTTAAATTGTATCTGTCTATGACCAGTGACCAACTACCATCTGAAACTGTTGAATGAAATGTAATTTGAAATAGTGATGAGAATAATTTCTTTTGCTACAGGGCAGCCATGATAAAAGGCATGTTGGACCAGCTTGACACAGCCAAAGTGGAAACAGGTTGGTGCTGTTACAGGGGTGTCAAGTTGTACATACAATCAACTTGCAAGAGTTTCAGTAGCTTGGGTTGCATTTAGGCAGTCTGTGCCGAGGTCGGCTAGTCCTAACATGTCTTTGGCATGAGGGGCGGTCGGGTAGCCCAGTGGTTAAAGCTTTCGCTCATCACGCCAAAGACCCGGGTTCGATTCCCAAAATGGGTACAATGTGTGAAGCACATTTCTGGTGTCCCCCGCTGTGATATTGCTGGAACATGGCTAAAAGCGGCTTTAACCCATACTCACTCACTCTTTGGCATGATTATTAATTTAAGGGTGTGCAGTATTACCGGTATATTGTGGTGCAAATCTTCAGCAATAGGTATTGCGATATGTTTGTAAATGTAGCAATATATTGGGGCTAATATGAATAAGTATTAATGTGTGTTCCTAATTGATATGGATATATTATCTTTCTGATACAACTTGCCTCTGGCGATCTTTTTATTGATTAGCGTGTACACATCGTGACTATCAGGCTCCTCACCACGTTAGCCCGTTCGCGGAGATCTCTATACCGAGAATATAACAAATGTGTCACGGCCATGTGACCATATTATCTCCCTTGATCGTTGCTAGGATACAAAATGGCGACCCAAGTAAACTGGCAATGTATTGCAATTCGTATTGCAATACAGGTTAAAGTATGTCAATAATATTGCAATACAAAATCCAGGTCAATACACAGCCCTATTCATTATCAGTAGATTTTAGAGTTGATATGTGCTCTATGTGATGATCATACGATCAGTTAACATGGTTGGGGCTTCTTCTTTTTTTGGTATTTCCAAAAAGTCATCAGAGACCATCACAAACTGCTGGTGATGTGTGTTCAATTTTGAATCGACTTGCTTTTTCATCATCAAGAATTGCATTAGTATTGTGAGAACAGTGAAAAGTATAATTTTAATAAAACCAATAAGACTGAACTGGTAAGCTACGCATCAGTATCATGGAGGCCTTGTCTTCTGACTAAATTGGGCGGGCCATGGCCGGTCGGGTAGCATAGTGGTTAAAGCGTTCGCTCGTCACACCAAAGACCCGCCTTTCAATTCCCGACATGGATAATATGTTTGAAGCTGGTGTCCCCCGCCATGATATTGCTGGAATATTGCTTAAAGCGGCGTAAAAGCATACTCACTCACTCACTCTGACTAAATCGGACTAAATCAGGGATTCAGAACAGGGATTTATGAAAGATTTTAAACTAAGTGCTATTGGCAGGCAAATTGGGAAGCATTTTTTTTTGGTTCCAAATGTGGATTATTTTTTAAAAGCTCTTATTTTCCTTAAATCTGAAGTATTTTTCCATTGCAATGAAGTAAAAATAAGCCTTAAAGCCATTTCCTTGGTTCTGTTATTGATATTCAGTTCCATCTACAAAGCTACAATATTCGTTTTTACTTACATGTGCTCCAGGCTTGGGGCCGAATATCAGCCTTTCAGCAGGTCTAGACAAATCCCTGAACGACTGCGCGCTATCATTTCTGAGAGTTTATAGGGAACGGGTGGACCAGTCGTCTAAGGCGCCGCAATTCGCTGTGCAGGGTTGCGTCCCTTGGGCACGCCGGAAACCTATGATTGTGGGTTCGAATCCCGGTTCGCCCCGATTATGTTTCTAGGTTTGTCAGTCACCATACCCGTGCTCGTGGGTTTCACCGAAGTGGTAAACGTCTGAGACCTGCATCACTTCGATCTTTCATCCCACATTAAGCTGACACGCCGTGATATAACTGGAATACTGTTAAAAGCGCTGTTAAACCCAACTCACTCACTCACTCCAAATAATGTCAAATATGATGTGGAAGTCATGGCAGTTTTAACACTATGTTTTGTCCATCAGAGTCTGACATTGCTCCATGGAATGAGCTGAGTGCTCCCATTCTACAGCAGTCAGAGTGGCTCACACCAGGCAACAAACCCAGGATATACAGGCCTTTGTTGGAACGGCCCATGTGCGGTAAGAACCTGCTCATTTATTTTTACGTTTTGGGCACAGCTGGCCCAGTACTGTACAGAGTTGTTTCCCCTGGTTTTGAGTTTTAATCACAACAGATTATTTTGATGAGTCTTGGCCAGCACCATACCTGTGTTTCTTGGTTTTACTTAAGCATAAAACAGCTACGAACTGCATCAATTTGGACTTCCTTGCACATATTTTTGAAAACTAAACTGTGCTATTTGGCATTAAACCAAACTCACTTATTTACATGGGGATGCTGGGTAAGCATATAGGGCCCCAGCTTGTCATAAGAAGCAACAAAATGGAAAGTTAGGTCAGACAGGCTGACTTAGTTGATTGGACCCGTGAAGGCCTGGGTAGAATAGGTCTTTAGCAACCCATGCTTGTCGTAAAGGGCGACTATGCTCGCGTTAGAGGCGAAAACGGGATCGAGTGGTCAGGCTCGCTGTTTGGTTGATGCATGTCATCATATCCCTATAGTGTAGATCGATGCTCATGTTGTCAATCAATGGATGGTCTGGTCTAGACTTGATTATTTACAGACCGTTGTCATATAGCTGGAATATTGCTGAGTGTGGCGTTAAACAACAAGCAAAGACTTTTTGATTGCATGTCATTGTTTCCCAAATGTATGGATCGATGTTTATGACGTCAAACACTGGATTGTCTGTTCCAAACTTGATTATTCTGGTAAAGCAGCTTCTCACACACACACACACACACACACACACACACACACACACACACACACACACACACACACAAAAACTCACCTCACCTCACCTCACCTCACCTCACCTCACCTCATCTCAGGGCGGTTGGGTAGCCTAGTGGTTAAAGCGTTAGCTCGTCACGCTGAAGACTCTGGTTCGATTCCCGACATGGGTACAATGTGTGAAGCCCATTTCTGGTGTCCCCTGCCGTGATATTGCTGGGATATTGCTAAAAACGGCGTAAAACCATACTCATTCACTCACCTCACCTCACCTCACCTCACCTCACCTCACCTCACCTCACCTCACCTGCCATGTAAACCTCATTTCACCTCACCTCACCTCACCTTGCCTGCCATGTAAACCTCATTCCCATCTTTGTTTTACAGATAGCTTAGAAGACAGAATTGAACATTTTGCCAAGCGTCGGAAGACTGGCCATCACACGGAGCAGAGTGAAGGCAATGGAAATGGACATTCATGAAATTTACTTCCAGGATTTCATGGAAAACTGACCCCACTGTCTTTGTGGGAAATTTCCAGTCCGACAACAGGGTCCAGTTGCAAAACTTCTGAACTGAGAAACCGTATGGCTTCCGCTAAAGGCTTCCACATATGGTGCAAACATGTATTAACGACCCTTCCGAGACTCTTCTACTGGAGGAGTTAACAATGTTGACACAATCATTTTCCTCTTATTCTTGAGGAATTAAAAATGTTAACACAATCATTTGCTTATGTAAGGCAATCTGAAGTCAATTCTTTTGCAAATTATTCTTTTCCAGAATAGTTTTTATGTTTCAAACTTCATGCAAGGGTACAGTATTGAAGTCATGCCTCTGAAGTTTGACAGCAAAAACCTCAATTCTTACCCACGCTATTATTCTTTGTATTGAAGACGTATTAGATATATCGCTTCTACTATCGGGTCAGAGATGACTTTGATGGCATATTTAAGTTTATTTGGTAGCCTGCATTGGTGCAATTTGTGTAATTTATTTATGATATGCTTCTTGCATTTTTTTAGCTTGTCTTTATGCTGAACGAAAAAGATTGGATTCTGGTGTGGAAAAATGGAATGAGTTTCCAATGATTGTTGAGGATATTTGTCAGTGAAGGTTGTAGGTGATGGAAACCTAGGGTCATTCTTTCAGCCTCTTCCCATGTCTTTGTATATGAGATTGAACCATGCTCAGTTAACACATTCCCTTTTGCATCTAACTTACAACTGGACAACTTTAGATCTTTTAATTCTTGACTTGCAATATATTTTTTATGTCATTCCTTGTATACAAAACCTCAGTCATTAAATAATTGCATTTTTTGCTTTCATTACGTTCACTGCCTCTTATGAAATTTTAGGTCAGTTTTGATGTTTTTTACTAGAAACAGAATCTTATTGTGCATTGCAAAATAATCTTGGGTGGTAGAATTACGGATTAAGGCAAGCCTTCTGTAACTTGAACTCATGTTTCTTGTCTACTCAATGCACAAAATGTCATGTGTATTTGTCTGGAAGGTGATTAGGTGAAACCTTTCATCCTCATGTATGTACAACTACTAATACAATGAACTTTCAAGAGATGTGCCAGTTGAAGTTGAGCCAGTTACGATGCCTTGCAAGTCTTCTATCCAAAACTGTTCAGCAGCTGGTCAGGGTTGAATGCATGGATAAGTCACTAATACAATTGGTCAGTTTCCAGTGGGTCAGTCATGGAACAATGAAATATTGATGTCTACACTGGGTATCCTGATGCTGTGTCTGTACACAATGAGAATATCAATACAAATATGGTTATTTTTTTAAACTGATTTCTTTTGCCAACAATGGTACCACTAGGAAACGTATGTAAAAGCATAGCCTTCAAACTAAAATAAACATTATGATGAGATAGATCTTTTTCCTCATTCACGATCCTTAAATTTATTGTACACCTGGATATGTGAATGCAGTACTCTGTATGGTGTCAATTATCAATGTATTGATAAAAGACATTTTTCAGATGAGATATCAATGCTGAAATATCCTATCAGTGACAGCTGTAGTTTCCAGTGGAATGGTCATCCATATTTATGATAAATTCTTACTTGCAAAAGGGAGAACTCCTTGTATTTACGACGTTGTTGATGACTGGGGGGCTTCCATACTGAAGGGAGGCCTCTGGCGGTGCGAACCATTGCACTGATATTATTCCAGTTTGTTGATGTATGTTAACATATATGTGTTTCTAAATGGCCAGGCAGACTGTATAAATTATTCGTTATAACGTGTCCGTGCTTCCACTTGTATTAAGATATTTGTTTACTGTGCCATATATGATTTTATTTACTCTTGTAGGTGGTGCATGCATTAGTCGTGGTATTTTGCATGATGGATGGTAATTTATTTGTCGGTCAGTGAGAGAGAAAGACATGCAGAATGGTCACAGAGGCTTAGAGGGAACCTTGATGTATACCGGGTATATGTCTGCAGACAATTGTGGCAATTTATATATAGAGAATACAAAAGACTTGATGGTTGTCAAGTCGCAATTTTTGAAACTAGTCAAATAGTCCGCTCAATGATTAAGATATTCATGAATAGTGAAAATATTTTCCTGTGTGTTTGATCATAAGGAAACGTAGGCAAGCTTCTACTCGCCTGCTGGAAAGAGCGAGTTAAGTTCTAGACTCTCTCCCCCAGTGGTTGTTATGAGCAATGTCTGCCAACAATGGATTAACTGGTCTGTGGGTTTCCTTCCTCCTAGTCTCGGGGCAGGATATAATCAGTATTGTCAGTTTGTTCCTGTCCTACTGTCATATGTTTTAAGAATCTCAACGTTTGGTGCTGTTCTAATTCAAGTTACGTTGTTTCCAGAAAGCAGCCCATTAAAGACATGTCGGAGACAATTTGACGTTTGAGAATGTCACATGCTCAAGTATTATTCTCACTTACGATTGTATGATTACATTATTAAAAGTCAGTCTCTTTCATCTTTTTCATATGAAATTCAACAACAAAAATTGAAGTTAAAATTGCCAGGTATCAAGATTTTGCATATTTAGAAAACATAACTTTATTCATGTCAGACCATTTTTTTTTAAAGTGCTATATGAAAGAAAAACTAAAACATTTATGTGAATTTTTTTTATTTTTTTTTATTCTTTTATTGTAAGCAAAGAGAATAATAGCCAGTTGTCTTTGTAAGTTGAAATATAAGACCTCAGTTGACGAAACTCACCAGGTACATATTATTTCAAGTGCTATGTAGGTTAGTGTATGCATGCCACCCTAGTCATTGTTATGCATGCTGTCTATTGAGACATTGTTAATTATTGTGTATGTCATGTTGCATGTAGATTTTGCCACACCAATTAGTCCATACTCATTTGTACAAATATGTATCAATATGAATATCGATCTTCCAGTTTTACTGACAAGCTTTCATTTTTAAAGAGAAATGGTGCCAAAACTACACACTCACACAATGGGTTCGAGAACTTTCCTCGTGTTTTACTTGTCAAATGGCTCCAGCTTTTTCAAGGTGCTCCACGAAGAATATTGAGAAAGCATCCCTGGTTATGGTTATGTGTTTTAAGAGCTTCTAACAAAATACTCATCAGCTGTTTGTCATGGTGGTGATGCTGAGGTTTCTAGTCATTTCATCATCATAGTGTACTCTTGGTCAGAGGCATTGTTATCACTGGCACTGTTTGATTGTAACTTGAGCTGACTCTGTAGGATCCCATTTTTGCCTAGATGCTACATCCTTTGATGATATCATAAATCATGACTGTCAATACAGATGAAGTACTTGCTTATTTGATTTATCCCAATACTGACATCACTGTCATTATGTTGCCAATGAAATTGAATTATATATGAAAGTTAAATATATACATATTTTCACCACAAATAGTTTATGTAGTTCTGGGTGAGTGAATGGCCAAACACTTCTCAAAATCCTAGATTCAGATTCAGTGGACAAATTAATTGAGCCCCAGTACTTGTTTATGGAATTATCACACTATATCTTCCAGGATGAATCGTATCGTAACACAATCTCTCATTGATACAAATATCATTGCATGGTTCTGTTCAGTGTTAATATTAAGAAAATAAGTTACGAAGTGTATTTACTATTTTGACAGTTTTTAAACCAAATATGTGAACACTAATCAGAAATTAAGCAAATCAATTACTTTAGTGAAGGATCTTCTTAAGTTACAATCAAACTGTGTCCTTGTTTTCTTGTTCTATGTACATGTATGTAAGGTGGGTTTTCACACCCGTTGTCTTGGTGAGTGTACGGATTTGTCGGTGCATGGGTTAGTATGTCTCTCACAGTATTATTTCACACATGTTATTGTTTTGTGCAAATTTATTTGATATTTTATGCCATTGTCACTGTTTATATTGAATATAAATTTGGATGTCTGAATTTTATCACCAGAAAAGTGTATTTCTATGTCATATTTTTCAAGTACAGGGTCAGTAGGATTAAACAGTTACATGTACATCATGATTTTTAGATCTATTATATTTACAGATTTTTGTCTCTGAAAAATGCACTAGTCATGTTTGGAGAAATATAGTTGTTAATGTCTTGAAAATATTGCTTGTCTTGTAGAGTAAACAGCACCTCGTAAGTCTCAAGCCTCAAGAAATATTTATCCTATGACGATTACAGGTTATAGAGAGATTAAGAGGGGGGTGTCATGAATTCTGTCGCTAAAACACATCGCATTCAATTTCTTGTTGTAAAATGTCCAAAAGTTGTAAAAAATTCAAAAATGCTTCCATCTTTTTACCACAACACTGAACTATTTTGAGTTCATAGATTATCACATTGATAATTGATTTTAATGAATTACAAGTTCTGATGGGTTTTTAAAAACTAAGAGAGATGCGATGTTCCTGTTAACTACTAGCCAGACTTTAGCATTATATACATATTTATTATCATAGAATATTGTTTTAGTCTTTACCAAAGTATTCCGATCACGTTAGTATTTACATCTAAGTATTGTTTGATGCCCATCTGTTATTAGTGTACATCATCACAGAAATATTCTCCAGTTTCAGAAACACTAATTCGAGAATATGTTGTTCAAATATTTATGTTCATGAACTAAGTCAAATGTTTGTTCATGATCATGACATTCTGTCCATGAAATGATGGAAATTAATATTCATGACATTCTGTCCATGAATTGATGGAAATTAATATTCATGACATTCTGTCCATGAATTGATGGAAATTAATATTCATTTTGTTCACATTAAACTTGAACATTATAAAGTCAAATATTAGAAATCTTCTTTCTGATTGTCTTCTTCTTCTTTTTTTAAATTAATGTTGTGATTCATCAAAGTCATCGAATAATTTTTTTTTTTTTCTGTAACCATATTTGACCTATTAAGGTGCAACTCCTTGATATCAAGTGTTTTATAGTCAGCATGATTTGATATAATAAAGATTTGAACCTCACACAAGATTAACTTTCTTTAAGTCAGTGTCCTTTCTTCAAACTATTTCAAAGTTCAAAATTTCATGACAAAACTTAGTTTTGTTTGCCAAGAGTACTCAGTTAAAATATGATCATTTTTTAAATTATGTTGCCAATAACTGCAGATTAAGCCGTTGGCCCTAATCGTCACAAGATCTTGGAGTGAAGAAAAACAGAAGTGGTTGCCAGTTTTCAAGAAAGTAAGAACTGTAAAACAATGAAATCAAGCTCCATAATTATCATTAGACAAATAAATAGGTTTCATTTGTGTGATTGGTCAGTTTGTGCTGCCATCTTGTTGGTCAGTTCTACTGCTACGTTAAGGCATTCCAGAATAGTCCAATGTCCAAAGATTGTGAGGTCGGAAATTGTACGATTGTCAAGGGGATTCCTGTGCACTACGTGGGCACAGATCTACAGTATATGCAACATTGAATCCAGATACTCTTTACTGCAAAAGTCATTTATTACGCCCTTGTTACCATCCATGTATTCCATTCAGCTGGATATTCAATAGTATTGTTTCTTTTGTTTGTGCATGCCTTTGTTGAAAATAAGTCACTTTAGTAGCCTCTGTAACTTAATATTATTAAATAAACTGCCATTGTCCTTTGAAATTTGTTTTGTCTTTATAAAGAAAAGAATGCAGACATTTTGGTCGTGATCAATACGTTGAGGGGAGATAACTTGTCAAGTTCCCCTTTGGTGTTTCATTGTCAGATTTGGTTGAAGAGTGAATGTTGTTTTATGCTACATTTAGCTACTGTCCAGACATATCATGGCAGTGTGAATAGTCCAGTCTGGGACAGAAAACATGAGGAATAACCGATAAGCTTCTATCGAAATAGGGAATACTGAGGACTTATTCTGCAGCATAATCCACAGGATCGCAAGCATAGGACCCATTTTGTGCTGGCGTCACTATTGAGTACTGAGGGTGCATTCAACCCCAGAATAAGAGACTAACATGGATAACAGGTTGCCGTTGTAAAAAACGACCCTTATTGTTCTTTAGACCTGTTCTGCCCAGAATCCCAAAAGGCGTTTGAAGTATGGTGAACAAGAGACAAAGTCAACTCTGGACCAGACAATCCAGTGATTGACGACATGAGCATCAATCCATGCAATTTGGGATACGATTACATGCATCAACAAAGTCAGTGAGCCTGACCACCCCATCCCGTTAGTTGCCTTTTACGGCAAGCATGGGTTGCTGAAGACCTATTCTCATTCAGATCTTCACGGGTCACTCAGGTTTTTACGAGATAGAACACCCTTGGAACTCATAAAAACCCTTGGACATGCCTTTACCTATTAATCCTACACTGCATTTCAATACACTTGTTTAAGTTTGTCAGCACCATACCCGCGCTCGTGGGTTTCACCGAAGTGGTAAACGTCTGAGACCTGCATCACTTCGGGCTTTCCTCCCACATTAAGCTGACACACCATGACATAACTGCAATACTGTTCAAAGCGGCGTTAAACCGAACGAACTCACTCACTACACTTGTTCAACGCAATCAACTTTAGAACATGAAAATGTACACTACTCAAAAGAAGTTAAAGAACTCATGATTCTTTCATCATACTTTTGTTAGTAGGGGTACGGGGTACTCGGGTTGGGTGGGTCATGAGTAGGACCCTGGTACCCACAGGACTTGCCCCCGGACCCGCGGTTAGTCATGTGAATTATTGTTTAAGGACAAAAAAATCACTTTAGCTCAGTGGTTACACTACATGTCCCTAATGTTCGCATTTCTGTCTGACGATACATCCATTCCTTTTGACTTGCATATGTTTGAGTAAAGACAACGCTTCAGTCACCCTTAATGTATGCATGATCATATCGTTTGATACATGCATCTAAACAGCTACTGCCTGGGCTGTGGTAAAACAGTTCCCAACTCGTGAGACCTGCAGTGGGTACCCGGGTAGGGTCGGGTAATAGGGGGTCGGATACCCGGGTAGTAGATTTGGACTCGTCCCAGCCCTTCTGTCATGTCAGATTTTGAGGAGTATGTACATGAGAAGTATGCTTTTCAACAAGGGTGGAAGCATACCATTACCCCTGGGCCCAAACTCTGGATCATGTGGAGGTCAGGAACCAGTGTGCATGAGCTTCAACAAAGAAGTTGTTTGAAATTAAGCCTGGAAGTGAAGGGGTCCTTGTCCTTGTTGAGATTTAGGAGGTCCCGAGATTTAAATACCATTGGAGTACCCCTCTTTCTTAAAAGTCGGGGATATATTTATATTTCACTCATTGTAAAAATGTAAAACTGAACAATAAATATAGAATACTATACAAGCTCCCGTGTAATACCAATTTTATGAAACGAGTGAATAGTTCTGCTATCTGACGAGCGAAAGCGAGTCAGATACCATAACTATTCACGAGTTTCATAAAATTGGTTTTACACGGGAGCGAATTTAGTATTTTATTTATTACTGGCCATTTATAACGTTTTTAGGATTATACTGTTGAGTGTGAATAGGCTGACACCTACACGATCCACGGCATAATCCAACTGAGTTTAACACAGTAAAACTTCAAATACGTCAAAAGTTTAAACGTATGAATTTAATACCATCCAACGGTTCACCTTTAGAATTCAGGCGTCCGTTCCACAAAATTATCGTAGCGTTAAGGTTATCGCAACTTATATACTTTTAACTTAGACCAACGACTGTCGTCGCGCTACCGTACGATCGCCTTGTGGAACGGGGCCTTGCACCTCAAAGTTTACAATCACGTCACAATACCCGATGACGTAATTTGTGGAATTTTGTTGCAAGATCCTTTGGCGAAACAATGCCATGTGACGTCAACCTAGCAACAAGGTTGCTGGGGTCATCGAGTGTGTATAAGCTCCTCTCAGTGATCTATCATCTCCACACGCAATGTCGTTGAATAAGCCAAGGGATGTTGAGAGCTTTCAATATTTGTTCATGAAACGTGTTCCGAGAGTACATAAGCACACGTTTTGGTATTACACAATGTGTAATACAGCTGTATGTTTATTAAACGGGTGATCTCTTCACGGGCAAGTAATTAAAGCCTCTTCTTGTTTATGAGTCATGATATCAGTGAATTGCAAGTCACCTCTACAATGTTATTTACTACTATAACTTAGCAATGTTTTAATTTCAATTTGGGAATTTGTACTGACAATTGCTTGGAACTTGGGGGCTGCATGCATATCAGGCTCTGAGCAAATCTCAACAAGTCCCTGGTGTCTCTTTGGACTTTCCACACGTTAAACGGATATAACTGTTATGTTACTGAAGTACTGTTCAAAGTTGTGATATGACTGAAAAACAACATAAAAACTGGGATATAACTGAAATAATGCTCAAAACTGTGATGTAACTGAAATACTACATAAAAGCTCTAATATAACTGAAATCCTGCTCAAAGCTGTAATATAACTGAAATACTGCTCAAATCTGTAATATAACTGAAATACTGCTCAAAGCTGTAATATAACTGAAATACTGCTCAAAGCTGCAATATAACTGAAATACTGCTCAAAGCTGTAATATAACTGAAATACTGCTCAAAGCTGTAATATAACTGAAATACTGCTCAAAGCTGTAATATAACTGAAATACTGCTCAAAGCTGTAATATAACTGAAATAATGGTCAAAGCTGTAATATAACTGAAATAATGCTCAAAGCTGTAATATAACTGATATAATGCTCAAAGCTGTAATATAACTGAAACACTGCTCAAAGCTGTAATATAACTGAAACACTGCTCAAAGCTGTAATATAACTGAAATACTGCTCAAAGCTGTAATATAACTGAAATACTGCTCAAAGCTGTAATATAACTGAAATACTGCTCAAAGCTGTAATATAACTGAAATACTGCTCAAAGCTGTAATATAACTGATATAATGCTCAAAGCTGTAATATAACTGAAATACTGCTCAAAGCTGTAATATAACTGAAATACTACTTAAAAGCTGTTATATAACTGAAATAATGCTCAAAGCTGTAATATAACTGAAATACTGCTGAAAGCTGTGATATAACTGAAATAATGCTGAAAGCTGTGATATAACTGAAATACTGCTCAAAGCTGTGATATAACTGAAATACTACACGCAGCTGTAATGTAACTAAAATACTACATAAGAGCTGTTATATACCGGAAGAATACTCAAAGCTGTGATAATCACTCAGTTGTGTCAGCATGTTAACTTTGTAGGCCACATTAAGTTTTAGTGGTGACTTTGGCCATAACCATATACTTATCCCCTATCTCCCAGCATGTATATGAACAAGACAAACCAGTGGCCGATAGCATGAGCAACAATCCACACCATCTGATCTTCATTTGTTTGGCTCTGACCTGACCTGAGAATTCCACATGGATGTGCTAAGTGTGGCGTCAAACAACAAACAAACAAAACATGGCTGCTATTAAGCACAGCTCTCATACATCTATTGAGACACTTTATTAGCAAATGTACATCTGATTTTAGCTGACAAACAAACAACAATATAATCAAGACACAAAAGTTAAATTGACAATATATTTAATACAATTAATACTTTCCTCATCCACCCGAGGTACAGGATGTATCCTTGATGGAGGAGACTCCTTTTCTTCCATACCTCCAACTTACGATTAGATGTAGTAGAATAGCATGGACTTTCCTACATATACCATTATACATGTATATACATTGTATTAGGCCAGACCAATTGAGGTACCGTATTCGACGTAATAAGCGCCCACGGCAACATTTGCTAAGATATTGGCGAGTGAACAATCCCAATTAGCACTCCTTCCGATTGATCAATGTACACAAGACTTATTGATTCATGTATAATACGCACTTGTGTGTTATATGCACCCTTAATTATGGGCATTTAATTCTGGAAAAATATATCTGTTGCACATAAACATTTCAGGCTGTCAGCATAAACCACGAAATTTAACTTTCAACTCTGAATTTTTCACCAAAATAACATTCTAATAAGAGCCCCCTTTTTCTAATTTTGAGAGCGCCCTGGGCACCTATTACGTTGAATACGGTACTTGTTTTACAGACTTTTATCCCCTAACTTGAAGGCAGGAGGGAAAAATGCATATGAAAATACTTTTTAAGAAATACTGTTACTGCATTGTCCCTATGTACTGTTTTTTCTTGTGCAAAATACACAAATCATTTGGGAGAGTGGGTGGGACTGCATGGTTGGGGCCGTGGTGGGGGGGATATGCTATCTTTTCATTTCACAAGTGGAACTGATATAACTGCACATTTGGAGTAAAAAGGTTATCAGACCAGGTGAAATTGGGTTTAACGTCGCGTCCAAGATTATTGCACTTATATAGCGACGTGCATGCACGTGTATGTGTGTGGCTGCTTGTACTAGTCCGGACTGATGCCGATTTATAGTGCTAGCACACTGAGATACCATGCCGCAGTTTAACATGAATACCCCACTCAGACACAGTATACTGACTCCGAGCCGACCAGTCCTTGTTTTAGCCCCTTAATGCCGAGCGCCAGACAGGGTAACAACAAATACCATCTCTTAACGTCTTTTGGTATGACGCGGCCGGGAATCGAACCCCGGACCTTCCGCTCTCCAGGCGGACGCTCTACAACTAGACCACGGAGGCGGTCAGATCATTTTGAATGCACATGGTGCCTTGTTATATTGGTCTGGCCTTACACTGATAACAGCCAGAGTAACAGGGTGGCACAGGTGGCCCAGTTGACTAGGCGCCATGATTTGCTTTGCAGAGTTGCATACCTTGGGCACGCCAGAAACCTATGATTGTTGGTTCCAATTCCGGTTCGACCCGATTATGTTTCTAGGTTTGTCAGCACCATACCCGTGCCCGTGGGTTTCACCGAAGTGGTAAACGTCCGAGACCTGCATCACTTCGGGCTTTCCTCCCACATTAAGCTGACATGCAGCGATATAACTGGAATACTGTTAAATGCGGCATTAAACCCAACTCACTCACTACACTGGAAATATGGGCTTGGTTTTGATGCAATGTTACATGGGTGAAAATTCAACATCGACATAAACACATTTGTTCTCCAGTGTCAGCTTCAATTAGGTGGAAAAATCTTTCAATGCAACTCAGGTGATAACTGTGTTTGCCACTGTCAAACTTTGGTGAAACCAATGAGCATGGGTAAGGTGCCGACAAACCAAGGATCATAATCAGGGTGCATCTGGTAAATCCTGGGATCAGTGGATCCTGGCATGAATTTCAAAGGACACACAACTGCATCAGCAAAGTGGTGCGCCACAAACATGTGAGACCACTGAGCCCTCATCGGCCATTCCTTTTGTTTTGAAAAGAATGTTAAGAAATTTGGGTGTGCTGTATTATCGGTATATTGGTAAACTGAGATTCATTCTTTCAACGATTCATATCTAAATATAATTTTTTCATGCTGGATATAGCATGTATAGTGGGTGATTTCAAATAGCGATTTTTAATAATAATAATAATAGGTCCATTTATACTGCGCCAGTTTCCATTCACCAAGTTAATGCTCATGGTGCTACATAGTTTTAGCAAGTAATGCTAATGAAAGGCTTGTATTTAGGCAGTAGTTCTGTGAGATATAATGAGGTAGCATGTGTTTAATGTTATTTCCTTGCCAAATGCCTTCGCTGCCCAGCAGCATGCCTCCAGGGTTCCAAGATAGCTGCGTATTTATTGACGGAGTAAACATCACGTTGTGCCAGCATCTTGCTTTGTTCCATTTATCAACTTCAATTCATACCATAATGAATAAGATTACATCTGAATTCAAAATTGAGAATTATACAATATTGTGATACATACCTCAATATGGCCTTGTGGATAGCAAAATATTGTGATACACTTTTAACCTCCAATATCCATCCCTCATAAGAAACAAGTTGCCAAGAAATAAATGAAACATTTCGATCATCTCAGAACATAGCACACAACATTATCCTGATTACAGCTAGGACTTTCAACAACGTTCATTGAAGCAGGGTCCAAAACTAAGTTTGAATATAGATAACCCATTTTGGACAGGACATTTATCTTTACATGTGTGGGCTTCCTGCATATCAAAGTTGATGAGTTCAGTTACAGATGTATCTTATAGCTGGTTTCATCTAGTGGGATCTTCTCATCATATCCTCGATGCAGGCCGGTCAGGATGTAGGCCAGGTAAAGGGAAAAACCAAGCAGGCCAAGGACTAGAAGACATGTGTTTTTGATGCCCAGCTCACAATAGAATTCATACCAGACACTTGGAATCACTGAGGATCTGGGTGATTTAACATAGCTCGAGGCAGTGTTTGTGAGTGAACCTTGTGATGTACTTTTCTCCTTCTCAAAGTGTTCGAACAGGTCAAGAGTATTCTTTGGGACTCCTCGTCTCTCAGCCAAGAATTTTGGGGTGAAACCCATCTTATTTCTGAAAAAAATTATCATTGTCACTGATAAATCGTAGCTATGTACTGCTCTGCTTTTACTATCTGAATATATATGGTTTATGGTGGAAAATATATAGATGCGAATTCCTCATTCAGTAACATTAATGATTAATGATTATTTACCACCAGTCTTCACAATCACTGTCAGCGTCACATTAAAGAATTTATATCCCCCAGCATGCCTAGTTCACAAACAACTTGCCTTCAAGTTCACCAAATAATTCAATTGAAAGTGTATGTTGTCAAAATGAAAAACACAAACAGGTGCAGTTGGTAATCGCAATAAGTTTGACCGTCCGAAAACCTATGATTTATATTTCGTCGGATCACAGGTTTTTAGGACAGCATCACACAGACATTGTAAATACTCAGATGATGGCTTGTTTTCAAGAGAAAGTTGTCTCTTATGAGCAAATGAGATGGGTTTTTTTCAGTTGTTCATGTGATCAGAGAGAAACTACGACCGTTTCTTAAGCGTCTGAAAACTCATAACACGGGGTTACAAGAAATCTGGGTAACGAAACGCCCTGAGAGTTATCAAATTACCAGGATACTACCAGAATAATAAAAGACACAGAACCCTACAGAGAAGAAAAGGGGTTATAGCGAAAACGTCACCGGGCGAAAACGGCACTGATTGGCAAAAAGGGACATCGACTCAATTGAAAACGGCTACTATTGCCTGGCGAAAACGGCACCTTATTTTTTTACACCTTGGTCAAATAAATGATAATAAACTTACATAAAACAAGTAAGAAATTAGCCCCTTCTCCAATTTACTCGACGACCCTTATTGGTAGGCGCAGTTAACTTATTATGAACACTATACGCTTTGAAGTTGTTTAATGTTTAATATGTCAAGGACTGATGCTGACCGTGCGTTAACATTAGCTCCCATTTCCACCAGTGTCTCCACGGTATCGATGTGACCGCACCAATGAAGCGGCGTGTTTCCTTGGCGGTCCTCAGCATTCATGTCAGCTCCACTGTTTATCAATAATCGCACCATTGCAGCGTGACCTCGACATGCTGCCAAATGTAACACTGTCCGGCCATTTGCGTCGGATTCTTCGAGACGACAGGTGCCCGTTTCAATTGCTGCCGTTACTTCCGCTACATTCCCGTCTAACACAGCATCACGAAGAACGTCACCCCTTTCCATAATGTCAAACGAAAAAGGATTATCGTAATTCTCCATTCATGACCAGTATTGGACCAATAATAGAGAATGTTGCTGAGTTAAACTGTCGAACTCAAACTAGGAAGTAAACGACCGGAAACGGAAGTCTTATATAAGCCCCTTAATACCATAACAAAAATACATTCTAGCTAATTTCCAGATTGTCTTGAAATAAACATCACATTTGATATCTTTAACGCATTACAATTTTATTCCAAATTTATGGAATTTCTTGGTTTATCCAATCACTAACTTAATATTCAATTTATTTGACCTAAAACTATAAGTCATCTGTGTTCCGTTTCTACCGTACGGGTTGGTGGTGTCCTGGGAATATGGGATTGGAAATATCTCATCTATGACGGAATATGAATCTGAAAAACTTCTTCCAAGACTTCAATCCAAGGTTTACTTGTTTTGTCACTCGGCGTCTCTTGATATGTTATTGTTTCATGCACATGGAAACAGTGTATTCATTCAGTTTACTCGACAATCTCATCTTCAGTGGCCTTTGCGGAGTAGAAGATCGTGAATAGAAAACACACGTTTGAACGATTAACTTTTCTCATGATAGATTTTCCTACACAGTGTGACGGGTTTTTTACATGGGCCAAACGGTGTTGTTGTAGGTGTCACCATTGAAAACCATTACCTACCCCATTCTACAAGTTTTATAACTTAATATTGTTTCATCAAACACCATCAGTTAATGCAGGAGATAAACATATCCCAGTGTATGGAGAATGTTCTGGTGTTTTCAATGCAAATACTTCTTGTGATATGGAACACTTATGTGACTCCAGAGTTAACATTAGATGCAAATATTCACATGCATATTTGCATCAGCCATACCATACCTGATTAGTTTTATTCTCAAATAATGATTCATGACTATAGATTAGGAATCTAAAGGAAAAAACAAAAACAAACAAATATTGAAAGACCTTGTTGCCAAATATTTCTATTCAATATCTACCTATTTTAATAATACCACAGGGGCGGTCGGGTAGGCGTGGTTAAAGCGTTCGCACGTCACGCCGAAGACCCGGGTTCGATTCCCGACATGGGTACAATGTGTGAAGCCCATTTCTGGTGTTCCCCGCCGTGATATTGCTGGAATATTGCTAAAAGTGGCGTAAAACCATACTCACTCACTAATAATACCACTTTGTAGGCTACCTCGATTCCAAGGATCATCTGCCAAGATCTTGGTGTTTACAAACAATAGGTCACACGACCATTATTTTGTGGAGAATATTTATATCACTACATCCACAAGGGACATACCCCCAGCTACCCCTGAAAAATTTGATTCTGACAGGAATTGAAAGTGTTGACATCCTTTCCTGAATCGACTAAGGAATCAAGATTTTTATCCAAAAGATTATTCAACATCGCATATGCTGAAACAATAAATGGACTTGTAGTTGTGTCTAACCCTGTTACAGCTGTGTATGACTGTGAACACTGTTATGACTCCTCTAAGGATTCACAGCCCTATGCAAGTCATGAAAGCAGACTTAAATTACACAGGTGGTTACAATTTTGAATGATTTAAACATAACGACGATGTGTAACCTGTATGATTATGCAGAGCTCCAGATAAGCTTTTGGTGTTGTGGGTATTTTATCCATGCATTTTAAAATCATTGGGTATCAGTAGTTCTATCTGGGTATTCAAATTTCTGTTACCCACTAGTTTTTACACATGTGGGTATTTAAGTTAAATATTTCAAAACATTATTCATCTAGTCCCCGCAAACTGGTGGCGTGTGGGTTCGAGATCTTTATAAGACGATACTTCCACAAGAAAGTGTGATGGCAAATGATCATGATGTAACTGTCATCGTGGAGTTTGGCAAGCTTGACAGAATGTCCGTTTATAATTTCAAAATAAGTTGGTGATTTGCTAATCGAATACGCAGGGTTACTTCACAATATTTTGATGATACGCACAAGTTTTATTTTTGTAGCGTATCTGTACTGTTCGTTGCGTATTTGATACGCTTGGATTTTATTTTACTGCATATTTCTGCATTTCTGATGCGTATTTTAAGCAGATACGCAGCTTATCTGGAGCTCTGATTATGTGTCAGTGTTCCCTGACAACTTGGATTAATATCATGCTGTCAACCTCTTGATTCCCTGGCTTAGACACGATTACCGTATTCAACGTAATAAGCGCCCACAGCGATAATTGCTAACATATTGACCAGTGAACAATCCCAATTAGCACTCCTTCCGATTGATCAATGTACACAAGACTTATTTATTCGCGTATAATATGCACTTGTGTGTTGTATGCACCCTTAATTATGGGCAATGAAATTCTGGAAAAATATAACTATCGTACATAAACATTTCAGGCTGTCAGCATAAACCACGAAATTTATCTTTCAACTCTGTTTTTTCCACCAAAATAATATTCTAATAAGAGCCCCCTATGTCTAATTCTGAGAGCGCCCTGGGCGCTTATTACGTCGAATACGGTACCTGAACCAGGTACGTAGCATGAACCCAGTCAGCAAGCCCGACCACCAGATCCCCTTAGACACATTTTGCGACAAGCATATTTGCTTTTTAGGCAAGCATGGGTTGCTGAAGACAGGGTATGAAACTCCCAAAGATTTCATCCAGACCACAGGACTGGCTAGCTGAAATACTTGCCAGCCCTGACCAAAACCTGCCTGCCCACTATATAATCATATGTTTCTCAGGATAAGCTAACGGGATTTCTTTTTGGTTACATTTTATCATTCATCTTTACATGTGAATTAATGATTATCATCGGGAAATATTTAGAATATTGTCACATATGAAATATAACCCGACTGTCGGGCAGGGGGATTTGAAAATCTGGCAGCCCGAGTTGAAATCAACCCGTCTCGGACGGTCGGGCAGGCAGGCAGGCAGGTATTTCGAACACTGCTGAAGACCTCTTCTACTCCAGATCTTCACAGGTCTTTTAATGTAATGGTGTTATAATGATGCTAATCATGCTAACAGAGACTTTGTATTTCAGTAAGTTCCTGGTCTTCTCCTGCTTGTTGGTGTTCTCACTTCTGTTCGCTCTGCGTCAAGATGACTCAATATCATGGAGCTATTGGGTCATATTCCTTCCTATCTGGCTGTGGAAGGGCACCGTCATAGTTGGTGCGTCTGTGGGAAGCTACGTGTGGTGGAAAAACCCACATTATAGGTGAGAGGTCAAGGTCATGAAACAACACAATACCATTTTCAAATTTGGTTATGTTGTACCAGGATATTAATAAAACTTGGGACTGAAACATGTCTTTTGAGGTTAGAATTAACTTCAGGACCTTCTGCACAAAGTGATCACAAGCTAGCTATTAGTCCCATACTGTAACATAGACGTACAATGAATGTAGTGCTAAGATTGCTTTGTGCACATAGCCCTTTAGACTAACATCTAGTCTCTGAAATGAACATATCGTACAGAAAAAAACAATTGTTCAGTTATCTTAATAAAAATATTATAAAAAGGAGCCTAGTGACTCTCTTCATTTTCAGACTTGCCAAACATTATAGACTTGCATGGGCTGTATTTGATATATATTTGTATCAGGGTCTGTAAGACAGACTAATAGCCTGATACTGCAGTGATCTAGACTTGCCAAACATTATAGACTTGCATGGGCTGTATTTGATATATATTTGTATCAGGGTCTGTAAGACAGACTAATAATCCTTCGTAATAATCACCATGGTTAGTGTATCATCGTCAAAGAACCAGCTGTTTGATTGGCCAGTTGTCTTGTGAAAATCCATACAAATCCGCTGGATGGAAAGTACGGCTAAAATGGTGAGAACAACCTTCTTAGATGTTTGAGGTATGGCTAGTTCGGTAGAATCTATTTAACACATGGAATGTCACAATAGTAACCTGATGACACAGGAACTCTTCAGCATTGTCAGTCCATTAAAATCTGATGTGCCTGGTCAAACTAGATTTCGTTTTACACATGGAACATGGCAATCAGTGGTGTTATTGGCACACATTTTCAATATACATGATCATCACTCCACATGAGTCATCATGACAGCCATGTACAGTACACAGTTGGGTTGGAATGTGTAGCATGCTGCTCAGCACCTACGCTATACAGTAAGCCTTGCTTTGTATCAATACATGCCTTCATCCAGATGTCATGTCATGGACTGATGCTCACCGTGCGTTAACATTAGCTCCCATTTCCACCAGTGTCTCCACGGTATCGATGTGACCGCACCAATGAAGCGGCGTGTTTCCTTGGCGGTCCTCAGGATTTTTGTCAGCTCCACTGTTTATCAATAATCGCACAATTGCAGCGTGACCTCGACATGCTGCCAAATGTAACACTGTCCGGTCATTTGCGTCTGATTCTTCGAAACGACAGCCTGCATCCAGATTTGGCTAATGTTAGATATTTTGACATGTTTCTCAATTATCTTGGTGTTAAACGTAGTGGGAGGTCAGTACATAACTTTGCCTGAGGCAGAATGAAATAAATTATGTTTCACAATAATAATAAGAAGAATAAAAATAATAATAAAAATAATAATAATAATAATAACAATAATTGTATAGCACAAAATTCCACATCACCAAGGAACATGCTGAATGCGCAGAAATCAATCACATTACATCCTTTACCACTTTCGTTTTCTCAGGGTTGCGGAACCATTAACCTAAATATATTCATAAGGTATGGCCTGAAGCATGTTAAGTCATGTTTTTGTCTAGACTAGCTCAGTCTACAGCAAGTGTCAGAAATAATTCTGAGTTGGAATAAAGAAAGGTCACGTCCACCGCCTCCATGGTCTAGTGGTAGGGCATCCGCCCGGAGAGCGGAAGGTCCGGAGTTCGATCCCTGGCCGCTTCATACCAAAAGACGTTAAAAGATGGTACTTGTTGTTACCCTGTCTGGCGCTCGGCATTAAGGGGCTAAAACAAGGACTGGTCGGCTCGGAGTCCGTATACTGTGTCTGAGTGGGGTATTCATGTTAAACTGCGTCATGGTATCTCAGTGAGCTAGCACTATAAATTGGCATCAGTCTGGTCTAGTACAAGCAGCCACACGTGCATGCACGTCGCTATATAAGTGCAATAATCTTGGACGTGACGTTAAACCCCATCTCACAACCACCGCTGTATGAGTGTATTAATCTTGAATGAGACTTCAAACCCCACTTCACCTCCCCTCATCTCTTTCCTGAAGTGTGTGTTTGTTGTTGTACAGGATGGAGGGCGACAGCTATGTACAGTACAAGGCCATGGTGATGTGCACTGGCCTTCACCTTCTGCTTCTCATGTTCGAGGTTTTAGCCTGTGATAATCTAGAGACGGAGAACCATTCGTGGATCCTTGTCTTCATTCCACTGATGTTTATGTCCGTCGTGTCTATTGGTATCTGTGTCTGGGCTGTCAAGAATGAAAGGTCTTTTGAGGTAAGAATCAACTTCAGGACTTCTGCATAAAGGGAGGTAACTCTTCCACACAGACCTAATTCTCAACTGTCCAACACTGGGCCATCATAATATGCGAGTGAGTGAATGAGTTTGGTTTTACGCCGCTTTTAGCAATATTCCAGCAATATCACGGCGGGTGACACCAGAAATGGGCTTCACACATTGTACCCATGTCGGGAATCGAACCCGGGTCTTCGGCGTGACGAGCAAATGCTTTAACCACTAGACTACCCGATCGCCCATTATATGAGAGATCACATATCATTATATGGTCTCTGAAGATATGTACTTCCCCCACAGAACTTTTTCGTGTAACTAGAGTAATGATTAACTGACATGTTACAAGTCTTCCAAATTGATCATCACTTGAAACCAGATAATTAGAATTGTTTAAGGAGAAGATTTCCTTGTACATCTGATCATTCAATCGATCATTTACAAGACAGGATGTGTACATTTTTATTTATTGTTTCAATGTTTGTGGTGTTTGTTTGTTTGATTATTATTTAATTATTGAATTTGTATTTCGAACATGTACAATTACATTACCTTATTTGACGTAATAAGCGCCCAGGGCGCTCTCAAAATTAGGAATAGGGGGCTCTTATTAGAATATTATTTTGGGTAAAAAAGTGAGAAAAAAATTTATGGTTTAAGCTGACAACCTGAAATGTTTATGTACGACAGATATATTTTTCCACAATTAAATTGCCCATAATTAAGGGTGCATATAACACATGAGTGTGTATCATACGCTAATAAATAAGTACATTGATCAGTTGGAAGGGGTGCTAAATGGGATTGTTCACTTGCCAATATATTAACAAATATCGCCCTGGGCGCTTATTGGAGCGGGGCGCTTATTACGTCGAATACGGTTTATCTATTCTTTGTGCTATCATCCCATGAAGGTCTCAGCAACCCTACATTTACCATTATTGTGGTAGGAGGCGACTAACAGGATTAGTTGTGTGGTTTGGGATTATTGACTTTATCCTTTCCAAAGGCTCATGATGTCAGTCACTGGATTGTCTGACCCGTGAAGATTCCAGGGTAGAATAGGTCTTCAGCAACCCATGCTTGCCGTAAAAGGCGACTATGCTTGTCGTAAAAGGCGACTAACGGGATCGGGTGGTCAGGCTCGCTGACTTGGTTGATACATGTCATCGATCTCAATTGCATGGATCGATGCTCATCATGTCAATCACTGGATTGTCTGGTCCAGACTTGATTATTTACAGACCGCCGTCATATAGCTGGAATATTGCTGAGTGCGGCGTTAAACAACAAACCAACCAACCAACCACTGGATTGTCTGGTCCAGAATAATTTAATTACAGACTGACTTCATATAGCTGGAATACTGCTGTGCAGTGTTGAACAATATACAAACAAACAAACCTCTTTGTGCTGTACCTACACTGTTTATCAGTGTGATACAAGAAGTGTAGGAAGTGAATATAGAAGTTAGACACATCCTTGTCAGATAAGTGGAAAGCTGAATAATTATATATGTTTGGCTCAGTAGCTTGATTTGCCACTTGTGAAAATTGTAAAAATGTGCCATGTTTTATGAAATATCATAACTGCCACGGAAACTTAATTTTGTGTATGGGAAATTGTAAGTTTGTTTTATGGTGGCACTGGTTAACCAATTATCTGAATGCAGAATATCGCATCTTAAGTGTGCCAGGATTCCATTATGGGGGATTTGAATCCCAGATTTTCCCTATTTATGATAATTATTGGTGTCTCATCAACATTGTCATGTTCATGGATTTCACCAAAGTGGGTAATGCATACATCACTGTGATTTTCCTCCCACATTAAGCTGACTTGTCATGGCATGAAGGCAATACTGTTCAAAGAAACATGAAACAGAACCACTCACTCATGTATATTTTTTTTTACAGATGGAGTTGTTTTGTTCTGTCAATGTTCTTCAGTTTATTTTTCTGGCTTTGAGACTGGATAAGATCATTAACTGGAGTTGGGTGGTAAGTATTCAATACTTCCATGCTCATATTTCTCAAATTTTGCATGACAATTGGCAAATACTTGGATTAGGAATCTACCCATGAAGATCAGGGGTAGAATAGGTCTTCAGCAACCCTTGCATGCCGTAAAAAGCGACTATGCTTGTCATAAGAGGTGGGTGGTCAGGCTCACTGACTTGGTTGATGCATGTAATCGATCCCAATTGCGTGGATCGTTGCTCATGATATCAATCACTGGATTGTCTGGTCCAGACTCGATTATTTACAGACCGCAGTCATATAGCTGGAATGTTGCTGATTGCGGCGTTAAACAACAAATAAACAAAACGAAACAATTAGGAATCTGATTGGTCAATAAGGGCCATCACAGTTACATTATTCATAATAATAGAGTGTTGCCAATATGTTGTCGTCTGATGGTAGTGTTTTTGTCTTCTGATGGTACTATATTAGTTGAATGCTGACTATATATATTGTACTTGCATGAGTTGTACTGACTTTACATATCTCGTGTACAACCCGGGGGCACGGGTGGCCTAGTCATCTAAGGCCCCACGAGCCTTGTATAAGAGTTGCGTCCCTTGTGCACGCCAGAAACCTGATTGTGGGTTCGAATCCTGGTTCGCCCTGATTATGTTTCTAGGTTTGCCAGCACCATACCCGCGCTCGTGGGTTTCACCAAAGTGGTAAAAGTCTGAGTCCTGCATCACTTAGGGCTTTCCTCCCACATTAAGATGACACGCCACGATATAACTGAAATACTGTTAAAAGCGGCGTTAAACCCAACTCACTCACTCACTCACATACTTCCCTCGATCTTGCTCTGGAAATACACAAATTCTGACTCTCGTTTTGTAAATTCAGTATGACACACATGCTAATATCATGTATATGATATCTCTATTTTATCAGTAAAATAACTGAACATGCTGACAGGAAAGAAACCTTGAGGAAAATTACTCAACTGTGTATATGCTCTTGACTTGTGGGTTTGAAACATTATACTGGTAGTGCAACCACATTTCCCATGTTGTGTTTCAGATTGTGTTTATTCCTATCTGGGTCGTCATGTGTGTTGCCCTCATCGGTGTGCTGTATGCGGTCGTGCTTGCTGTCATTCTTCTCAAATCACCTGATATTATTCCTGAGCAGCGACGAGGCAACATCTCCTCAGCAATTGGCTATTCCTTTCTCGTCATTCCTCTACTAGTATTCGAAGTAAGCTGTGCAGTAAATGTAGTTTGTGTATTTGTCGTAATTAGAAATCAGGAGTTTTAGATTACCATTGCCACGGCCCAATTACAGATATATTGGAAAGTCACCAGGGCCCACTTGCACAAAGTGATCTTAGTGCTACAACTATTGTAAGGCTATGTTAAAATATGGGAGTTACGATCATCTTAGCACTAAGACTATTGTAAGGCTAGGTTAAAATATGGGAGTTACGATCATCTTAGCACTAAGACTATTGTAAGGCTAGGTTAAAATATGGGAGTTACGATCATCTTAGCACTAAGACTATTGTAAGGCTAGGTTAAAATATGGGAGTTATGATCATCTAAGCACTAAGACTATTGTAAGGCTAGGTTAAAATATGGTTGTTACGATCATCTTAGCACTAAGATCGCTTTGTGCAATAGGCCCAGAACTGGAACATTGTTCAGTGAACTTTCAGTTAAATCCCACCAACAGTTTGTTTAAAAAAAAAAAATAGCCCCCCCTCCGCCCAGTTCATATCATTTTCCTATGAAATAAATTTCAGGTGTTTGTCTCGAAAGTAAACGTCAATTTTCATCGTATGAGCCATCAGTTTGGAACCAAAAATTGTTCATTGTGTGGTACATTTCCATACCGACGTCCTCAATCTCCAGTCAACCTGTAAAGATCCGGTTAGAATAGGCTTTCAGAATCCCAGGCTTGCCATAAGAGGCAACTAGGCTTATCGTAACGGCGACTAACAGGATCAGGTGGTCAGGCTCGCTGACTTGTTTGATGCATGTCATTGTATCCCAGTTATGTAGATGGATGCTCATGATGTCAATCAATGGATTGTCTGGTCCAGACTCGATTATTTACAGACCGATGCATATAGCTGGAATATTGCTGAGTGCGGTGGTAAACAACAAACAAACAACAATCTTCAGTCTTTAATTCAAGGTTGATTACCGGTTATGCCACTGTCAACAATATTCATGCCATATCACAGCGATTTGTATATGAATGTGAGTGAACCAGACAAGCCCCCAAAAAGTGAGCTGTTCTCACAAATTTGCCATTTCTACTGAAGTTGCTATTCCTGAATTTATTTTATAAGTGTGTGTATTTCAATACATATGTATGACATGGATGGCGGGTCACTGTGACCTACCTTCAGTGAGTACCATATGCTGTTGTTACATTGAACTTCACCTAGGAACATCATATTTGGTATATATGTTGGATAGTAGGGCTGGGAAGAGTCCAAATTTACACCCCGGGTACCTACCCCCTATTACCCGACCCTACCCAGGTACCCACTGTAGGTCTCAAGAGATAGGTTCAAAATATCTGATTGGGATTTTTTTTACCATAGCCCTGGCAAAACATATTTAGATACATGTATTTAACAGTCTGGTCATGCATACACTGAAGTTGACTTAAAGTTATATCTTTATTCAACCATATGAAAAGTCAGAAGGAATGGGTGCATTGTCAGAAAGAAATGGGAACATTAGTGACTTGTAGTGTAACTATAGAGTTATAGATGGTTTTTGTCATTAAACAATATATCACGTGACTGACCACAGGGCCGGGTAGTCCTGTGGGTACCCGGGTCCTACTCAGTACCCACCCGACCTGGGTACCCGAGTTACCCGTCCCAGCCCTACTGGATAGCCCTTTAAAATTTCTTAAAATGTTTGCAGTGAGGGTCGTGCGCAAGGTCATACACTCATTTTCTTATTAAGTTCACAACAACTTAAGAAGCGTTCTTTGTAGTTGGATGAAATTTGGTACATAGATACTCTTCTCCTTATTGTCGGGGGTCACACATGGCCCAGTCGTCTAAGGCGCTGTGATTCGCTGTGCAGAGTTTCGTCCCTTGGGCACGCCAGAAACCTATGATTTTGGTTCGAATCCCAGTTCGCCCCAAATGTGTTTCTAGGTTTGTCAGCACCATACCCGTGCTTGTGGGTTTCACCAAAGTGGTAAACGTCTTAGACCTGCATCACTTCGGGCTTTCCTCCCACATTAAGTTCACACGCCGTGATATAACTGGAATACTGTTAAAAGTGGCGTTAAACCCATCTCACTCACTAACTCCTTATTGTCGGTCATTGTGAAGGTGAGCACCCTCCCTCTGTGTTTATATATCATTGTCTTGCATTGGACATGTGTTTTAACAAACAGGAAGTGATGTCATTAAACTGGCAGCCCCATCTGCTTGTGACTTTGTTATCAAGGAAACTACAAGCATGATACTTTCTTTTTTAAAGTTGTCTTGCACTGGGGACCGCCTCCGTAGTCTTGTGGTAGAGAGTCTGCCCGGAGAGCACAGGTCCGGGGTTCGATCCCCGGCTGCGTCATACAAAAGATATAAAAAAATGTTCCATTTATTGGTGTCTTCCCTCTGTGATGCGGATGAAATATTGATACACACACCCATACGCTCATTCACACACAAAATGTAATTTACTGACCTTGAAATTGCAATTTTCAAGTCCAGGGGACCGTTCCACAAAGCTATCGTAGCGTTACGACTGTCATAAGTCTATGTTAAAGCAATGGGAGTTACGACTGACTTTGTGCTACGACAGCTTTGCGGAACAGGGCCCTGGTATTATAATTTATCCTCTTATAAGTATTTTTCCTTGTATTTCCAGATATTACTTGCTGACCGTATGGATAACTCTACAAATAACCCGAAAAACTACACGGCTGTGACAGTGCCCCTTCTCATGTCCCTCGTCACGCTGGTCTGTCTGTCCTTCGGGTCAAAGGGAGGCAACCACTGTATGTACCACTTCCTACTAGAACATTAGGTTGCCTGCTCCTACACATACTATGCAAAAGAAGTCAAAGTCCATCCGTTTCTTTCATATTCAATGATAGATAAAATATTGTAATGTGAAAGAAACTGATATTTTTTGCTTCTTTTGAGTAGTATAATTGGGCTACATATGTCTTTTTGTGAAATAATTATAGAAAAATGTGGGTTTGGCAGTCACTAGACTCAAATGTATAAAAGCAGCGTAAAATCCTAATGAAGCTTTTTCAGCATGTGTTGAAAGCTGCTACTTTCCGAATATGAGCTAATATATTTTCCAGGTCAAGCCTATTTATTTACATATTTACTGTTATATACATCTAAAACATTATCTCATTTTTTTTAAATCTTAAAATGTTCACTAATTTTGGGAAAAGCCCAATAGATTGACGAATAGATGAGTGAAAAAATATTGGTTACCCAATGAAAAATGTAATAAATCATTTGAAATAGAAACCCTAGAGTAAAAACTCAATTGCTCAAAAAGTTATCTGGAGCTCTGATGACATCAGGGGCGGTCGGGTAGCCTAGTGGTTAAAGCGTTCGCCAGTCACGCCGAAGACCCGGGTTCGATTCCCGACATGGGTACAATGTGTTAAGCCCATTTCTGGTGTCCCCCGCCGTGATATTGCTGGAATACTGCTAAAAGCGGCGTAAAACCATACTCACTCACTCACTCACTCTGATGACATCCCCTGAACATTAGGCTGCCTTCAGTGAAGTTTCTCTGTGGGGTTCACATTTCACTTTGTTGGTTATTCTCTAAATATATGTCAGACCGCCTCCGTGGTCTTGTGGTAGAGTGTCCGCCCGGAGAGCGGAATGTCCGGGGTTTGATCCCTGCCCGCATCATACCTAAAGACGTCAAAAGATGGTACTTGTTGTCACCCTGTCTGGCGCTAACGGCATTAAGGGGCTAAAACAAGGACTAGTCGGCTAGGTGTCAGCATACTGTGTCTGAGTGGGGTATTCATGTTAAACTGCGGCATGGTATCTCAGTGAGCTAGCACTATAAAATGGCATCAGTCTGGACAAGTACAAGCAGCCACGCACACGCCCAAACGCACGCACGCACACACACACACACACACACATACGTGCATGCACGTCGCTATATAAGTGCAATAATCTTGGACGCGACGTGAAACCCCATTCCACCTCATTCCCAATACATGTCATTCTTCCAGTTTGTTAACATTTATCTGAATTGAATTTGTTAAATATGTGTGATAAAAAGGTTTGGAAGTGTCCTGTGAAATCCTATTTTGTCAAAATTACCCAGTGTGATAGGATCATGATGGTAATTCTGCAAGTGGTTGTCCTGTCTATCTCCATCATGTCCATTAATTTTTGTAACATTTTTAACATTTTGTTCTAATAAGAGAGATTTATTTTCAGGGTGGTTTGGAATCAGAAAAGACTTTTGTCAGTTCGTTCTTGGGGTGTGTCCATTTCTCCAGGAATATGGAAACATATCCTATTCTATACAGAACAATGAAACTGAATCCGAAGAGAGTTCGGTGGACACGTCGGAAAAGTTGAAGACCAGCACCTCAAAGAAGGACCTTGTTGATGAACAGCCTCGAGCTGTTGTGCCTGTGTTGTCCATTGAGATGCCGGACTGAAACACAGAAAAACATATTTATACAAGATATTTTTGTGTGTTTATTGTCTGTTGTGAGCTGGAGGATTATATACTACTCAAAAGAAGTTAAAGAGCATCCAATTAGTTATATTACTGAGACCCGTGAAGGTCCAGGGTAGAATAGGTCTTCAGCAACCCATGCTTGCCGTAAAAGCCGACGAACGGGGTCAGGCTCACTGACTTGGTTGATGCATGTCATTGCATCTCCAATTGTGTGGAATGATGCTCATGATGTCAATCACTGTTTTGTCTGGAACTGACATGATTACTAACTGACCACCGTCATATAGTTGGAATATTGCTGAGTGCGGCGTGTACTCTTTTGAGTTATATATTTATTAGAGTACACCCACCCTAAAAAACTGGAGATCCAGGTTAGAATTGATCTTCAGCAACCCATGCTTGTTGAAATAGGCAACAAATGGGATCAGGTGATCAGGCTTGCTGACTTGGTTGATGAATTACGTATATCGATGCTCATGATGTCAATCAATGGATTGTCTGGTCCAGACTCGATTATTTACAGACCGCCGTCATATAGCTGGAATACTGCTGTATGTGGCGTTAAACAAACAAACAAACAAACATAAAACTGGAGGATTATCATGGTCTCTTCTCAACTCTCATTGTGACCAGCCAGTCCCCACGGTAGTTACTTTTTATTGATTTTACTTCGGAAATAGTTGATGCCTGGGTATTTGTACATTTTAATTGAGTGAGTGAGTGAGTGTGGTTTTATGCCACTTTTAGCAATATTCCAGCAAAATCGTGGCAGCAGACACCAGATAATGAATGTGAGGAATCGAACTAGGGTCTTTGGCGTAACAAGCCAACACTTTAACTACTCGGCCACCCACCGCCCTGATTCCAAATGACATTACAAGGCATCGGACACTCCTTGTCAGCCTGGAATGCAATGGTGTAATCATACAATGGTTCATAGCACATGCTTCCATGATAACTGAACCGGTCTGCTTAGGAGAATGTGGAAAAAATAACTAAATCGAAGTTTTACTGATACATATTGATCAAACTTTAATTAATATTGTATCCATTTACTCAAGCCCAATGGCACATTTTTCTAATTTAGGATTGAGGAAAATTTACTTATCAAGAAAAGAATTCATGCAAAGAGATTAGTCCAGGACATTTCCGGGCTTTCAATCACATTTAATCACATATCTAAACCAACACACTTTTTAGATATGAAATTTCTTCAAATAGCTTAATGTGGTTAGAGGAATTTAAAATCATTAGTGTAGACATATGAGGGCTTGGTGTGTGTCAGATGTGTCGGATTACAGGTTGACTGGTAGTATCAGATGTTGCAGTTTCTAATGCAGAGTTGCTTCCCTTAATCGTTCCAGTATCTGCTGATCATGGGAAAGAACCTCAGATTTTGTCCTGATAATGACCCTTGGTTTGTCAACATTTGCACCTTATGGGTTTCACTGAAATGGTAAACTTGTTACTTTGGGTGAGTGAGTTGGGTTTAACGTCGCTTTTAACAGTATTCCAGTTATATCGGCTTAATGTGGGAGGAAAGCACGAAGTGATGCAGGTCTTAGACATTTACCACTTCGGTGAAACCCACGAGCACGGGTATGGTTCTGACAAACCTAGAAACATAATTGGGGCGAACTAGGATTCGAACCCACAATCTTTGGTTTCTGGCATGCGCAGCAAATCGCTGCACCTCAGACGACAAGGCCACCCGTGTCCCCCTGTTACTTTGGCTGGGGCATGAAAAGTTGTGGTACAACTGAAATACTGTTTGTGTGTGTGTGTGTGTGTGTGTGCATGTGCGTGTGTGCATGCGTGCTTGTGCACTATAAGGGACCCTATCATATTTTACCAATTTCGCCCATGACACCCCCCTATAATAAATTACCAGTCCCTTAATAACATTCAATTTTATCCTATTTTTTCTTTGAAAAAATAGAAGTGTCATGTTTTTCAGTACAAGCTTTATACTTTTGATAAATTTGATGCCTGTCATTAAATGAAGGAGTCTTGTGTGTGTAGCATACTTGTTTTCTCTTTGTAGTGATACATATACTAATGTATGAAATGATCATTTTCCATAATCATGATAATATTGTCACCTTAATACTAACCCGTAAAGATCCAGGTTAGAATTGGTCTTCAGCAACCCATGCTTGTTGTAAGAGGCGACTAATGGGATCGGGTGGTCAGACTCCCTGACTTGGCTGATGCATGTCAATGTATCCCAATTGCGTGGATCGATGCTCATGATGTCAATCACTGGATTGTCATTTGCAGACCGCCATCATATCGATGGAAGTTTGTGGAGTGAGGCATTAACATCAAACAACAAACAAACAAACTTTATTGTTTTAATATTTTTGTGAGCCAAATTGCATTGATGTTGTGGCAGTATTTATGACAAAACAATATTATATTTTTTATGTAATTCCATGACGAAAGTCTTTATTGGCATTTGGAAGTTGAATATAGATATGACAGGAAATATTATGGAGAACTTCTTTATATGTTGATTATGTACAATAAAGAAGTTGTTATCCTTAATATTCCCCGTCATAATTCCATGACAATGTCATCCACTCCTATATACTATTCTTGATGTATTAAGAGCACTGCTTAAAAAGAACACCCCATATATGCCCCTTTGTAAGATAACAATTAATGATGTTTTAATGTGAAGTTTCATGACTTGCGTCTTTTCCATTGGACTGGTCACGTGATTGCAAAGCTGATGTTCACAAGCATGTAAACGAAACATTTCGACGTCTATACATTTTTCATGAGACTTTTTTTTAAAAGACGTAATCTGTGACGGACTACGTCCACATTACAGGCGAAACCCCTTGGAATTCCCTTGCAATAATAAATACAGAAGCTTTATTTCTGACCTTAGACCTTTTCATCTTGAACTCTTAAACATTGGAAATTGTCAGAGAGTTTAGCTGCATGCCCATGTGTGACCCATCCCATCGTAGAAAAAAACACGAAAAAATGCACGTGTAATTAATTGACTTGATTAGTGTCTCAACTTGAAAGCTCTGACATTTCAGTTGTGCCCTCACTCAATCTCATTAAAATCAGACCTTAGTTCTTGCTACCGCTAAACAAAGATCTGAAGACATCCCATTAGGGCTCACGTCAGAACGACCTTTCATCCGACCAATCGGTGCGTCGCTTACCAGATTATGAAAGTGACAGTCGGAATGTGATTTCTAATCATGCAATTTTGAAAACTTTAACACAGGGTATTCCCAACGATAGTTACGGGTTTAACGACTGAATCCTTACAATCTAGACCATTCCAGAATGGTTTTTTGTTCAGGTTTCAAATTTGTAATCGAGAATTTGTCAAAATATGTTTCGAAGCGTAGTCTCCAATTTGAAATTTGTGCCGTAAAGCATGAGAAAGCTGCCTTCTGATTGGTCATTCCATTGGGCGGTCAAAGTTCGCGCAAGGTCGGTCTGACGTGACCCATAATGGGATGTCCTCAGATCTTTGTTTAGCAGTAGCGAGAACTGAGATCTGATTTTAATGAGATTGGCTCTCACTCTATGAAGGCTCATACTCCAATGAACTCACACATTTTGTCCTGAAGAATTTGGCCGATTGACCTTATTAACACAACGTGTGTCCCAGGGCCTAGGTCAACTGTCACCTGAGGCATGCATATTGTACCAGAAAATGATGGTTGCTGGTTTGAATCCCAGATGTTAAGTATGTTAATCCAACTTCTTCACTTTATTTAAATAAATTCCCATCATTAGAGGGGCGGTCGGGTAGCCTAGTGGTTAAAGCGTTCGCTCGTCACGCCGAGGACTCGGGTTCGATTCCCGACATGGGTACAATGTGTGAAGCCCATTTCTGGTGTCCCCCGCCGTGATATTGCTGGAATATTGCTAAAAGCGGCGTAAAACCACACTCCCTCCCTCCCCACCCTCCTCTCATTAGAAACTCAAACTTAAACCCTGGATCCTCTTATAAATACTTTTTGACTGTGATCATAAAATATTTGCTTTTTTATTCATTTTGATGGTTGAAAATATCATGCATAGTTGTGTATAGTTTGTCAAATATTTTGTTTGTTTTTGTGGTGTTGCTTTTAATTTTGTAGTTGCATCATGTCAGTGTCGGCTTAGATACTTCTGGATTGTTTCATCATCATGTCTGCAGATCCAAAGGGCTTCACCTTTTTGAAGCACACAAATTATGTGGACATAAAACACATTAACAAACAGACATTTCCTACATAAATGACAATTATTGCAACAAAATCCCAGATTATGTGTATTTATTTTTAAAATATTCTAACACACACTAATTATTTCCCAGCTTTTTGTACAAATTGTGTATAATCTTCAAGTACTTTAAACACAGAGAAGTAGATATACTTTTTTAGGTGTACAATTTTAATTTTGTAAACATTTAAAATCTCTAAACCATAAGAGGGGCGATGGGGTAGCCTTGTGGTTAAAGCGTTCACCCATCACGCTAAAGACCCGAGTTTGATTCCCAACAATATGTGAAACACATTTCTGGTGTCCCCTGCCATGATATTGCTGGAATATTGCTAAAAATGGCATAAAACTACACTCAATCACTCAAAAACATAAAGACAACACACAAAATTACTTACCTGAAGTGACAGACTTTTTATCATTTTATTTAAAATCCCTGCTTAATCTGTAAATTTATATATTTCATACTCAGGTGTATCACACTTTGTTGTTAAGGTGAATGGTTAAGAATATATATGTTGCTCATGAAGATTTTCATGTATTTGAACATTATTATTTGTTGTAATATTTCAAACTTTGGCGCAGTTCTTTTACTGTTCAAATAAGTGTTATTGTGGATGCTTTCCAGAAAGAAATTGTGTGAGTGCAGGCATTCAAGCCCTCCAATGAAAGATTTGAGAAATGTAAGCTCAAATAAACATTAAGTCTCGGAAATTGTTTAGGTCTGTTTGTTAAACTGATGAATTGTTAAAAGGTTATGAGCATGTGAATGACTGTCGTGTTAAAGTACTGATTATGTGTGGTTATTGATATTGCTATTGTGCCAGGGGTGTTATATGATAAATGTACCCCAGGGTGTCGAGGATGGTCCTCTCAGACATTTCATTACGTTTCCAACCTCACTGATCTACGGCAGCCCAGTTTGTTGTGCAGAGTTGCATTCCTTGGCAATGTCAGGATCTTGAGATCTTGAAACCCATATTATTATGAACCTTAGTTTTTCAGCACCAATGCTTTTTAATTTCAAAGTTGTGAACATCTTCTGGTGCATATGTGGCTTTCCTCCTACAGTAAACTGACATTCTGTGACATAACTGAAATACTGTTCAAATCACTGTTTAATCGAACTAACTCGCTTGTGATTCAAGGTAAAGCATGGGGGACCACGGGACATGCCATTGTCTGTTTGTAGAGAAATATTTATTTTGATTTATATTATTCTGTTTATACTAGGTCACATCTTTGTTTTGTTGATCATCATGAATAGAAATTGAATCATATTTTCATATGACTATTATAGTATATTTTTGTTTGAATTTGAATTAAGTGTTTGTGGATTTACTTCATATACTTACCGTCTCATGTTATGAAAAAAAAGAAGAAATAAAGACTAAATTGTGATTGTTTTTTTATTCTCACTTATCATGCTTATGATGATAACAGGGGATCTAGTCTAGGGTGGATTACAGGGGATCTAGTCTAGGGTGGATTACAGGGGATCTAGTCAAGGGTGGATTACAGGGGATCTAGTCTAGGGTGGACAACAGGGGATCTAGTCTAGGGTGGACAACAGGGAACTTAGTCTAGGGTGGACAACAGGGGACTTAATCTAGGGTGGACTACAGAGGATCTAGATTAGGGTGGACAACAGGTGATCTCGATTAGGGTGGACAACAGGGGATCTAGTCTAGGGTGGATTACAGGGGATCTAGTCTAGGGTGGATTACAGGGGATCTAGTCAAGGGTGGATTACAGGGGATCTAGTCTAGGGTGGACAACAGGGGACTTATTCTAGGGTGGACAACAGGGGATCTAGTCTAGGGTTGACAACAGGGAACTTAGTCTATGGTGGACTACAGGGGATCTAGATTAGGGTGGACAACAGGGGACTTAGTCTAGGGTGGACAACAGGGAACTTAGTCTAGGGTGGACTACAGGGGATCTAGTCTAAGGTGGTATACAGGGGATCTAGGCTAGGGTGGTATACAGGGGATCTTGTCTAGGGTGGTCTACAGGGGATCTAGTCTAAGGTGGTATACAGGGGATCTAGTCTAAGGTGGTATACAGGGGATCTTGTCCTGGGTGGTCTACAGGGGATCTAGTCTAAGGTGGTATACAGGGGATCTAGTCTAAGGTGGTATACAGGGGATCTTGTCCTGGGTGGTCTACAGGGGATCTAGTCTAAGGTGGTATACAGGGGACCTAGTCTAGTCTAGGGTGGATCTCTTTGGCGTTGTGTGATGAAATCTCACCAAAACGATCAAAGTTGTGTTTGTCTCTGCACTTTCGAAGATTTGTTAGAGTGAAAGTAATACATACATTAGTATGGGATTGGATGTCCGGCTTTTATTAGAGAACATTTGGAGCGATTCCTCCCGCAAGTTCGGTATTCTTGCAAAACTACTACTAACATTTAGTTGGTTGTGCTTTTCACAAACACTTTGCCTGGTTCAAATCGAAAGTTTCATATCAAGGTTTGTAAGTGAAAAAGGCCCACATCACAGTAACCTTGATTATTCTGGCATACAGCGAGCGCCAATGAACAGTTTAGGTAATTTGACCGATAACTGAATAGACATTGTGGATTTGTGAGGTGACCTGACGTGACTCAAGAAGCTCTGTTTGATTCCATTATGTCTTCGCAAGCCTTACAGCGAAGTATGCAGTACCAAAAGAGAACCGTTTATAATTTAATTGTTCCATATTCTTATAATTGATGCACATACGTTTGTTAAATCCTTGGTTTGGTTGGTTTGTTGTTTAACGCCGCGCTCAGCAATATTCCAGCTATATGAGGGCGGTCTGGACCAGACAATCCAGTGATTAATATCATGAACATCGATCCACGCAACCCTTTTATGGTCAATTCCAGTATTTGAATTGAAGCTAAATCTTGAACTGATATGAATGTCAGGGCATTCGACAGACATTTAGACATTCGCCACAAGAAAACCAAATGAGTTTGTACGTCTTTCATTGGTGGATGTTCATCTATGTTCCATATCCCCTGTATCAACAATATGCAAACACGACGGTGAAAAAATTCATCCTTTTGTGTTGTTTCTTCCATTGTTTGTTTACACGCCTAGAATTTATTTGGTCTTTAGTTGGCTTCGTGGAATAAAAAATTCATTACCGTAATTCCCGTAAATACATACGGACGATTTGCGGTGTAATCGTTGATGTTAAACCAACGAATCAAGCCACGTCCCTGTTCCAGCAAGAGGAAACCGGATCATGAAGTGCTCAGGCCAATCTGCGCTAAGATAACATCGACAATGTTTCCAATCTCATTGAATAAAAGCGATCAAAGCCCTTTCCGTATTCTTGTAATAATTAAAAAGCAGATTCGATTGTACGATTCTGACTAAATCATGAGCATGTGTTTATGAATCACTATCATGTAGTGATGATGCCAGGTTTCGCCAAAATGTGAGCGTATCCTTCCCCATCAACGCAGGTGAAACTTCCCATGGAGGTGACCTCAGATCTCTATGCAGAGCGCATGGGAGTGAAAGATCTGATCTGAGATTGGCAATATTTCTCGTTGACTGCATCTTCCCGAGAGTGAACTGACTTTAAAAGTCCATTTTCCACGACTTTTGTAGTCAGTTAACTCTCTTGCCTCGGTGAGATGCGTAGATTGTGTCCAATAGCCTTGCTACCATCTACGCTATGCATTGTTTCAAGATCAGTCAAGGGTTGGGTTCGCACAAAGTTCTTCACTTGAGTAGGGATCCTTGACCTTTGTATCTTGTGGACACGGCCTCATCACCTGAATGAAAACAGACCCGCGTCACTTCATCACACCACACCGCGGCTGTATGTAACCATGGGTGATGGGGGATCGTGATGAATACAACAAACCCATCCATCAAGTATTGACGATGGCTCGGGCTGCAGAAGAGGGTGTGTCTGTCCCAACGACCATTCGTCACCACTCGTCCCTTTCCGTGACCTGCAAGAAGTTGTCCCGGAATAACACGAGTTGGTCACGAATGACCCAATGACCTATAATCCGAAACATTATGTTCCACCCTGTTGTACCCAACAGACCCATGTTGTTATAAAACCAACGGGGTATGAGGGAAGAGTTGCGTCCCATGGGCGTGCCAGGTGCCTATGGATTCGAACCCAAGATTCGCCCAGATTCTTTTTAGGTTTGTCAGCGCCAAATACATCGGCCGTGGGACTCACCAAAGTGATAAACGTACAGGACAAGCATCACTTCGGGCTTCTCCCTCCATCAAGCCCACACGCCTTGATATAACTCACAGCGTTCACAGCGGCGTTAAATCAGACTCACTCACTCATAAAATACACCGAGGAATTGTGGTTACAATGTGACATCTAGTATCGTCATCAATTCTATCACCCAGTGGTATGGTGCCTGTAGAGGTTCGGTTAAATACATAGGCTACAAACATGAGATAATTGTTTGTTTATTTTAGGTTTTAAAAGCCCCCTTTGAAATATTGATATCCGCGTTCCAGATGAGCATGTCATGGCATCCAGCGTACTGCACTGCGGAATCCGGAGAACCACTCAGGGTTTAGCATCCGGCGTACCAAAAGGGGTTTGGCTCCTTCTTTTAATCATAGAACAGAGATTTTTCCTCTGAATCGAAAATGTGAGGTGTATGAATGTCTTGATGTTGTTTGAATTTGATCCAAGTGAGAGTTGAAGATCAAGGATACATACAGTAAACTACGGTTATAACGAACACGCTTATAACGAACTTACGGATATAACGAACTTACTTTTCTGGTCCTGGCTATTTGCTGTAGTTATGCTGTATGCTTATAACGAACTACGGTTATAATGAACTAAAATTAGTAGTCCCTTTGAGTTCGTTATAACTTTACTGTATGTCATACTGGCATCCAGGGGTTAACCTCCGCAGCCGTGATTCAGATGAAGTAGTTGTGGCGGCATGATTCACTCACATAAAAAGTGTTTTATTTGGTTCTTACAGTATTCGGGAACAGGAAGGTGGAGTTTTAACCTTATACCATCACCACAGGCAGAGAACAGAAAGGGCTTCTCACGTTAAGTGTCTGCAACTACAGAGTGAGTGAGTTGGGTTCAACGTTAATATAAAGGGTGTGTCCGTTTCAGGGCGTTATGGCGGGTGTCCATGTTTGTTTGTTGTTTAACGCCGCACTCCAATCCAGTGATTGACATCATGAGAATCGATCTTCACAATTGGGATACGATGACATGCATCAATCAAGTCACCGAGCCTGACCACCCGACCCCGTTAGTCGTCTCAAACGATAAGCATAGCCACCTTGTACGGCAAGTCTGGGTTGCTGAAGACCTATTCTACCCCGGATCTTCACGGGTCCTTCCATTATCCCATAATGCGAGCACAATCTTTTAACATATGTTGGTATGATGCACCCGAGGATCGAGCCAAGCAGACAAAGTGCTATTTAAGGGTATTTGCTGAGACTGCCTTATACCCCGAATCAGGTCCCAAGGCTCGAAATTAAAGGGTGCCCTATGGACCAGACAATCCAGTGATTGACATCATGAGAATCGATCTTCGCAATTGGGATACAATACCACCCCTTTCATCGCCCAAGACACAATACAAATTATGTACTACTTCACAATGATGACAGTACACTACAACAACAAAGTATTCAACACACACATAAACATGTCGAAAATTTTCATCACATGTTCAAATTTAAAACTGACTTATTGAACTGGGCTAAAAGTGGTAGAAGGGACATGGGTGGCCCAGTTGTCCCAGGCGCCGCATTTCGCTGTGCAGAGTTGCGTCCCTTGGGCACGCCAGAAACCTATGATCGTGATTTCGAATCCCGGTTCGCCCCGATTATGTTTCTAGGTTTGTCAGCACTATACCCGTGCTTGGGTGTTTCACCGAAGTTGTAAACGTCTGAGACCTGCATCTTTCGGGCTTTACTCCGACATTAAGCTGACATGCAGTGATTTAACTGGAATACTGTTCAAAGCGGCGTTAACCCCAACTCACTCACTCACTGGTAGAAATCCCGAAGTGGTGCTGATCTTTGACGTTTGTCACTTTGATGAAGGGGCGGTCTGGTAGCCTAGTGGTTAAAGCGTTCGCTCGTCAAGCCGAAGACCCGGGTTCGATTCCCGGCATGGGTACAATGTGTGAAGCCCATTTCTGGTGTCCCCCGCAGTGATATTGCTGGAATATTGCTAAAAGCGGCGTAAACCCATACTCACTCACTCACTCACTTTGATGAAACGCATGAGCCCGATATAATGCTGACAAACTAAGGGTCAAAATCTAGACTAAATCTGGCATTTGAACCTATCATGGGACCTTGGCACACTTAAGGAACTTAAGGTTGACATGCATTCTACGCTAAAATCCGACCCTGACCACCAGATCCAACTTAGTTGCCGCCGAAGACAAGCTGTAGAATTCGGGGGTTCTATTCTAACCCGGATCTACATGGCGCGTTTGAATGAGTGGACACGCTGATTGTATAGAGTTATATAAATTAGAAAGGAAGTACGCATTGCTACTTTTCAGAGGCAGGGCCCTTACCATCATTTTACTGTAACCTTGAGACCAGCTCTGATTCATTTGGTAGCTATTATTTCACCATAAAAGCCAAATAGCCGCTGTATACTGAGAATAACCTTTCAAATCTCGGAATTATGTATTATCACAGCCCGAGTTGAATAATGATGCAGGTCCCGAGGTCGAGGATTTTCAATACCTCGTAGCTAAATATGTCAATAACACACTTTAACTGTATATATTAGTATGCAATTATTATGAAATACTATATATTTGCATTGTTCATTTATTGATGAAATACTATATTTATCTCCAAATATAAATTAAAATATAGAGTAATATCATGAAAACCTGGCATAATAAATATAACAGTTGTCTTTTTATTGTCAAATAACTCTTTTAGCTGATCTCGTGACCTGCAAAGTGGAAATTTTATTGAAATTTTATTCTGCGCCACTCATGATAACTTTGCAGGTCACTTGATCGGGAAGATAAAAGTGTTATTTGACAAGAAAATACAAATATCCTCTGTATATTTTTAACTTGATCTAACGTTATATTGGAACATTTTGCTACTTTACTGGAGTGTGGAGTATTGTTCTTTGAAACAAAACAGTCCAATAGAAATATCATGAATTTCCAGCAGCAGCCTTGGAAGATCCTCGAGTTTGTCTGTTATTAGCGGTACACCAAGAAAAACGTGGAGGTAGAGTTATCTGCCTTTTGTTTACAGTGCATTTTTGGAAGTTCGCCTCTTTGAACATGAGGTAGATCTACCTAAAGTTATTATGTTCTATACATCCAAATTCTGAATAGCATATAAGAAGATAAAACCGTGAAAACACTTTGCATGCGCAACGAGTCGAAAATTGACCAAGCTGCACCCAGGCAGGCACCAGAGTGTTGATAGCTTGAACCTGAAAGAACCGAACTTGAATTATTTGGCGAACACCCTGAAGGTTGCAGCTAATACAGACAGCGTCCCGCCATGTTCCCCCCCGGGTCGCTACTTCAGTTAGACTGGTACCGCAGCCAAGAAGGAAGGGAGGTCTTCAGCCATTTTATGCAAAATAATGGCCTGAAGAGGAAAACATTTGGTACTATAATATTCTTACACTTTAAAAAAACACGTATCTACATCACCTATCAATTCCAGCATGCTGTGTACCATAAATCCTTGAATTCACACCCGGTATTCTATTTGTTTCAGCATGTTCAAATAGTCTTACACTCAGTTTCTATTCAACTTTTCAAGGCAGGCGTTTATTCATTGTGAGAGGGGGGCGGTCGGGTAGACTAGTGGTTAAAGCGTTCGCTCATCAAGCCGAAGACCCGGATTCAATTCCCGACTTGGGTACAATGTGTGAAGCCCATTTCTGGTGTCCCCCGCAGTGATATTGCTGGAATATTGCTAAAAGCGGCATAAAACCATACATACTCACTCACACTCATTGTGAGATGGAATGTGTAGTTTAAATAAAATGTGTGTGTTTTTCATTTTGTATGATAATGCCTTTCGTTTCAGTATACATTTATTGACTATTGAGTACCTGAGGAATATGTTTTGATCCGGTGTCTATTCAAGGCAGGCATTTAATCGTTTCGCAAGTCTGTCAGACCCAGTGTACTGCAGTGGATTGACATGGCTTTTGCTTTGATCTGTTCACAGAGTTATAACAGTTGTGAAAACAGGAACATTTGATGACGAAAACTAAAAACCCTCTTTTACCTGAGAGCCCTGAGGGGTTCAGCAGTCAAGACAAGACCCGGCCTCTTGACTGCTGAACCCCCTTCCTTAATCTGGGTTAGGTCCATGTGGGTGGTCCTCAGCCTTGATCAGAGGAGAGATGTTAGGCTAGTAGCATTCGAAGACGAGAACCTGTCTTACTGGTTTGACAGTCTGGACTGATGACTCAAGGTTGAATGATCACTTTTTAGCGGAAATGAAATAAATTAAATCCGATAAAAGTGGTTCTCATTTACAAAACCTGCCTAAGAAACAGTGATTTCAGATAAGTTGCCCTGTTCACTGTCAAACATCCTAAGCGGGCTTGCTTTGATTTGCAGGTTGACACGACAAGTGGAAACTGAAACAGATCTTCTATCCCGCATAGTACACGGACAAATTTGATACCCTATCATTTTAGGTATCATAAATCCACTTTAAAAACTTACAGATTGTGATTTCTTAGGTACATTTTTGTGTGAAGTCCATGTGTGTTGCTCATGCTATGAACCAGTATTAAATATTCACAAAACATCTGAACAGATAGCCAGACTGGCAACTCACCAAACTTACCTGCCCAGTTAGAATGTTGCCAGTATAGATATTTTTATGTAAGGATCAAATCCTTGCAAATGATTATGAACATTTGATGATATCACAGTCATGTGTAGAAGGAAAGAGAACTGAGAATATTGTATTGAGCGCGTTTGTTCCTGGTTTTCGTCTCAGGTTTACTGGAGAGGCCAAACATTCCTTCTCTGGAAGAATTCACCTATAAATTGTTTCTTGTGGGGAAGACTGGCGTGGGGAAGACAAGCACTGCAGCCAAGTTGAGTGGCAATGATGTACCTTCCGTTCATTGTGAGACATCAGGTAACTATGGTTACTGTACCCATGTCATGTGGTGTACCTTCAATCTCATTAAAATCAGACCTCAGTTCTCGCTACCGCTTAACAAAGATTTGAGGACAACCCATTAGGGGTCATGTGAGAACGACCTTTCATCCGACCAATCAGAGCGTTGCTTACCAGATAAAGTGACAGTCGGAATGTGATTTTTAATCATGCAACCTCGAAAACGATAGTTATGGGTTTAACGACTGAATCCATACAATGTAGACTATCTATTAGCCATTCAAGAATGTTCTTTTGTTTAGGTTTCAAATTTGTAATCGAGAGTTTGTCAAAATATGTTTCGAAGCGTAGTCGTCAATTTGAAATTAGTGCCGTAAAGCACGAGAAAGCTGCCTTCTGATTGGTCGTTCCATTGGTCAGTCAAAGGTCGCGTAAGGTCGGTCTGATGTGACCCGTAATGGGATGTCCTCAGATCTTTGTTTTGCGGTAGCGAGAAGTGAGATCTGATTTTAATGAGAATGGGTGTACCTTCAGCTCAGTGTGAGGCTTGAGGTTACTATGGTAACTGTAACAGTTGAGTCACAATAGTGGGCCTTCAGGTCATTTTGTGAGACACACAGTGGACATCTTTTTTTTTTGCCTTACATTGATTTTTTGGGGAATGGGGATGAAAAAATGACACAACTATTGGGTAGTGGTGGAGGAATGATGAGAAAATGTTGCATGAAATTGGGGGAGGTGAGCATTAGAAAACCAACCACACCAGAGATGGCGTGCAGTGTGCGAGCTCAGGCTATGTTACCGCTTATAGATGAAAACCAAGCCTCGCTTTCACACAGGTTATAAATAGATTCAATGCTAAAGGCCCCATAGTGATGTCACAGCCCCTGTCACAGGAAGTGAAAAATCCTGGGCTCTACACCTACCTCATATAAACCTTTTATTACAAATCCTATATGTACATGTAATGTATTCATATATTTCCCATTTCCACATATGTCAATTTACCAAAATAATACCTAAATATAACCCATCCATGCACTGTAGAGGCTGTGAGAACATGTTTATTGAAGTCACGTGACCTCAAAATATTCTCTCACAGGGTAGAAGTCATTCACAAAAATATGGGTTCCATCTATCTTAAAGGGAGGAGGGGCCAATTCCTATGTTTCCTGCAATCACTGATCACTAAGCTTACTATATCCAACTTAAAACAGGAGGAGCTACAAATGTAAACATGTTTTTAATTGGATAAAAGACAGTCCCCAGTTTCCCCCTCGAAGTGACCAAGAAGTCCCACACAGAGCGGCCAGAAACATAAATAAATCTGGCATCTTACTGATAGCATCACATTCTAGTGACAGATATGTTACTTTAGGGCAGTTTAACACCGTTTGTTTAAATTTGAGTTGACTGATATGTCATTGAGGGACTAATTTGTGTGTCAGGGGTCTAAACTGATGGTTTACAGGTTGTGGTGTTTGACATTTGGTTCTTTCTGTCTTAAGCTGTCTGGACATAGTTTGTCAGTGTTATCACACTGAACAGACATTTGCACTTAAATAAATCAGAACTTAAATCTCAAATATGTATTGGTTTGTTAGTTTTAATTAGGGAAAGTAACCCTTCACACCACCGGAAGTTGTCAAGATTTTAGTCACGTGACCTCTATCAGTAAAATGATTGGCTCAAACCTATCGTCTGCTGTAGCAGTATACTTCTTTTACTGTTGTGGTGGACGATTACTTTTGGATTATACCTTGGCTATTGCATTTTTATGCTCGGTCATGGCTAAATTGTGTGTTTCAACTGTTATTTTCTTGGAACTCACTTGGAATACCAGTCTCTTACTAACTATTTATCATGATGCGACTTCCAAGTGACACCACTGGAGATTTGTCAAGAAAGGTATGAACATATTGGAATTCTGGCACCTCTATAACTAATGAATTTTCAAGTGGAAAATATCAAGAGTACATTTATACCAATAAGGCTTGTGTATGCATTAATATTATATAGAAGTTTAAACGCTAGTAGAATTTTGCATCTTGTGAATATATGTGCATTTATGCCATCCAACAAGTCAGAAAAAATAGAAACAAAAGAAAAAATAATGGCATTCCTCCTGAGAAAAATGTAAGACATCGTAACATTATGGTAGCCAATGTCGTCCTTGTCAGGTATGCATACAGTTGGGACAATTTAAAAAAAGATGATCCTCATCATGAAATGAATAAACCTTATTATCCAGGTGAAAAGCATTAATATCCAGTGAATATATTTTGTAACATGGAAAGCTAATAAAAGTACAAAAAAGTTGTTTCAGTAGAAACCTCTGTTTAAAAACTCCAGTTGACAGAGACTATAGAGTGAATATGTCATCTGCTAGCAAATTGTATTTACTGTTTGTAGGTCGCACTTGAGAACGAGGCTTGGTTTTTACGGGAAAAGATATCAATTACAAAATTGAGGCTAAGCTCGCACACTGGTGTTTGTTTTCAGGAATTCATAAAGATGTTCAGGTGTGTGCTTTGGGAGTTAAGCATGTGTTAAGTGTGGCAACAAGGATAATCATTTTAATCAATCTTTGAACAAGGTGAGTGTCATTTATGCATGAGCTAGATGTCTGAATCTCCAGTTTTTCATGAGTGAATCATACTGTGATCTAGTGTTTTCAGATGCACAGTTGTCAGAAAGTATGTTTATCACTGGCTCCTGGGTTTTAAAACAGTTGTAAATGTCTGCAACTTGGGCCCCAACCCTCTGCACAAGGGGCGGTGGTGTAGCCTCGTGGTTAATGTGTTCGCTCATCACGCCAAATGTCCAGGTTCGATTCTCAACATGGGTACAATGTGTGAAGCCCATTTCTGGTGTCCCCTGCCGTATTAATGCTGGAGTAATGTTGAAACTCAATCCTCTGTGCAAACCATGACTGCAGTACCATTCCAAGCAGTGTTAAACCCAATTCCTCTTGTGCAAACCATGACTGCAGTACCATGCCAAGCAGTGTTAAACCCTCTCCTCTGTGCAAACCATGACTGCAATACCATTCCAAGCAGTGTTAAACCCAACTCCTCTTGTGCAAACCATGACTGCAGTACCATGCCAAGCAGTGTTAAACCCAACTCCTCTTGTGCAAACCATGACAGCAGTACCATTCCAAGCAGTGGTAAACCCAACTCCTCTGTGCAAACCATGACTGCAGTACCATTCCAAGCAGTGTTAAACCCAACTCCTCTGTGCAAACCATGACTGCAGTACCATTCCAAGCAGTGTTAAACCCACTCCTTTCTTAATTTGCAGGAATTCAGACCAGCACGATATATATGCCAGCTCGGAATCTTCAACTGAACAAGACGGTGCTCTTCAACATTCAGTTGTGGGATGCTGGGGAGAACGCACTGAGGAAGTTTGATCATGTTCTCCCGGTACGTCTGTCTGTGTGTCTTGTCAGTCAGTGCATACTCAACAATACAAGGCCTTTTTATATTTCACTTACCGTATTCGACGTAATAAGCGCCCGCTCTAATAAGCGGCCACAGTGACTTTTGCTAATATATAGGATTGTGAACAATCTCAATTAGCACCCCTTCTGATTGATCAATGTACACAAGATTTATTTATTCGCGTATAATACACACTCATGTGTTATATGCACCCTTAATTATGGGCAATTAAATTATGGAAAAATATATCTGTCGTACATAAATATTTCAGCATAAATAACGATATTTATCTTTCAACTCTGTTTTTTTCCACCAAAATAATATTCTAATAAGAGCCCCCTAATTCAAATTTTGAGAGTGCCCTGGGCGCTTAATAAAGTCGAATACGGTAGTTTATTTTGGTGTTTTTCCAGAACTGTAAGGTTGGAGAGTGAACTGAAAATTTAGCAGTATGTACTTATGTGATTTCTGAAAAGATTTACAGGTTCATTGAAATAAAGGAAAAATGAGGTGTTTTCCAGGAATGACAAGTCCAAGTGTTTGCCCTCCATATTGAGGGAGCCATGTGGTTAAAGCTTTTGTTTCTTACACTGAAGGATACAATGTGTGAAGCCCATTTCTGGTGTCCCCCATTGTAATATTGCTGGAATATTGCTAAAACATTGTAAAACCTCACTCACTCAAATTTTAATTCAAACGTGTACAACTTTTATCAAAAACCAAGTCAGTCAGGTAAAAGTTGTATGATATACCAGGTCAGAAGTAAACAACTTGTATCATATACCATGTCAGTCATGTAAAAGTTGTATGATATACCAGGTCAGAAATAAACAACTTGTATCATATACCATGTCAGTCATGTAAAAGTTGTATGACATACCAGGTCAGAAATAAACAACTTGTATCATATACTATGTCAGTCATGTAAAAGTTGTATGACAAACCAGGTCAGAAATAAACAACTTGTATCATATACCATGTCAGTCATGTAAAAGTTGTATGACATACCAGGTCAGAAATAAACAACTTGTATCATATACCATGTCAGTCATGTAAAAGTTGTATGATATACCAGGTCAGAAGTAAACAACTTGTATAATATACCATGTCAGTCCTGTACACCTTGTATTGTCTACTTCCAGGCCTGTGTTGACAAGGTGGATGGGATCCTCCTCCTGTTCTCGTTCGTGGACAAGGGCAGTTTTGAGGAGATCCCCCAGCTCATCACGAGACTGACTGATCCTGATGATGGTGTGTGTAAAGTGGTCATCGGAACCAAGTATCCTTTCTCATATGAATAAATATACTTTAGTCTAGAACATCTACCAGCCCAAATGGGGGCACGGCTGGCCCAGTCATCTAAGGCAAGGGTGGAAACTGGACTTTTAAAAGTCAGTTAACTCTCTTGCCTTGGGAAGATGGTCATTCCGTGGCAATGTGGATCATTGATAACCTTCCCTTTACACCATTTCACACAGCGGTTGTAGCTCCATCAGTCGAAGTCTATCTTCGTCTATGGGAGGTACAAGTATCCTACTGCTACAGTGGCTTTGTGGGTTAAATATACTATAAAAACTTATCAAAAGAAGTTATGGAACATGGCATGACAGATGAACTACAGTTATATGAAAAGAATTGAGTGGTCCTTAATTTATTTCGAGTGGTATGTGTATATGTTGTATTGTAGTAGTTCCCAGAACATATCTATCGTTCTCTGTTCTCAAAGTGGGGACACGGGTGGCCCAGTCGTCTTAGACGCCGCGATTCGCTGTGCTGAGTTGCGTCCCTTGGGCACGCCGGAAACCAATGATTGTTGGTTCGAATCCCGGTTCACCCTGACTATGTTTCAAGGTTTGTCAGCACCATACCCGTGCTCGTGGGTTTCACCGAAGTGGTTAACATCTGAGACCTGCATCACTTCGGGCTTTCCTCCCACATTAAGCTGACACGCAGTGATATAATTGGAATACTGTTAAAAGCGGCGTTAAACATGTTAGACCCAACTCACTCACTCAAATTGTTTCCCTTGAGGCTTCTTTCCTCACAACTCCAACTTAACTGAGTTCAGATTTGATCAGCACGCCCACAGCGAGATAACGCAGAGGGACATTCGTGATTTTGAAAGCACATGGAAAATACCTATATTGAAGATCAAGAATGTTCCAGAATACCATCACACGGACAGTCGAAATGATCTGAGTGACATCCTGCCGATCTTAAACTCAATCTGTGAGCATCTGTGGCACAGGGATGTGTTACTGGCTGGTAGATCACAGAACAAAGGTCACATGGACCACAGGATAGCATACTGCTGAAGTCAAAGGTCACAGACAACCGGATAGTGTATTGCTGAAGTCAGGGGTGACACAGACAACAGGATAGTGTGTTGCTGAAGTCAAAGGTCACAGACAACCGGATAGTGTATTGCTGAAGTCAGGGGTGACACTGACAACAGGATAGTGTATTGCTGAAGTCAGGGGTGACATTGACAACAGGATAGTGTATTGCTGAAGTCAGGGGTGACGCAGACAACCGGATAGTGTATTGCTGAAGTCAGGGGTCACTCGGACAACAGGATAGTGTATTGCTGAAGTCAGGGGACAAGGGACAACAGGATAGTGTATAGCTGAAGTCAAGGGACAAGGGACAACAGGATAGTGTATTGCTGACATCAGGGGTGACACAGACAACAGGATAGTGAATTGCTGAAGTCAGGGGTCACTTTGACAACAGGATAGTGTATAGCTGAAGTCAGGGGTGACACTGACAACCGGATAGTATATTGCTGAAGTCAGGTGTGACATTGACAACAGGAAAGTATATTGCTGAAGTCAGGGGTGACACTGACAACAGGATAGTGTATTGCTGAAGTCAGGGGTGACACTGACACCAGGATAGTGTATTGCTAAAGTCAGGGGTGACACAGACAACAGGATAGCATATTGCTGAAGTCAAAGGTCACAGACAACCGGATAGTGTATTGCTGAAGTCAGGGGTGACACTGACAACAGGATAGTGTATTGCTGAAGTCAGGGGTGACATTGACAACCGGATAGTGTATTGCTAAAGTCAGGGGTGACACTGACAACAGGATAGTGTATTGCTGAAGTCAGGGGTGACACAGACAACCGGATAGTGTATTGCTGAAGTCAGGGGACAAGGGACAACAGGATAGTGTATAGCTGAAGTCAAGGGACAAGGGACAACAGGATAGTGTATTGCTGAAGTCAGGGGTGACACAGACAACCGGATAGTGTATTGCTGAAGTCAGGGGTGACACAGACAACCGGATAGTGTATTGCTGAAGTCAGGGGACAAAGGACAACAGGATAGTGTATAGCTGAAGTCAAGGGACAAGGGACAACAGGATAGTGTATTGCTGACTTCAGGGGTGACACTGACAACAGGATAGTGTATTGCTGAAGTCAGGGGTCACTTGGACAACAGGATAGTGTATAGTTCAAGTCAGGGGTCACTTGGACAACAGGATAGTGTATTGCTGACTTCAGGGGGACACAGACAACAGGATAGTGAATTGCTGAAGTCAGGGGTCACTTGGACAACAGGATAGTGTCTTGCTGAAGTCAGGGGTCACTTGGACAACAGGATAGTGTATAGTTGAAGTCAAGGAACAAGGGACAACAGGATAGTGTCTTGCTGAAGTCAGGGGTCACTTGGACAACAGGATAGTGTCTTGCTGAAGTCAGGGGTCACAGACAACAGGATAGTGTCTTGCTGAAGTCAGGGGTCACAGACAACAGGATAGTGTCTTGCTGAAGTCAGGGGTCACTTGGACAACAGGATAGTGTATAGTTGAAGTCAAGGAACAAGGGACAACAGGATAGTGTCTTGCTGAAGTCAGGGGTCACTTGGACAACAGGATAGTGTCTTGCTGAAGTCAGGGGTCACAGACAACAGGATAGTGTCTTGCTGAAGTCAGGGGTCACTTGGACAACAGGATAGTGTCTTGCTGAAGTCAGGGGTCACAGACAACAGGATAGTGTCTTTCATAAGTCAGGGTTCACATGGACAACAGGATAGTGTGTTGCTGAAGTCAGGGGTGTTGAACACTGTCAGTAGTACTTCAGCCAGCTCCCTGTGGCTTATATTGTCATCACAGACGACAATGGCATGTGCATTGCTCCATCGGAAAGGGTTCAGTGTGACACAAGGAAGGACAGGCTGATGGGACAAGGCCTCATGGACAACAAACTTGCATGTTGCTGAATACACAAATATACTGATGGAAAACAACAAGGGAAGATACATTTGACATGCCACGTGTTCTTGAAGGTGACCAGGTTTTTTCATTAACATATTGAACGAAGGCATTGGTTCCCTTTTCGACATTCTTCTTTTTTAGGGTTTTCGGAATCAGTGCAAGGAGAGTTGGACAAGAAGGTTGATTTCACAGAAAACAAAAGCAAGTTTTGAAGATATATGGTCAGAATACTGATGCTGTGATGTTATTACAGACAATGTTTAAGCATTTACAGTTATTAAGAATATAGTCATACTTTTAACCATGGAAACAGATAACAAAGATTCTTCTATATTTGTAAAGTACATTTTTATTTGGAGACATTTTATGCCAAAATAGGTGTTTTGTGTACATGAATAAATCAACATAAAACATAAAGACAACAGTTGTTTGTGCGCCAAAATACAACCGGACATGAAACTGGATTGAGAAGAGTGAGTGGGGGTTAACACAACCTTTTGCTGTATGTGGTTAAAATATTCCTTTTACTTAAATGATATGAATTATACTTTTTATGCAAAACTTAACAGTAAATTATTTCCAATATACTGTAAATCTTGAAATTAACGTGAGCGTGAATTAAATGCGAAAAATTCATGTGTTCTTTGCTCGCATTTTTAAACGTCGCATTTATATCAACAATAAGACATTTTGGATAGCAAAAATACCAACTTAGACATACGCTGATATATTCCACACCACTGTTTTTTGAGCAGCACTTGTATAAAAAGTATATAAACAATGTCATTCAAACACTAATTACGTCCTGTGAATTGTCACTGCTGGGATCAAGACAAGACAAGAGTTCTAGTCACTTATGTCATCACTGAGCGCATGTATTGTTTTTGTGGAAGTACTTTATTCAGCGCTAATAAGCGGTGCTATTTGGCGTGTGATTGGATTAATGTAAGGTTGGATTAATGTGAGGATTCTAAACCTGACTGAGGACATCTTTAGATAGAAATCCACTGATGCCTGAGAGGAGGGGGTGTCGCATTCATATTGAGTCGCATTTTTGGCTAGGGTCCAGTGGTCGCATTCTTTTGGAGACGCATTAATTTCACGATTTACAGTATATATATATATACACACACACACTTTTGAAAAGAAGTTTTAAGAACCCCAAATTTTTTCATACCTATAGTTTATCTGTCGTGTCATGACAGCTTGATAAAAAGATTTGAGTGGTATGTATGACATGCCTCTGTGGTCCAGTGTAATGAGCACTCCAGTTAGTGAGTGCTCTTTGTGCAATAGCCCGTTTTCCAATTGAAAATAATCTCAAATTTTGGACTACTTATATTAGTAAGAGTTTAACATTATTCATACAGACTAGCAAACAGCCTCGAGTAGATGTACAATTGAAATAAATTGGCCACATGCAGTGGATCGAACAAAATAAAATTCATCTAGGTCACAATACAATGAACACAATCTAAAGGTATAAGCACGAAAAAATTACATGTATCAAATTTCAACCACTATGACAATTTGAGCAGAAAAAATTGTGTCTCTTGAATCAATATTTAACATATGACCTCCAAGGTTCCAACAAAACTGACGCCACATTAACCTATTCACAGCAATGATCATACCTTTCAAGAATAAAATTTAGCTTGTTTGTTGCAGGTGTGTTGGTGTTGGTGTTCTGTATTGATAACATTTATGCAATGGTGGTCATAAATCATGTGTGTTTTCTTCTTGAAAATCTCTGATGTCAACATTTTCACAATCAAATTAATCTTTTTATCTGTCATCAAACTTTATGAACTGCCTTTGGATGCCATTTTGGCCAAAATCTTCCACGGTCCCCTTGATATATCATAAAGTTGCCTCGTGGTGACAATTTGAAATGCTAATCCTACCCTTTATAATTTATAATATTGTCTGGAATACAGGAAACAACATCACATTAAAGGTCAACAATCTAAAAACATGAATCAAACTATATATGTAATAAAAAGTAAACATAAATGAGTTTAGGAGGTAGTATGCAGAATAGTAGCACTAATCAGGTTAAAAACAATGTACAAATCTAATATTTCATTTCACAATGGCACGTGGAGCATGTAGAAAAAAACGGGCATCTTATTACATTTAAGAAAAACACATTCACTCTGTGAAAGTTGTTCCCTGATTATACGTGTTTGTCAATGACTTGGTTTTCACATCCGAACAAAATTTCACAAATGTTGAACATATTGAGCAATGAAAAGACATGTTCATCATTCAGCAAGTATCTATTGTCGAATTTCAGTAATTAAAAAGTTACTTTAAAGAAGGTCAAATTAGGAAGCTAAATAACCCTTTGACTTGTTAAACACTTTTTCAAATTTTTTTTTATGTCATTAATTTCCAATTCTTCAAGACCTTTGAAGAAATTACATTAAAAACATGCTTTATTTTAAAAAAAATTTTTTTTACCATTTACCCTTGTTTTGTAAAAAACATCTGCAAACCAAGTTATCAAATAAAATATGCCCAAACATGAACACTTCCGCACAAGAATACATATTATGTACAATTCACAAATCAATTCTCAAATAATGATAAATACAAGTAACAAATATTTATGTCACCAATCATGTTCACATCAGTATAATTTAGTTACGTTTGGTGATGACTTCTCTCCTGGCAACTAAGGTGAACACAACAAAATAATTACTGGCTGGTTGCGAGAAGGAATATGAAAATAGTTTTATGCTGAAGTTAGCAAATATTCCAGATACATCACATTGACAAATTAAAATATCAAGTCTAGGCTTCCATCCTAGTGGTTGATAGTCTGAGCATACAATCAACATTGTAACCACCTGAGTTCATATGACAAAAATTGCCTGTTATCCTCCAATGGAAGCCCCATGATGGGGTTCTCCGAAATGAATTTAAGTGATCTGACACGATGACTTTGTAAATATATTCATGTTAATATCATTGGGTACACATGCTGCCTCAAGAGCAAATACTGTAATACATGGAGAATCTCACCCAAGTGTCTTGAAACATCAACATGCGTCGATAAAAGTTTAAACTTTTATCATCTTTGATATATTTGGGATCAGAAGACACAAGGGTAAGATGTGTATCGTCATAAATCATTCTTCCAATTTTTTCAATTTGTGACAATCTCATTAAAATCAGACCTCAGTTCTAGCTACCGCTAAACAAAGATCTGAGGACATCCCATTACGGGTCACGTCAGAACGACCTTTCATCCGACCAATCAGAGCATCGCTTACCAGATTATGAGAGTGACGGTCGGAAAGTGATTTCTGATCATGCAGCCTCGAAAACTTTAACTCGGAACATTAGTTACGGGTTTAACGACTGCATCCATACAATCTAGACCATCTATTAGCTATTCCAGGATGTTCTTTTGTTCAGGTTTCAAATTTGTAATCGAGAATTTGTCAAATTATGTTTCGAAGCGTAGTCGCCAATTTGAAATTAGTGCCGTAAAGCACGAGAAAGCTGCCTTTTGATTGGTCATTCCATTGGTCCGTCAAATTTCGCGCAAGGTCGGTCTGACGTGACCCGTAATGGGATGTCCTCAGATCTTTGTTTAGCGGGATCAAGAACTAAGATCTGATTTTAATGAGATTGAATTTGTGATAACCAGTGATCTGAGCTTAGAACGTACAGCTGACCAGCCTCCATGGCTGATGAGAGAGATTACACGAGAAAGCTGCCTTCTGATTGGTCATTCCATTGGTCGGTCAAAGTTCGCGCAAGGTCGGTCTGACGTGACCTGTAATGGGATGTCCTCAGATCTTTGTTTAGCGGTAGCGAGAACTAAGATCTGATTTTAATTATATTGAATTTGTGATAACCAGTGATCTGAGCTTAGGATGTACAGCTGACCAGCCTCCATGGCTGATGAGAGAGATTAGCAGTTTTGGATGATAAATATGGAATCGTACAATACGTAAGGAGCTACTGTGGCACAAGTCTGCGCCACAAATCTTGGCATAATAACATGCCGTCATGTTAAAGAGCTATCAAACTGGGAAGGAACTGTTACACAATTTCAAAAAACAGTTTTGATACAACCCTTTTACGACAATTCAGTTATTATTAATTTCACACTTTTTCATGCATATTTAATAAAAAAATAAATGTTAGCACATAGTGTTCAAACTGAGGATCTCTGATAATACCTCCACATCGTTGAAGAATGATAATTTAATTAACAAATATTTGTCAAGTGAAGTCATATATATTATATTCTAATTTCTAAACATGCTAAAGGTTCTCAATTTGTAATAATTTTTGTATCGATGCCACTGGGCACTGTTTCTGTAAACAAACAAAAATGATATTGCAAATCTGTATTAAAACAATACATGTATTTGCATTTGACAAAATTGTTCATTTTTGAAAATATTTTCTGAATGTCAGATATTCAGTTTTGTTTTTTTACTGAAATGTATCATATTGCAACCCCTCTATACTATCACACCCCCATTATCAGGAATAACATGTAGATGAGCAGTTAATGAATGCAGTGGATAAGCTTCAGCTGAGGTTCCCACTGAGGATCTTTGGTTCCATCTGGGAAATCTTCTTTTGAAGATCTTCTAGATCCAAGTTGGCATCAATAACCTGCAAAGACAGATTTATAACTGAACTTAAACATGGTCAGCTTCACCAATCAGAATCACAATTCGCACAAAGCATTCTTGAGAATGGACAAATGTCCTTATAACTCATTGTAAGAATCAACAAAGTATGAGCTGCTGGAGTGAGTGAGTGAGTGAGTGAGTGAGTGAGTGAATATGGTTTTACGCCGCTTTTAGCAATATTCCAGCAATATCACGGCGGGGGACACCAGAAATGGGCTTCACACATTGTACCAATGTCGGGAATCAAACCCCGGATCTTCGGCGTGACGAGCGAATGCTTTAACAACTTGGCTACCCAACCGCCCCATGAGCTGCTGGAGTCCGTTCCACAAAGCCATCATTAAGCTGAAGCACTATGATCACCCGTGAAGATCTGGGGTAGAATAGGTCTTCAGCAACCTATGCTTGCCGTAAAAGGTGACAACACTTGTCATAAGAGGTGACTAACTAGATCGGGTGGTCACGCTCACTGACTTGGTTGAAGCATGTCATCGATTCCAATTGCGTGGATCGATGTTCATGATATCAATCACTGGATTGTCTGGTCCAGATTCGATTTATTTAGACCGCTGTCATAGAGCTGGAATATTGGAATAAAACAATAAAACCAACCAACTTGTGAACTGGGGCCATAGTCCTTCCGCCTGCAGCTGAGGTGAGGTGAAAATGTCATTCAAGATAATTGCACTTATATAGCAATGTGCTTGCACGTGTGTCCGGTTTTATGCCAGTTTTATACTGCTTGCCCACAGAGATAATATGCCACAGTTTAACATGAATACCCCACAGTAAACTGCCTCTGGGACGACCAGTCCCTGTTGTAACTCCTTAATGAAGAGTGCCTAGCTGGGTATCGTCTTTTGGTATTGGACAATAACACATTAAAGTTGCAAGAATCTGGTTTAAATAAAATTAAAGGTCTTTGAAAATAGAAATGTGAGAAATATTTCTTCATGTAGATGTATTTTAAACGATCTTTCAAAAATCAGTTTCAGATCAAAATAGATATCTTACATGGAGATTCCTGGTAATACAGGCTTGAGGTTTCAATGGAAGTGCCTGTTAAGTCTGAAAAGTCTCAGTGATACAGAATATGGACGCCTCATAAACCATGTCTCACCAAAAGAGGGGCAGGTAACTCTCCTCTCTTCTTCTCTATCAGCCAATCTTCATGCAGCTTGTGGAGTGAGTTGAGATACTCCTGCAAATGTTGGCAGAAAACTAAGAATGAGGTTGGCCAAGTTGAAGACTGGCTCCTACTCCGACCCACAATATATATCTGATTTCCAAACAGCAAATTCATGCTACCAAATTTACTTTCCAATCTGATTTGACTCAACCAGGCAGAAACTGAGGTACAAGATTATTTCACTTATTTCGCGACATATACCAGAGCTTGTCTGGCAGGAACTGAGGTGAGGTGAGATTCAAGATTATTTCACTTACATGGTGACTTTCATGCACATTAGGGGTGACTATTGGTCTGAGAATCACTATTGCGATAACTATTGACATTGCAAGCAACTATTGCGATAAATATCGATAGTTTTCAGCGTATGATTTTAGACGGATTTTCGAGTTGAATTAAACCTTGGAACTGAAGTTTCCTTTGGGTGTGATAACCATAACAACAAATAAAAAGTAAAGTTAGAGATATGACTGATTTGTTTTCCCTTTACCCTAATAATTTAAGAAAAAGAAACTTCCACATTACCATGTGTAAATTACTACCTCTCAAAAACAAATTTGAACAGCATTGCGTGTATTTTATTGATATGGTAAATACAATCGAAACTATCGATATTCCTAACTGAAATCGATACTATTGATCGGAAACTGATTTAAGAATCGATTTGTTGACTTTAAGTGCGTACCAATAGCAATATATCGATATTTCGATTGATCGTGACACCCCTAATGCACATACCTCCACCTTCTGCATTATCTACTACACTATAGTCTGGAATGTAATTTAAGGTACCGACGTTTACTACAATATCTGAAAAACTATCTGACCTACTCCAGTCAAAGTTGGTATGAGATTATTAAACAGTCATACATAACTGGATATTACATTTAAAGACAATCGGGGCATGAATAAAAAATCTGTCTATTTAGCTATCACTATATTTCATCAACAACAAGACCTGTTCGTCACGGGTGGAACGAGCATTCATTGAAACAGCCATCTGCATAATGCTACCCCTGCGTCACAGGACCATATGACACAGTTGAACCAATCAACTCAACTCGAAAGGGTGCACGGGAATCACGCACGTTGAGACGCCCAACGCTAACAGTCACTAAGTGGCCCAGTCGTCTAAGGCACCACGATTCGCTGTGCAGAGTTGCGTCCCTCGGGCACGCCAGAAACCTATGATTGTGGGTTCGAATCCCAGTTCGCCCCGATTATGTTTCTAGTTTTGTCAGCACCATACCCATGCTCGTGGGTTTCATTAAGCTGACACGCCGTGATATGACTGGAATACTGTTCAAAGCGGCATTAAATCCAATTCACTCACTCACTGATAGTGACATTAATAAATACATTCACAAACACACGCTGAGTACGTACAATCGGGACATCCTTCTCTTCATCTCTGTTTCTTTTGTGAATCCGATCAAAACAATTTTGTGGACTTGCTCTCAGATAGACTGAAATGAAAGCAAAGGCACCTTGTACAGAATGGAACCCTCAACAATGTAACGCAGAGCGATGCAATGACATTACACTGGTATTAAACCTCTTCCTCTACATTGAGCCTCTTCCTCTGTATTGGTCAGAGTAAGACAAGTCTCCTCCACACAACATGAGTATGATGGACTGGGAAGTGTTACCCGTAAATTAAATTGGGGAATTGTTACGTTGGTTGGTTGGTTGGTTTGTTGCTTAACGCCGCACTCAGCAATATTCCAGCTTTATGATGGCGGTCTGTAACTAATCGAGTCTGGACCAGTCAATCCAGTGATTAATATCATCAGCATCAATCCACGCAATTGGGATCGATGACATGCACCAACCAAGTCAGCGAGCCTGACCACCCGATCCCGTCAGTCGCCTTTTACGACAAGCATAGTCGCCTTTTACGGCAAGCACGGGTTGCTGAAGACCTATTCTACCCCGGATCTTCACGGGTCGGGAATTGTTACGGACAAACAGACAATTTTTGCTGCAGACTTGGCGTCAAATATCGACCTCTGGGGTCCAGATAAATTCCAACATGTAGAGCTAATATTTCCCTCCCGAATCTCACAGGGGCAACATCTTCAAGCCATGTGTATAATACTGAGAAAGTAACGTACCAATGAGGTTGATGTCGGTCGTTGAGTTCTGGTTGAGCCAGTCGTGCCATTCACCGAGGATATTGTAGTCAATGTCTGGCATCAGCCCACTAGACAAGAAGACAACCACAATCATGTTACCATGGTTACCGTGCAGCATTTGAAACTGAACATGAAAACCCTGAGTAATGTTTTAGCATCTTTTTCAGACCCAACACAACCTCTGACAGGGTGACCGGTGGCCTTGACCAAAGTACCAACAATATATGAAATATAAACATGACAAAGTATTTGTGATTCTGACGCTACTTTTCAGGCTTAGAATTTGAATTTTCCTTATTTGAAATAAACTTAAGTGGATGATTAAAGATGAGTGAAGAAAATTGGTGGACAGTAAAATTTTAAGAGCATGCTATTTTTTTAAAAGTCCTTAGTTGTTTAGATCATGTAGATTCAAATGTTCTATATTTTAACGTTGTATTCAATGTAATAATGCCAAATTACACATTGAATACTAGTTGTGAAACAATACATGTGTGCACCGTGAGTTTTCATGCGACGATACGATACACAAAGTAAAGGCTGACAACTGCATAAGGATCTATACGGAAACCTCACCATTACAGAAAAATAAAGAAGTTGTTATTCATTAATTGTGTCAACTTGGTCATCCGTCAACTTCTAAGGAATGCCTATAAAACAATTGACACGATGCATGTTACGTTTTTCTGCATCGATAACAGAAGATTCACTTGCTGAAATAGATTACTAAATACTCATTTCATGACCCCCCAGCGTTTTTGTCAGTCAAGTATGAGTATCACAATAGTATTATGAACTATGTACCGTGATACATCTTGTATCATGACCTTGCTGTATCGTTTCATCCCTATGGAATACTCTTCATCCATATTGCTCTGGTTATCAGTGAAATAACAGTCACCTCCATAAAAACAGGATTCAAAGTCATGTCATTATAGTCATAACAATATTAACATGAACTGGGCAGGTCTAGGTAAATCCCTGCTAGGATGCAATATTTGTGTCCAGTAAAAGCCGACAGGCGGAGCACTATGATCACCCGTGAAGATCTGGGTTAGAATAGGTGTTCAGCAACCCGTGCTTGCCATAAAAACATGACTATGCTTGTCATAAGAGGCAACTAACGGGATCGGGTGGTCAGGCTCACTGACTTGGTTGATGCATGCCATTGATCCCAATTGCATGGATTGGTGCTCCTGATGTCAATCACTGGATTGTCTGGTCCAGACTCGATTATTTACAGACCGCCGTCATATAGCTGGAATATTGCTGAGTGCGGCATTAAACAAACAAACAAACAAACAAACAACAGCCTGGGAGAACACGGAGATAAAACTCTGAAGGAAGCATTGTCCTACCCCTGGTGGAGATTTTCAATGAAGCAGTGCCTGGTACTGTAGATCGAGCGCTCGATCATCTTAACTTTGGGTGTTTCCTGCAAATTAAGTAACAAAAGTTTGTATGGGTGAAATCCAATTACAAATCTTGAATGTTCAGAGCTCCAGATAAGCTGCGTATCTGCGTGAAATACGCATCAGAAATGCAGAAATACGTAGTAAAATAAAATCCAAGTGTATCAAATATGCAACGAACATTACAGATACGCTACAAAAATATAACTTGTGCGTATCATCAAAATATTGTGAAGTAACCCTGCGTATTCGATAAGCAAATCAGCAACTTATTTTGAAATTATAAATGGACATTCCGTCAACCTTGCCAAACTCCATGATGACAGTTACATCATGATCATTTGCCATCACACTTTCTTGTGGAAGTATCGTGGTATTTTAGAGTCCTATAAAGCCCTCGAACCCACACGGCACCAGTTTGCAGGGACTAGATGAATAGTGTTCTTAAATATTTAACTTAAATACCCACATGTGTAAAAACTAGTGGGTAACAGAAATTTGAATACCCAGATAGAATTACTGATACCCAATGATTTTAAAATGCATGCGTAAAATACCCACAACACCAAAAGTTTATCTGGAGCTCTGATGTTGTTAAAGTCTGGTGGAGAAAGTGTGCAACAATCTACCAGCAGTGTCATCATGTTGTCATCACTACTCAGAAGTACACGAATCTGATAAAACTTCTCTTTGCATGTCTATCATGATATATGCATGTTATTTGAGATTATTACCAATTTGTGTGACCCACCAGGAGAAAAGGGTCCTTATGGATGCTTGGATTAAATTGTGCTGTGATGTTATAAAGAAAGGTGTTTGATGTCAAAACAACGTTATTTCAAAACATTCCAGCATACATGTCTTTCAATTAATCAGACATCATATCTAAAAACTGCAACCATGACATAAACAGTTTGAAAATGGGACTTTGCAGAAAATGAGGCCAAATTTTTTATGTCATGTGTCTTTTTTGGTTGGTTGTTTTTTTGTTTGTTTAATGCCGCACTCAGCAATATTCCAGCTATATGGCGGCGAATGTAAATAATCGAGTCTGGACCAGACAATCCAGTGATTAATATCATGAGCATCCATCCACACAATTGGGATCGATGACATGCATCAACCAAGTCAGCGAGCCTGACCACCCGATCCCGTTAGTCGCCTTTTACAACAAGCAGAGTCACCTTTTACGGCAAGCATGGGTCGCTGAAGACCTATTCTACCCCGGAATATGTGTCCTTGTAATAAACATGAATTGAAGCTTATGAATTGTATTTTTGTGCGCCGAAGATACTGTATGTCTTAAATAAAATAAGAAGTCAAAATGTGATTTTACCCCCACACGGTCCCTTATTTCATGGTTGGTCACATATGATGATTTCTGTTAACATGGTTTAGTTTAAGCTTGACAAAATAAGTGGTATATTCACGAATTTCAGACTGACAGATTTATCCCAATTTTTAACAGGGTTTGTAAAGAATTTCAGTCACAAAATTAAACAATGTTAAAGGCCTTTCAAATCAGTCTTCAAAATTAAAAAGTTACTTGATTTAAACTCGTTCATCCAACCCAAGCTCATGAAGCTATTGAAAATCAAGAAATTAATGCATCGCCAAATTAAAGCCATGTGTCCCCTGGACTAAATTCATCATGAAAATAATGCAAGTAGCCCTGTGTTCGTCACCTACGAAGACTTTACACCTACCAAGTGTTGTTACACCAGCGCAATCCTTTCAACGTAAATACAGAGCTCCAGATAAGCTTCGTATCTGCGTAAAATATGCATCAGAAATGCAGAATTACGCAGTAAAATAAAATCCAAGCGTATCAAAAACGCAGCGAACATTACAGATACGCTACAAAAATAAAACATGTGCGTATCGTCAAAATATTGTGAAGTAACCCTGCGTATTCGATTAGCAAATCAGCAACTTATTTTGAAATTATAAACGGGCATTCCGTCAACCTTGCCAAACTCCACGATGACAGTTACATCATGATCATTTGCCATCACACTTTCTTGTGGAAGTATCGTGGTATTTTTGAGTACTATAAAGCTCTCGAACCCATACGACACCAGTTTGCAATACCCACATGTGTAAAAACTAGTGGGTAACAGAAATTTGAATACCCAGATAGAATTACTGATACCCAATGATTTTAAAATGCATGGGTAAAATACCCACAACACCAAAAGCTTATCTGGAGCTCTGTAAATAGATGAGTACCGGTATGTTTTCAATGCTGTGTTGCTGGGTGAGCAGTGTTTAGCTTGTTTACATAAGATTATCTGACCAGATCACCAAGTTAGCAACTGTCATAACAGCTTGATCAATTTAACAGACTGAGCACACTTGTGGCTGAACTTGCTGAGAAGCACTGTCTAAATATTGCACTCCATTTATTAATTGTTTATTGAACTTTGTCATATATGTCACTGTTTCCACCCATGTGTAGAAAAACTGACACGACAACGTTATGTCCAGATAAAAACTTTATGAATGCATGCAATGCACATTTAACATTTTGGGCATTTTTTTCACGATTTACAGTAATGGCTAGAAAAAAATCAGTAAAGAATGAAGACAAGGTGAATTATTGCACACTGTCGTACCTCTTTGTTTTCATGGTGTTCCATCATGGTGAGGGTCACATAGGACTGGAATGCCAGGCTCCACCTTGCCGCATCTTTGTACATCATGTCCTGCAGCAGACAGAGACCAACACTCACTCCAGTGTACACACATACATGTACTGGCCATGCAACCACAGATCTCTGCACTACAATACTTTTGTCCACTTCCATTTGTATTAATACAATCTTACTGAACCGATCTTTAAAAAGTTTTTTGTTTGTAACACATGATTACTATAATTTATTTCTAAGCTCTGTTCAACATGAGACATCAAGGCTTTCAGTAAAGAAGGTCGTGTTGTTTGGTTGGTTTGTTGTTATACGCCGTACTCAGCAATATTCCAGCTATGTGTCTGTAAATAATCAAGTCTGAACCAGACAATCCAGTGATTGATATCATCAGCATCGATCCACGCAAATGGGATTGATGACATGCATCAACCAAGTCAGCGAGCCTGACCACCCGATCCCGTTAGTCGCCTCTTACAAGCATAGTCGCCTGTTACGGCAAGCATGAGCTGCTGAAGACCTATTCTACCCAGGATCTTCACGGGTCTGTTGTTTGTGGTAAGTGTTGCAAAGTAAAGATATTGAAAACATTTCCTGTGGAATACCCCCTCCCAAAAAGGTAAAATTCTTTTTTTAAATGCAATAGCAGCCTCCAAATTGACAACAGTCTGCTAGCCCGAGACAATTAGCATCAGCATTAATAGCATGTGCTAAAACTCCAATGATGGTAGTCCTCATTGACTTGTAGCATTTGAGGGCTATGACTATGTAACAAATTGGAACTGAATATTGCTGACAGAAAATGTAAACGTACTCAATGTTTTTGTCTTGTTCAAGCAGGACTAAATAAGATTTCCACTAGTCCTCTGGAGTACTACAAGTCTTCCAAAAAATGTCTATGGCTGAATAGTATGCAACTTGGTATGACAAACAAGCAAAACAGGCAATTGTAAGTATATATCCTGCCAAAATAAGTACAGTCCCTGCATATCACAATATACATTGCAAGTTGATTTTGGCTGGAAATATTTATCAACAGACTCAAATTCAGCAACGGGGTTGGAATTTTATTCATGGGTGATACGGTCATATTTTAAACCGATCAAGTATGTTTCCATCTCAAAGTCATTGACTGTAACAAGTACTGTTGATTTGACCCTTTTTGGGCCTGTCTTTTCCAGAGACCGCGTCCATGGCCTAGTGGTAGAGTGTCTGCTCGGGATTTTTATCCCTAGCCCGCATCTCATACCAAAAGATGTGAAAAGATGGTACTTGTGGTTACCCTGTCTGGTGCTTGGCATTAAGGGGCTAAAACAGGGGACAGTATACTGTCTGTGTGTGTCTGTGTGCATGTGCGTGTTATTCATGTTAAACTGTGGTATGGTATCTCAATGGACTAGCACTATAAAACTGTCATAAGTCCGGACAAGTGCAACGCGCAAGTCAAATTCCAAATTATCTTTAAAGACAGAGTACCACCCATGCCCACCAATATATTCCAGTATGTAAAATATATTTGTATACCTACCAGACTGTTGTATCCTTTGACACTCTTCCATTTGTCAACTGGTTCTGGTAGCACCTGAAATAACATTCTTTCAAAATGAGAAAAACAATTGATTAAAGTACACAGAATTAAACTCTACAATCCCCTATTGTAGCAATATCCTTGTACTATATGTTGTCATAAACAAAATAACATTAATGTTGACATGGTTGAAAAGAAAAGTTTCTTATTTTACAATTCCAAATACTTACTGAAAAGAAACCTACCTCCACTTTGGGGTTCCCTTTGAAGTGTTGAAGAAAGGTGGTCTTCCCACAGCCAATGTTCCCCTCTACAGCAATCTGAAACAAGACGTTCATCATGGTATCTACTATTTGTTTTATTTTGCCTCTGTTCCCTGTCCATCAGTCAAATAAAGGAATGCGATTCATTTTTGGCTTAATCATCTTGATGTAGCAGTAATATTGCATCCCATGGCAATACAAATTTCTCTTTTGGCCCACAGCATACAAAATGCTCTTTATATAGAAAATGTGTTGCTGCTTTCATTTGTTAACTATATTAAAAGTTGTTGCCATTTTCAGTGGTGACATGTTTGGCTGATTTTAAAGTATCTAGTGTCCATGTCAAATATTCTTTATTTATAATGATAGATAAATGACTTGCATCACCACTGATGCAATCAGGAAACTTAATAGCATATTTTCAACACAAACTGCGTCAAATATGCATGTTTCTCTGAGTAATTATCATCTTATCAAATGTGAGTGCAAAATCATTTTGGGTAGATCTACAAACTTACCACATAGACCTACCATTAAAATATTTCATGTTATCAGAGACCATGAAATAGATATCAATTTATGGTCTCTGATGCTATCTTCAAAAACAGTCAATCTTGTCATCTACAAAACTGTGATTATGAGATAATTCAATGAAGATTTGAAAATCTACAAATAATGTATCATTTCTCACTGTAAAGATGTGTTGTGATTTTGTTGTCCCATCAGGAGTGGGCATCAACTGTGTTAAGTTTCCTGAAATGAGAATAACAAAGGTGCTGATATTGCAGAAATTGACTTGATAACCATGTAATATAGGCTTAGCCTAGGTCTAACAAAGAATAAAGCATTAATTGTATTTGTACATGTGACATAATAGAGTTCATGAAATGTTTTTAGGAGTTTACAAATTACATATACAAACTACATGAATATTATACGTTTTGAGACATTCAAGCAATGATTGATCAAACATTTCTTTGAACTAGGCCCAAGTCCTCTTTTGGCGCAATAAGGTTAAGCTTACAAGTCAATATTAGTCCCAAGAGTAAGAACGCAAAACGATCTCTATGCATAACAAGATGTTGTTTTATGAATACAGTCGACGATTTGCTGGAAAGGAAATGCATAAACAACAATTACCTAGCTGATGTAAGCTTGAACCCAACATTTTTTCATCAATGTGATTGTGTACTCGTCAGCTATCCCAGTGTTGAAGATCACAAATCCCGCTAATTCACAACTCCTTACACAGATATACCTCCCAACAACTCCATGCAGCGATATCGTAGTGTTGAGCATTGAATTTGCGCTGGAACGAGAGTTACACGCGCTGCTCTTAAGCTTGCATTAATTAGGTCAGATGAAAAAGTAATGTCAGGAGCTTCTATCCTTACCGGTGTCATTCAACATTTGTTACCTGTGAAATATATACATAACATAAACCATCAAACAGTTTTTCAACAAGGGAGGTCGATCATGGCTGTGTATTTTTCCCCGTGTTATAATGATTGTGGTAGTATTGTAGATGATTGCTTCACTGTGTAATTTGCAGACCACTCCACCTTTAGGGGTCTTTTTTAAAAGGGATATCATCTTCCCGAGACAAGGGAGTAAACACCCTTGCCGAACTAGACTGCAATTACGGAGTCACATTTTGGCTGAACTAACGACTCGATGCATAGCCCAATCAAAATCCCGTTACGAAATCGACATCTGGTTCACAAACAACATGGAAACCGACGTGACGAATTCAACCTTATTCAATACTTTGTTTTTAGAAAAGACAACCATTTATAAGTCCCTTGATTAACAATTGAATCTCTGTACAAGCCTGAATACAATACATACGATAGTTTGCTACATTTTCCTGACACAAGCTTCGGCCAGAGATTTAACATTCTTATTAACATCTTGACAAAGTGGGTTCTACCAGAGACCATATAATCTATTATATGGTCTCTGGTTCTACCAAGTTCACCACAGAGCATTGTTGAAGGTGTGCTTTTCTTTGCCGGTAATAAAATGCATGTGTATTATTTTTGTTGCTTGGTCACACACAGTTTGAACGTATTTATTTAAATTTGTTATTTTTGCTTTGGAAATAAACTCCAAGATATTTATATTCATCCACAAAATCAAAATAATTTTCATTTTTCTTCTCTCTTTTGTACAGTTTTTGAACCAATAAGGACGTTCGTTTTATCCTTGTTTACAGTTAGTTTCCGCAATTTACAATAAGTTTCAAAATAATTGAGTGACTTCTGTAGGTCTGTAAGTGCGAGTGTCAGAAGAGCTCTGTCGTGCACAGTTTGACTGAACCTAGAGCCATAGTTTAAATCATGATTATTGCAATGCTTTTCATCACCTTTGATCATTATTTTAAAGTCTTTCAATGTACTGCTCAAATATGACTTGGGGTGGGTCATAAAAAATAATACACTTTCTCATTGAGGGTCATGATCAAATGTACAAGGGCATGGGGAGGTTCATCCAAAAAGTGACAAGAAATAGGGGTGGGTCATTATGTTCTGTATATTACCGCGTCAAAGACCTCTTCATCGTTGATGTACCCATTTTCTATAGACAACCAAATATCATGTCACCGGTTTGGGAGCGGCTTTGTTTATCCAGACGATAAAAATGTAGACGACGATATAGAATACCCATTTTCATTTACTCTAAAAGACATATCGATTAATATTTGCTGGGATGTTCTAAAATATTTTTTCAGTTGTACTGTATTATCTGCGGAGTTGCCATGGCGCCAAGTTAGAAAGTTTAGGATCTGATGAACGCTGCATGAAAATGCACCGAAACTATGAATCGACTAAGAAATATTCGAATATTTGTTCGCAATAAGCAAAAGTACAACCCAGCATCGTTTTCCACAGACCTGCAATATGTTGACATTACTGATTTTGCTGGAACAACAATTGGTTACATTAAAGAGGTTGTTATTGTCCTATTTTCGATCACAATGTTTGCATGACAATATTGCCTGAAAATACGACAGGCCCAGAACAATAGACAGTTGCAACAATTACTGCGTTTTATAAGCAAGTGCTTTGTAGTTGCACCGCGTATGTCCTCTTAAAAAAATTAACAAAAACTTGTTCGTCTATTTTTTACGCTAGATTTTGTCGAGTCTTCTAAGTAAGATGTGGTTAAATATAAATATAAATATAAATAAATATGTGGCCAGTGTTATGATCACATTGTATTAGGCCTACAAGAACTTCAGAGGTCTCAAATATCAGTAAAACTACTCCAGTGAAAGCAAAGTGACAATTACATACTCTGTCTCTCGGATGCATTGTTTGTATTTTTTATCTATGTTTTTTGGTGATCCATTTACCTCATTACAGCTGACTGACAAAACGTCATCTGCAGTGGTCAGATAAAGCTTACAAGTCAAACGGTATAGGCCTTTAGATGAACCTTATCTCCACCTCTCAAGGTTTCAATGGGACAAGAAGCCTTTGAATTTACCAGTCCATTATTATTTACCATTGTTCTGGTCCATATCTGGTATATACCCAAGACACGAGAACACAAATACTGTTGTAATTATGTAACCATTTTTCTGCTCCTAAAACTAACCCGATAATCCAACATTCATTGGTTGCTATTACACGGTTGCGAACACCTTGAACAGTAGTGTGTATTAAGAACAGAAAATGCATCAGCCTTGTTCCTTTAGTGCATATTGAAAATAAATGATGGAAATGTTTTTTTTAACCCTCCCTAACTCCCCAGATCACTTTCGCAATGCATAATAAGGACAATAAGAAAATTTGTTAAAATGTATTCTGTTAATTTGAAAGATGAACCAGAAACAAACTAAAGATCACCATTTCCCTGCCTAATCATCCTTAGTTATCAAGGATATTACATTCCCATTGTATTATCATTAGTACCCTTGACACATTTTCCACCATGGCTTAATTTTGAGCCTGGTGGGAAAGACACAACACTGAAAATAGCATTCTAATCAAATTACCATGTACCGTATTCGACGTAATAAGCGCCCAGGGCGCACTCAAAATTACAAATAGGGGGCTTTTATTAGAATATTATTTTGGTGAAAAAAAACAGAGTTAAAAGATAAATTTCGTGGTTTATGCTGACAGCCTGAAATGTTTAAATACGACAGATATATTTTTCCAGAATTTAATTGCCCATAATTAAGGGTACATATAACAAACGAGTGCGTATTATACGCGAATAAATGAGTCTTGTGTGCATTGATCAATCGGAAGGGGTGCTAATTGGGTTTGTTCACTAGCCAATATATTAGCAAATATCGCCATGGGGGCTTATTAGAGCGGGGCGCTTATAACGTCGACTACAGTGTACCCCCTCAAATACCAGTGGGAATGCCTGGTAGCCAATTCAGACTTCCCTTACCCTATCTCTATGGAATAAATATTGTAGTTGATTGATCGTTTGTGATAGTTTTCTGATTTGATTCAATGTATCAAGGCCTCGCTAATATGAGCATGCAATTTTTACATCAGATCTCTGCCGAACTCTCTCTTAAGAAGAGTCATTTCATGCTCATTAGCAGGTGAAATTGTGTGCTGAATTGCTGAGATTGCTGATGAGATAGGACGTCATTCCGAAACAAAGCTTTTGTGGCAGATGGGTCCAGGGGATTTATCAACATAACAAATACACTTGATGAAGGATCTATAGTCCTCCATCATGACCTTGGAATGTATTTATTTTACGGAAAAACAAAAACAATATAGAAACGCATACAAAAGCAAGTCTAGCTAGCTCCATTCCATAGTCTATGAAATCAGCAAAGGGATTTTTCTTTTTCTTTTAGAGTCAAGAAGGATATTGTGTAATATAAGATTTCACAGACAGGAAAATATGCATATCCTGTTTATAGTTTTTCATGTTAAAGTGACTTTGCATATGCCAGTGATAACATTGTCTTTCCGATGTGTTGTAGGAGTGTAAGCGGAACAATGCAGCTAAGATAGATGACCTGTACTATGACAATACACCCCTTGCAGATGATCGGTATGTTGCAAACATTTTGGTTTATTTATTGTGTGACTTAACAGAATCCTGCATGTCGTGTATAAACAGTGACATCTTTTGCCATGTAGAATCAAAGATAGGCAATGGTATCTAAACAACAGTGTTTGTAAGTCTAAATAGTGGGGTGCACTATTAGTTACATGTGTTGTCACAAGCAGGATTTACTGAATTTTAGTGATTTTAACCTAGTGAAGATATGGGCCAGAATTGGTCTTCAGCAACCCATGTTAGTCGTAAGAGGCGACGAATAAGTTTTGGGTGGTCAGACTTGCTGATGTGGTTATTTTTGTCACCATATCTCAATTCCGTAGAATGCGGCCCGTGAAGATCCGGGACAGATAGATCTTCAGCAACCCATGCTTGCCATAAAAGATGACTATGCTTGTCGTAAAAAGGTGTGATCGGGTGGTCAGGCTCGCTGACTTGGTTGATGCATGTCATTGATCCCAATTGTGTGGATTGATGCTCATGTTGTCAATCACTGGATTGTCTAGTCCAGTCTCGATTATTTACAGACCACCGTCATATAGCTGGAATATTGCTGAGTGTGGCATTAAACAACAAACAAACTGTAGAATGCTAATCACTTGATTATCTGGTCCAGACTTGATTATTCACAAAATGCTGTCATTTAGCTGGAATATTGCTGAGTGTGGCATTAAACAACAAACAAACTGTAGAATGCTAATCACTTGATTATCTGGTCTAGACTTGATTATTCACAAAATGCTGTCATTTAGCTGGAATATTGCTGAGTGTGGCATTAAACAACAAACAAACTGTAGAATGCTAATCACTTGATTATCTGGTCCAGACTTGATTATTCACAAAATGCTGTCATTTAGCTGGAATATTGCTGAGTGTGGCATTAAACAACAAACAAACTGTAGAATGCTAATCACTTGATTATCTGGTCCAGATTTGATTATTCACAAAATGCTGTCATTTAGCTGGAATATTGCTGAGTGTGGCATTAAACAACAAACAAACTGTAGAATGCTAATCACTTGATTATCTGGTCTAGACTTGATTATTCACAAAATGCTGTCATTTAGCTGGAATATTGCTGAGTGTGGCATTAAACAACAAACAAACTGTAGAATGCTAATCACTTGATTATCTGGTCCAGACTTGATTATTCACAAAATGCTGTCATTTAGCTGGAATATTGCTGAGTGTGGCATTAAACAACAAACAAACTGTAGAATGCTAATCACTTGATTATCTGGTCTAGACTTGATTATTCACAAAATGCTGTCATTTAGCTGGAATATTGCTGAGTGTGGCATTAAACAACAAACAAACTGTAGAATGCTAATCACTTAATTATCTGGTCCAGACTTGATTATTCACAAAATGCTGTCATTTAGCTGGAATATTGCTGAGTGTGGCATTAAACAGCAAACAAACTGTAGAATGCTAATCACTTGATTATCTGGTCCAGACTTGATTATTCACAAAATGCTGTCATTTAGCTGGAATATTGCTGAGTGTGGCATTAAACAACAAACAAACTGTAGAATGCTAATCACTTGATTATCTGGTCCAGATTTGATTATTCACAAAATGCTGTCATTTAGCTGGAATATTGCTGAGTGTGGCATTAAACAACAAACAAACTGTAGAATGCTAATCACTTGATTATCTGGTCTAGACTTGATTATTCACAAAATGCTGTCATTTAGCTGGAATATTGCTGAGTGTGGCATTAAACAACAAACAAACTGTAGAATGCTAATCACTTAATTATCTGGTCCAGACTTGATTATTCACAAAATGCTGTCATTTAGCTGGAATATTGCTGAGTGTGGCAATAAACAACAAATACAGACAATACTGTACACAAGATACTGTACATCTTGCTAGTGACACATGTAACTCTGTACAATATTTAAACTCAGGTACTGACACACATGGACACAAGGACTTATGTTTTGAGTAATATTGGTGAATGTGACAAATTCATCTACCTAGTGACCGACCCGTGAAGATCCGTGTTAGAATAGGTCTTCAGCAACCCATGCTTGCCGTGAAGGCAACTATGCTTGTCGTAAAAGGCGACTAACGGGATCGGGTGGTCAGGCTCGCTGACTTGGTTGATGCATGTCATCGATTCAAATTGCGTGGATTGATGCTCATGATATTAATCACTGGATTGTCTGGTCCAGACTCGATTATTTACAGACCGCTGTCATATAGCTGGAATATTGCTGAGCGCGGCGTTAAAAAACAAACCAACAAACCAACCAACCTAGTGACCACCATGGGAATCTCACTATGGTAACTCAAAGTGGGTCAGTTGGGACTTGACAAGCATGTAACGCCATGTCAAACGCTCAGGCCTGATTGATTATTCTTCAATGAATTTGGTAGTTACTTGGCCCTGATTGGCCCATCAGAGGCATCAAATCACAATAACCACCTCTGATTGATAGAACTGATTTTCGGTTCACATCACCACGGAAGCTAATATTTATTGAAAAGTTGCTCTAAAATGTTTTGTGATTTTAGTACATGGGGCACTGTCCCAGTATTCAGCATCTTGATTATCTGCCTGGAAAAAATATCATGAAAAGTGTCAATAGTAGTATTTGAAATTGATCATAAATCAGAAAGTGTTACTTGGGACAAATACTCATTGAGTATGATCAGATACGTTTACTTTATGTTGTTCAGAAATAACAGGTCAAAAGGTCCTGCTATAATTAGTATGATCATGAATGGCTTAACATTTATGCAAATATTTCATGTTATTTAGTTTTCTCAACAATTTATTTTGATTCAATATGATTGATTGTTGTATTTGATTTGAAATCAATAAAGCCTCTCTTATTTTGAACATTAATAATACTGTCAATTTGTGTTCTCTAGCTCTGTAGCTCATTACAACCTTACTGATGGAACTATCCTGGAAACGACCTCTAACCCCTTCTGGGTGGCATGTATTAATATCAAGATGGTGGAGGTTGAACGGCAGAGAGAAGCCCATCCCCATGATATCGGAGTACAGAAATGGACACACAAGTCGTATATCCGCAAGAGGACTATTCTTAGTGTCTTGCTTAACTCCAAGAAGTAAGTTAGTACTGGAGATACAGTTTGTTTGTTTGTTTGTTGAATAACACAATATTCCAGCCATAAGATGGTGACCTCTAAATCGTCGATTCTGGACCAGACAATCAGGTGATTGATATTGTAACGACAACGATCCACACCGTTGTCGTATGATGACACACTGTCAACTTAGTCACCGAGCCTGACCTCCCGATCCATTTGGTTGACTCAATGAGACCAGCATTGGATGCTGGGGATCTATTCTAACCGGAATCCATGTGGAACCATACAGTGGGCTGGTAATGCAGCATGTATAAACTGTAATGTAATCATAAGATGTTTCACATCGTGATGCACATATTTTGTTATTTATTATTGTTGTGATTATGATCATGTACATGCTATGATCCGGCAAAACAACATAACAATTTATAGTCAAACACAACTGTGTCAAAGTTAATGGGACCCATGTTAAAACTTCGAGTTATCCGAGGCTCAACACAACCAAAAATGATAAATTAAGAAAGCATTCACAGGGACCCAGCTTTTACTTCAAGAGTGAGTGAGTGAGTTGGGTTTAACGCCGCTTTTAACAGTATTCCAGTAATATCACAGCGTGTCAGCTTAATGTGGGAGGAAAGCCCGAAGTGATGCAGGTCTCGGACATTTACCACTTCGGTGAAACCCAGGAGCACGGGTATGTTGCTGACAAACCTAGAAACATAATCGGGGTGAACCGGGATTCGAACCCACAATCATAGGTTCCTGGCGTGCCCAAGGGACGCAACTCTGCACAGCTAATCGCAGCGCCTTAGACGACTGGGCCACCTGTGCCCCCTACTTCAAGACAAGCGTCAGTTCAACACATCAAAGTGAGACACAATGGTTCAAACCCTCCATTCCGGGTCCAAATATGTCCCCAATAGCGTTTGCTTTTTGTGGCATGTTGATGATGCTGTCAACCGCTGGTTTGCCTGGCCCTGACAGATTATTAAGGGCTGCCTTTATTTAGCAGGAATATTTCTGACTGCTGCATAAAACAAAACTGTTCCATTACATGTACAGTAACTGTTGATGTATTTTCAAAGTGTTCAGTAGAATTTGTAACACCTTGTGTATCATGGTAGTACTGTTGTAAATTAATTGATCATCCACTGCATGTTGACGAAGAGCCACGAATATATTCCAGGGTTAGAAATTGGCACTAGTCCTATAGTCCTTGCCAAACTGCCCAATGGTAAAGGTATCCTAAGGACTAGTAGAATTTTGCCATTTTTAAAGGTTTGGCTATATGCTATCATTATAAGGACTCATGGACTGAAACTGTTAGTTTCTACCGCTGTATTCAATCACTCTGAATCTTTCAAGTGAGTTTCCACGACAACCCCAGCACCTGCCAACTGTTGAGTCGCTGGTGGACTACTTGAAGACGCTAGGGAAGAAGGGAGCTGTGATGAACCCGCTGTACACTCAAAGAGACCTGCAGCAGATGTACACAGAGCATCAGCAGCTTGACATCCACCACGTTGATCCACTCGGCTCCTTCCTCATCCGCCAGGCAGCTAGACTCGGCTACAGTAACAGCCCCAAGCCCGGTGTTGGTATGTATGTTTTCTGTGTGTCAAGCCATAGTCACTGGTGGCTGAGTGGTCTAAGCTGACACAATTTGTTGTGTAGAGTTGCATCCCCTTACCTATGCCAGGATCCTCTGCCCAGTGTTGGTATGTATGTTTTCTGTGTGTCAAGCCATAGTCACTGGTGGCTGAGTGGTCTAAGCTGACACAATTTGTTGTGTAGAGTTGCATCCCCTTACCTATGCCAGGATCCTCTGCCCAGTGTTGGTATGTATGTTTTCTGTGTGTCAGGCCAGAGTCACTGGTGGCCGAGTGGCCTAAGCTGACACAATTTGTTGTGTAGAGTTGCATCCCCTTACCTATGCCAGGATCCTCTGCCCAGTGTTGGTATGTATGTTTTCTGTGTGTCAAGCCAGAGTCACTGGTGGCTGAGTGGTCTAAGCTGACACATTTTGTTGTGTAGAGTTGCATCCCCTTACCTATGCCAGGATCCTCTGCTCATTGGTTTGAATTCAGCATTTGTCCTTTGTCAGCACCAGACCTGTGCTAGCAGGTTTCACCAGTGTCACAACGTCTATGTTTTGCATTGCTGTTGGCTTTTGTCCAACATTGAGCTGACATGTCCAAATATTTCCTAAGCCCCACCATTCATTGTTGATACCTGCAAGCTGAAATTGTTGTTTGTTTTTGTTTTTTTACACTGATTGATATCTTACATTAACAAGGCTTAAAAAAGAGAAAAGAATTGGTTCTCAGACAATGACTTTTGAAAATATAGTGAGGGTGGGCAGTGTTTTTTTGTTTTGTTTTTTTGGCTTGTTCAAACTTTTATGTAACCAAATATACAGTTGTGTATCATCAACTGCATGCTATACTGGATCGCATTGTTTCTAAGTATTAGGATTTTTGTGGGTTTTTTTAAAAATGGAAATAAAAACAAAAGGTGTGGCGGACTTTATGATGATGCAGGTGGTGCCTGAGAACCAAGATTATTATTTTCTTTAGCTCAAGGACTACCCCACCGTCCCTCCTGTCATGTGTGCTGTAAATTAATAAAGGATTCTGGTCTCCTGATCTTATAGGTTATTCCTTAAACAATTGTGGTTACAATAAATTCACAAATCCACTATGAGCAAGATGATAAAGGTCCCGTAATTTTTTCCAGATTTTAAGACATGATATGAACTGACAGATCCACAACCATTATAATGAATCAACCACACTAATCTCACCATTATTTTATTGGATATACTGCAGCTTTTTTATCCCCCTGACATATAATGACGGGGGGATATAGCCATCAGTATGTCCGTCCGTCCGTCCGTCCGTCCGTCCGTCTGTAATCATTGTTTGTCCGGAGCATATTTTCTAAACCGTACAACCTAGCTTCCCAAAACTTGTCACACTTACCAATCAGGCTCAGTAGAAGTGTCTTTTGCTATTTAGAGATTTTTAAAATTTTATATTTTTGTCGTTTTTTCCATGGAAATATTATTAACTTAGGAAATTTGAGGGTAGTGCTCTTGTCCAGACCATATCTCCCGAACCATACAACTTAGCTTCTCAAAAGTTTTTACACCTATCAAGCAGGTTATGTAGTGGTGCCTTTGCTATTAACAGATTTTTTTATTTTTTTATTTTTTCAATTTAAATTGAAAATTGATGAACTTAGGGTAATGTCCTCGTCTGGAGCATATCTTCTAAACCATGCGACAGAGATTCACCAAACTTTATGCACATATCAATCATGTTCACTAGTAGTGCAGTTTGTTATTTATAGATTTTAATCTTTTTAATTTGTAGCCCCTGACATATAATTCTAAGGTGTACTATTTACTGATATCATATACTATATATGATGTGAGCTACATAACCTAGTACATTCTCTTTATGCCTTTGTGTCATGAGGCTACTACAGAGCTATTCATATGCGAATCTGCGAAGTTAATGTTATTACAATTTCATGAGATCATCAGAAAGTGAGTTACATGAACCAATATTTAATAACCTTCATTATATTTCTGGTTTTGGCATCGAGGAATAAGATTTCCTTGCCAATCTAAACACATTTGAAGGTACACACAGTTTACCAACATGCCACGTCGGGGGGATATGTCATCTTCGGATGACTCTTGTTAAATTATTGTTTTATTACGAGATGGTGACCCTCATGTTATTGTTTGAGTTGAAGAAAACATGTCTGTTCCAGCTGTCCCAAGACAAGGTGCTGCTAGACCAGGTGCCACCAGACAAGGTGCCAGGAAGTCAGCCGCACAAACCTCCACACCAAGAACAAGGAAAACTTCTGGGGGAAGGAAGACTGCAAAACAGGTGATCTAAACCATGGTGGCACTCCTTACAATGGAGCACTCTCTCTTCAATGTCAACTATACATCTATTTTATCATGTCATAAATATATCACCATAAAAAAAATCATAATTCACTTTGCTTATACTCATCATATCATATTATTTATTCTAGAGACAAATGGCATTTGGACATTTACTTGATTTTGTCAACTTTCATAGGACATTCTTCTGTGTCAGTACTATTATAACTTTGTGACAATCTTTTGAACATTTGGGACGACAGTCTATCATTGAGGCTATGACGGTCGAGTGTGGGGAGACAGCTAGGGTGTGTCTGTCTGACTGACAGCTGTATTCCTATCATGGCTTCAGGACCTGATGTGTGAAGACTGTGAGGCTATGGCGGCCGAGCTGTACTGCCCGGACTGTCAGGGTGTGGGTGAGAGAGCTGGGGTGTGTCTGTGTCTGACTGACAGCTGTATTCCTATCATGGCTTCAGGACCTGATGTGTGAAGACTGTGAGGCGATGGCAGCCGAGCTGTACTGCCCAGACTGTCAGAGTGTGGGTGAGAGAGCTGGGGTGTGTCTGTCTGACTGACAGCTGTATTCCTATCATGGCTTCAGGACTTGATGTGTGAAGACTGTGAGGCGATGGCGGCCGAGCTGTACTGCCCGGACTGTCAGGGTGTGGGTGAGAGAGCTGGGGTGTGTCTGTCTGACTGACAGCTGTATTCCTATCATGGCTTCAGGACCTGATGTGTGAAGACTGTGAGGCTATGGCGGCCGAGCTGTACTGCCATGACTGTCTGGGTGTGAGTGAGAGACCTGGGGTGTGTCTATGTCTGACTGACAGCTGTATTCCTATCATGGCTTCAGGACCTGATGTGTGAAGACTGTGAGGCGATGGCGGCCGAGCTGTACTGCCCGGACTGTCTGGGTGTGGGTGAGAGAGCTGGGGTGTGTCTGTGTCTGACTGACAGCTGTATTCCTATCATGGCTTCAGGACCTGATGTGTGAAGACTGTGAGGCTATGGCGGCTGAGCTGTACTGCCCAGACTGTCAGGGCGTGGGTGAGAGAGCTGGGGTGTGCCTGTGTCTGACTTGTGCTGACAAGCTGCATTCTGGAGCTCTCAAGAGAAACCATGGTGTCAAAGGTAAGATAACTCCATGGCTGAAATGATAGATGTGGCTTTGATCACGGCAGACCCCTTTGCGATTCTTAGACAGCATAGGTCCCTTTTACACATTGAAAAAGGGAATGATTCCATGTACAATTGATGACTTTTGAAAATGATCGGTAGAATTTGTAACGTTTCATGTACTGTTGTTGTAAACCCTCCCACCACTGGTGGGCAACTTGAAGGGAATTGAATATAGCTGAGTGCAGCGTTTAACAACAAACAAACAAACTTGAGGGGAAGAAGGGAGCTGAGATTAAGTGGTTACAATGTTCAACCTCACTGACTATATCATGTTGTTATATATGATAATGAAGGTGATACTGATGGTGTTTTGGTTACAGCAGATGTCCTTAGTGACTCTGGGGCAATGCCCCTGTACCCTGACTCACTCCTTGCTTTGAAATACAGGTTTGCCTGGGCCAGACAATAGCTGGATATTGCTGAGCGCAACAACATTCACATACAGTCATTTCACAATTCGTCCGTATAAACGAATTTCCGTATAACTGAAACCAGCTTCTTACTGGAAGAGTTACTTCCCTTCAATTATGCAGCTCATGACAGATGACAGAGCAAACAGATACATCCACTCAATCTTTATTCATACACTTTTCAAAAAGTCTGTCATGGAAGTTTGAACTGTCACCAATTGTCGATTTTCCTATGGTATGTCCAAATTCTGTGCCATAATGCTTACTGATGGTTTCTAAACTTGCTGACGGGTGTTTTTCTTTAAACAGACAAATTTCCCTTTTTTTTCGCTAGCTGTAGCTGCGTGTCGCTTATGTTTCGCTGGTGGACAGGCCATACTTACACAACTTTTACCTCTGACCTCCACAGACGCCATATTTATCAAAGGGGATTACATTACAATAAACAAGCTCGTCTCAAACGTAACTCAGTGTCACTTATTTAATTGACTTCTCACGAATCAAAGGATTACCACCAGCGGAAGTGTATTGTCCGGATAAGTGAGACAATTTGTGTGCATTTCAGTGTTTTGTGCATGAAAATGACTGTCCGGCTCCGGAAACTGAATTTCCGGATATACGGGTAAATTTATATAGTAATTATTTCGTTTTGAATGAAAATCGTCCGGGAACCGAGATTTCCGGATATCTGAAGTCCGTATAAGCGGGGCATGACTGTACTCGCCAATTGCTCACAAATACACAAACTTCAAAGCTATTTCTATTTCTCTCAGATGTCAGGGTTGCACCTCGGACCCCAAAACAGTACATACCTCACGTAAGTTCATATCATGTACTTGCCTTTGGAATTGTATTGATCATATTATGATAAATAATTATCAGTGCCGTAACTCAGATTTTTAATATGATCTTTCTCATATTGTCATTCTCTGCATCACTTCGGGCTTTCCTCACAGAAAAGCTGACATGCCAGGAAATAACTGAAGTATATTTCAGTGGTGTTAAACCACACTATTTTCACTCTCTCATAATGTTTGTCATGATTCAGCTATCAGACTGTTGTTCTGTTTTTCAGCCCTATCGTGCACCGTTTGCTATCCTGATAGGAATGTACAGGTACAGTGGCATGTATGGTCAAGGCTGTTTAAATGTGCACAAAGAATATAGAAATTCCTGCATTCTGATGAACGGGGTACTTGTCAGAACCCAATGTGAAAAGTTACAAATTTTATGAGTCCCTAGATACAACTACTATGGCAGGAATCCTCAAGGTCCATAGGACACCCTTTGATTTCGAGCCTTGGGACCGCCACTTTGTCTGCTTGGCTCAATCCTCGGGTGCATCATACCAACAGATGTTAAAAGATCATGCTCTCATTATGGGATAATAGAAGGACCCGTAAAGATCCGGGGTAGAATAGGTCTTCAGCAACCCATACTTGCCGGTGACTTTGCTTGTCGTAAGAGGCGGCTAACGGGATCGGGTGGTCAGGCTAGCTGACTTGGTTGGTGCATGTCATCGTATCCCAATTGCGAAGATCGATTCTCATGATGTCAATCCTGGATTGTCTGGTCCATAGGGCACCCTTTAATCTCGAGCCTTTGGACTTGATTAAGGCTCTGAGGCAGTCTCACTCTATGAGGCAGTCTGAGGCTATTAGGCAGTCTCAACAAATACCCTTACATACCACTTTGTCTGTTTGGCTCGATCCTCAGGTGTTAAAAACAGATGTTAAAAGATTGTGCTCGCATTATGGGATAATGGAAGGACCCGTGAAGATCCGGGTAGAATAGGTCTTCAGCAACCCATACTTACCGTAAAAGGTGACTTTGCTTGTCGTAAGAGGCGACTAACGGGATCAGGTGGTCAGGCACGGTGACTTGGTTGATGCATGTCAGCATATCCCAACTTCGTGGATCGATGCTCATGATATCAATCACTGGATTGTCTGGTCCAGACTGGATTATTTACATCCCGCTGTCATATAGCTGGAATATTGCTGAGTGTGGCGTTAAACAACAAACAAATAAACAAAGGATTGTTAAACCCATTTTCACATCACCTCACTTTGCCTGTTAGTTCACATTATGACAGTTAATGATTATCCCAATGACACAGTGACAGGTCTCACTTTCACACACAGTATTACCTACAATGTCAAGGACTAGGCAAGAAAATGGCACCAGGCTGCAGAGCACTGTCACACTTGAAGAGAATAAGCCTGTCTATTACTATTCAGTAGCAGAACAATACTTACTTACTTAAGACACAAGACAGATTCTATTGCAATTTCAGGGGGTTATTTGGGTTTATGTATTTTAAAATCCAGGGCTCTTAGTTAAAATATGGTTGGTCCAAGGAATCACCATACCCCCTTGGCATCTATTCCAAATCTAAAAAATTCCAAATTTTTCTATATAAGCAACCACTAAATTCCCCCACTGGGTTGCCAATTTTCTTTTCCCTTTTCGGAAATACACTAAATGGCCCGGCCGGGCCCGTGTGCGAAATACGCTAGAGTCGGAAAGCGCACATAAAATCTCCAATGCAAGCAAGCAAGCAAGCAAGCAAGGAACCAACATGGGGCTTCGAAGCTGGCAACATGTCTCAAGCTTTACTTGACTTACATTAATTTTACTGATGTCAAATCCTTGCACATGCTCAGAATCTTTGATTCTATTGCAGATGAGAATTTTAATGTTAGATTGAGAAAATCAACCATTTCTTAACACAATAGAACTGTCAGTTATAATAACATACACCTATACTGTTTGTTAGATTTATTTAATTCAAGCCAAAAAACGTTTCCATTCTCAATTTGTAGACCGCCTCCGTGGTCTAGTGGTAGAGCGTCAGTCTGGAGAGCGGAAGGTCCGGGGTTCGATCACCAGCCGCGTCATACCAAAAGACGTTAAAAGATGGTACTTGTTACCCTGTCTGGTGCTCGGCATTAAGGGGCTAAAACAAGGACTGGTCGGCTCGGAGTCAGTATACTGTGTCTGAGTGGGGTATTCATGTTAAACTGCGGCATGGTATCTCAGTGGGCTAGCACTATAAATCGGCATCAGTCCGGACTAGTACAAGCACACGCACGCACGCACACACATCGCTATATAAGTGCAATAATCTTGGATGCGACGTTAAACCCCATTTCACCTCACCTCACCTCAATTTGTGAGCACACAAGATGCATTATTGGAAAAACCATGAACATACATGTCTCCATGTTACAGAGGGCTCCTGGACATGCCCCCTATGTTGAGTATGAACGAGGGGGAAATCAAGATCCGAGCTCAGCCCTTCACAGACACAGACTTGCAAGACAAGCAGACAGGTGGGGGACTCCGCATCCTACCAGGGGAGGGTGGGGGACCACAATGGCTGAGTCAGGTTACTTGAATAAGTCATGTCCACAGACACTTTCAGTTTCGATGTGTCCTTGAACCTTTAAAACAAGATTGACACACTTCTGTGCCAGTTCCAGACCAAATAGCACTAGTCAACAACCATGAAACATTGTTCTAATTTCTGTAAATCATGAAATTAAAGCATCACCAAATTAATGCGAGTGTTGACCTCTAGCCTTTAGTGTGTCCTGAAATTAATGTGAGTAGTCTCACTTTTGAAATTTAAAAAAAATTCTCTCCAAAAATAAATACTATGGTACAGGATGGTGTATTAACAGTTTGATAATAGTGCTGACTGTTCTCACACAATATAGGGGAGAACTGTTTTTCCAGTAATTATATGATTATTTGACAAGGATGCCAAGAATGTAGATGCCATCATAAATGATTGGAACTGTCATAACTGCTTGATGAAGTTGTGTGAACAAACAGTGACCAGACATGACCCAGTCATAACTGCTTGATGACGTTGTGTGAACAAACAGTGTCCAGACATGACCCAGTCATAACTGCTTGATGACGTTGTGTGAACAAACAGTGACCAGACATGACCCAGTCATAACTGCTTGATGAAGTTGTGTGAACAAACAGTGACCAGACATGACCCAGTCATAACTGCTTGATGAAGTTGTGTGAACAAACAGTGACCAGACATGACCCAGTCATAACTGCTTGATGAAGTTGTGTGAACAAACAGTGACCAGACTTGACCCAGTCATAACTGCTTGATGAAGTTGTGTGAACAAACAGTGACCAGACATGACCCAGTCATAACTGCTTGATGAAGTTGTGTGAACAAACAGTGACCAGACATGACCCAGTCATAACTGCTTGATGAAGTTATGTGAACAAACAGTGACCAGACATGACCCAGTCATAACTGCTTGATGACGTTGTGTGAACAAACAGTGACCAGACATGACCCAGTCATAACTGCTTGATGAAGTTGTGTGAACAAACAGTGACCAGACATGACCCAGTCATAACTGCTTGATGAAGTTGTGTGAACAGTGACCAGACATGACCCAGTCATAACTGCTTGATGAAGTTGTGTGAACAAACAGTGACCAGACATGACCCAGTCATAACTGTTTGATGACGTTGTGTGAACAAACAGTGACCAGACATGACCCAGTCAAAACTGCTTGATGAAGTTGTGTGAACAAACAGGGACCAGACATGACCCAGTCATAACTGCCTGATGACGTGTGAACAAACAGTGACCAGACATGACCCAGTCATAACTGCTTGATGAAGTTGTGTGAACAAACAGTGACCAGACATGACCCAGTCATAACTGTTTGATGACGTTGTGTGAACAAACAGTGACCAGACATGACCCAGTCAAAACTGCTTGATGAAGTTGTGTGAACAAACAGGGACCAGACATGACCCAGTCATAACTGCCTGATGACGTGTGAACAAACAGTGACCAGACATGACCCAGTCATAACTGCTTGATGAAGTTGTGTGAACAAACAGTGACCGGACATGACCCAGTCATAACTGCATGATGAAGTTGTGTGAACAAACAGTGACCGGACATGACCCAGTCATAACTGCTTGATGACGTTGTGTGAACAAACAGTGACCAGACTTGACATGGAACCCAGTGAGAAACACTTTTAGGTAAATGACAGTGTTGAGTTGGTCCTTTGTTATGCTATTGATGTCTTTATTTCTGGAACTTGCAGTGAACTTCGCAATGTGATGCAAGCTTGGGACACTCACATATTCTGCATTTTTTTCATAACTTGTATTTTTGTCTCATACATCCTTATGACAATTAGTTCAAAAGCTTTTTGAGAGGATTTCTTTGAGACATATTTGGGACAGAGTATCTCAGTTTGCCGTGTTGTGTTGGTCACAGGTCGCTATGTCGGGGGGTTTGACTGCATGGAGAATACACTCATGAACAAAGGTCTTGTCCAGAAGGAGGCTGCCGACAGACACACGTAAGGAGCACATTTGTGTCTTTGTTATTGTGTACTATATTCCTCTATGTCTGACTGAAATACATTTGTGTTACATATTTGTCTTAAATGTCTTTCTCAAGTACATTTTGGCCTGAGCTGTGCTGAGTGCAATGGATGAATATTGTTGTGTTGTAGCTTTGCCTTGACTGAGAGTGGACAGAGGCTTGTAATATTGTTGTGTTGTAGCTTTGCCTTGACCGAGAGTGGACAGACTTGTAGTATTGTTGTGTTGTAGCTTTGCCTTGACAGAGAGTGGACAGAGACTTGTAATACTGTTGTGTAGTAGCTTTGCCTTGACAGAGAGTGGACAGAGGCTTGTAATATTGTTGTGTTGTAGCTTTGCCTTGACAGAGAGGGGACAGAGACTTGTAATATTGTTGTGTTGTAGCTTTGCCTTGACCGAGAGTGGACAGAGGCTTGTAATATTGTTGTGTTGTAGCTTTGCCTTGACAGAGAGTGGACAGAGACTTGTAATATTGTTGTGTTGTAGCTTTGCCTTGACTGAGAGTGGACAGAGACTTGTAATATTGTTGTGTTGTAGCTTTGCCTTGACAGAGAGTGGACAAAGACTTGTAGTATTGTTGTGTTGTAGCTTTGCCTTGACAGAGAGTGGACAGAGACTTGTAATATTGTTGTGTTGTAGCTTTGCCTTGACTGAGAGTGGACAGAGACTTGTAATATTGTTGTGTTGTAGCTTTGCCTTGACTGAGAGTGGACAGAGACTTGTAATATTGTTGTGTTGTAGCTTTGCCTTGACAGAGAGGGGACAGAGACTTGTAATACTGTTGTGTTGTAGCTTTGCCTTGACAGAGAGTGGACAGAGACTTGTAATACTGTTGTGTAGTAGCTTTGCCTTGACAGAGAGTGGACAGAGGCTTGTAATATTGTTGTGTTGTAGCTTTGCCTTGACAGAGAGGGGACAGAGACTTGTAATATTGTTGTGTTGTAGCTTTGCCTTGACCGAGAGTGGACAGAGGCTTGTAATATTGTTGTGTTGTAGCTTTGCCTTGACAGAGAGTGGACAGAGACTTGTAATATTGTTGTGTTGTAGCTTTGCCTTGACTGAGAGTGGACAGAGACTTGTAATATTGTTGTGTTGTAGCTTTGCCTTGACAGAGAGTGGACAAAGACTTGTAGTATTGTTGTGTTGTAGCTTTGCCTTGACAGAGAGTGGACAGAGACTTGTAATATTGTTGTGTTGTAGCTTTGCCTTGACTGAGAGTGGACAGAGACTTGTAATATTGTTGTGTTGTAGCTTTGCCTTGACTGAGAGTGGACAGAGACTTGTAATATTGTTGTGTTGTAGCTTTGCCTTGACAGAGAGGGGACAGAGACTTGTAATACTGTTGTGTTGTAGCTTTGCCTTGACTGAGAGTGGACAGAGACTTGTAATATTGTTGTGTTGTAGCTTTGCCTTGACCGAGAGTGGACAGAGGCTTGTAATATTGTTGTGTTGAAGCATTGCCTTGACTGAGAGTGGACAGAGACTTGTAATACTGTTGTGTTGTAGCTTTGCCTTGACAGAGAGTGGACAGAGACTTGTAATATTGTTGTGTTGTAGCTTTGCCTTGACAGAGAGTGGACAGAGGCTTGTAATACTGTTGTGTTGTAGCTTTGCCTTGACTGAGAGTGGACAGAGACTTGTAATATTGTTGTGTTGTAGCTTTGCCTTGACAGAGAGTGGACAGAGACTTGTAGTACTGTTGTGTAGTAGCTTTGCCTTGACTGAGAGTGGACAGAGACTTGTAATATTGTTGTGTTGTAGCTTTGCCTTGACTGAGTGTGGACAGAGACTTGTAATATTGTTGTGTTGTAGCTTTGCCTTGACTGAGAGTGGACAGAGACTTGTAATATTGTTGTGTTGTAGCTTTGCCTTGACTGAGAGTGGACAGAGACTTGTAGTACTGTTGTGTAGTAGCTTTGCCTTGACTGAGTGTGGACAGAGACTTGTAATATTGTTGTGTTGTAGCTTTGCCTTGACTGAGAGTGGACAGAGACTTGTAATATTGTTGTGTTGTAGCTTTGCCTTGACAAAGAGGGGACAGAGGCTTGTAATACTGTTGTGTTGTAGCTTTGCCTTGACTGAGAGTGGACAGAGACTTGTAATATTGTTGTGTTGTAGCTTTGCCTTGACTGAGAGTGGACAGAGGCTTGTAATATTGTTGTGTTGTAGCTTTGCCTTGACTGAGAGTGGACAGAGACTTGTAATATTGTTGTGTTGTAGCTTTGCCTTGACTGAGAGTGGACAGAGGCTTGTAATATTGTTGTGTTGTAGCTTTGCATTGACTGAGAGTGGACAGAGACTTGTAATATTGTTGTGTTGTAGCTTTGCCTTGACAAAGAGGGGACAGAGGCTTGTAATACTGTTGTGTTGTAGCTTTGCCTTGACTGAGAGTGGACAGAGACTTGTAATATTGTTGTGTTGTAGCTTTGCCTTGACTGAGAGTGGACAGAGGCTTGTAATATTGTTGTGTTGTAGCTTTGCCTTGACTGAGAGTGGACAGAGACTTGTAATATTGTTGTGTTGTAGCTTTGCCTTGACTGAGAGTGGACAGAGGCTTGTAATATTGTTGTGTTGTAGCTTTGCATTGACTGAGAGTGGACAGAGACTTGTAATATTGTTGTGTTGTAGCTTTGCCTTGACAGAGAGTGGACAGAGACTTGTAATATTGTTGTGTTGTAGCTTTGCCTTGACAGAGAGGGGACAGAGGCTTGTAATACTGTTGTGTTGTAGCTTTGCCTTGACTGAGAGTGGACAGAGACTTGTAATATTGTTGTGTTGTAGCTTTGCCTTGACAGAGAGTGGACAGAGACTTGTAGTACTGTTGTGTAGTAGCTTTGCCTTGACTGAGAGTGGACAGAGACTTGTAATATTGTTGTGTTGTAGCTTTGCCTTGACTGAGTGTGGACAGAGACTTGTAATATTGTTGTGTTGTAGCTTTGCCTTGACTGAGAGTGGACAGAGACTTGTAATATTGTTGTGTTGTAGCTTTGCCTTGACTGAGAGTGGACAGAGACTTGTAGTACTGTTGTGTAGTAGCTTTGCCTTGACTGAGTGTGGACAGAGACTTGTAATATTGTTGTGTTGTAGCTTTGCCTTGACTGAGAGTGGACAGAGACTTGTAATATTGTTGTGTTGTAGCTTTGCCTTGACAAAGAGGGGACAGAGGCTTGTAATACTGTTGTGTTGTAGCTTTGCCTTGACTGAGAGTGGACAGAGACTTGTAATATTGTTGTGTTGTAGCTTTGCCTTGACTGAGAGTGGACAGAGGCTTGTAATATTGTTGTGTTGTAGCTTTGCCTTGACTGAGAGTGGACAGAGACTTGTAATATTGTTGTGTTGTAGCTTTGCCTTGACTGAGAGTGGACAGAGGCTTGTAATATTGTTGTGTTGTAGCTTTGCATTGACTGAGAGTGGACAGAGACTTGTAATATTGTTGTGTTGTAGCTTTGCCTTGACAAAGAGGGGACAGAGGCTTGTAATACTGTTGTGTTGTAGCTTTGCCTTGACTGAGAGTGGACAGAGACTTGTAATATTGTTGTGTTGTAGCTTTGCCTTGACTGAGAGTGGACAGAGGCTTGTAATATTGTTGTGTTGTAGCTTTGCCTTGACTGAGAGTGGACAGAGACTTGTAATATTGTTGTGTTGTAGCTTTGCCTTGACTGAGAGTGGACAGAGGCTTGTAATATTGTTGTGTTGTAGCTTTGCATTGACTGAGAGTGGACAGAGACTTGTAATATTGTTGTGTTGTAGCTTTGCCTTGACAGAGAGTGGACAGAGGCTTGGAGAGCAGCTGCATCTGTTCCACACAGCTGTCGCCAAATTTATGGCAGGCAACAATGTTCCCACTGTACCGGTGCAACACATTTAGTAAGTTGTTTAAGATATCACCTCTGCAGCAAGTCTAATTTGAATGTATATTCCTATTATTTGGGAACTGTACTACTTGTGTTTGAATTTGGTTCAGATGATTATAAAGACCACATTAGGGATTTGTCTCTCAAAGGTTGTAGATTTCAGTCTCTTTAAGTATTATAATTCATGCATAAGGAACAATACATAAGTTACCAACTACTATATTCAGTTCACCTCTATCCCTAATAGTACTCCCAAAAGTAAATGTGGTTCAGTTTGCTCTCTAGAGATGCATCCCTTAGCAGTACAAGATCCTGTAGTCTTGGGCTTAGAGGACATTGTCACATATCTGTGATATGTTTTACCATGCTTACTGGTTTCAAATTGTTTCAGCTCACAGTGTGGTACAAGGCGTCTCTATTTGGTTATTGATGATAAGGAACGTGATGTGCAGCGCTTGTCAAAGCTTGCAAGGGATCATGGGATACCGACTCTGATCCGCAGTCTTCCTGCAGGGGACTATGTCTGGATCCTGTCCCCTCCTCTCCCGAGTCCACACACGGAGTACAATGGCAACAACAGATCAGCAGAAACGGTTAGAGTTACCTACCTTGCAGGAATTGCCTCATATGTGATATCTTTGTTATCATTGCTTCCAACAATGATATAACCTTGGTTAGCTCTTCAAAAGAGTCAGAGATTGTATGGCCAAATAACTGTAATCTTGTACCACATCAACAATGAACAACTGCAACTTACAGCATGGTATAACTGCAACATGTAACATTGCCCAGCTACAACCTTGTACCACAGCAACAATGAACAACAGCAACATGCAGCATGATATAACTGCAACATGTAACATTGCCCAGCTACAACCTTGTACCACAGCAACAATGAACAACAGCAACATGATATAACTGCAACATGTAACATTGCCCAGCTACAACCTTGTACCACAGCAACAATGAACAACAGCAACATGCAGCATGGTATAACTGCAACATGTAACATTGCCCAGCTACAACCTTGTACCACAGCAACAATGAACAACAGCAACATGCAGCATGATATAACTGCAACATGTATCATTGCCCAGCTTCATCATTGTACCACTGCAACATATACATCATAACTGCAACATAGTGTGTGGATGTGTTTCAGCTGTTGCCCTTCATCGTAGAGAGGAAGTCATGGGACGACTACTACAACAGCTGGCGGGGGTCACGCTTTCAGAGACAGGTCAACAATATGAAGGTGCAGCTGGGGTGTGTGTATTGGGGGTTGGTGGGTGGAGAAGTGTTTCACCCAATGTGATTGGTACCCATTTTTCTCAAGTGCACACAGTATGCACAAGGAAATAAGGTATTCAGATCTTTTTCTGAGCTTCAAATCTTATTATCCCCCGCCCAACAAAGTTGGCAGGGGATATAGAAACGGGCTCCGTCCGTCACGTTTTGTTTCCGGAGCATAACTCAGAAACCGTTCAATATGTTTTCATGAAACTTTGCAGGCCTGTCAAGTACATATTGAACTGGTGCCTTTTGCTATTTAGAAATTTTAGAAATTGTTATTTTGCAACGTTTCCATGGCAACAAGATGGACTTAGGTTCTGTGAGGGTAGGGTTTGTTTCCAGAGCATAACTCATAAACCGTTCAATATTTTTTCATCAAACTTTGCAGGGCTGTCAGGTACATGCTGAACTGGTGCCTTTTGCTATTTAGAAATTTTAGAAATTTTTATATTTTTACGTTTCCATGGCAACAAGATGGCCTCAGGTTCCAAATTCTTCTTTTTTTTACAATTTCCATGACAAGTTCCACCTCGGTTAAAAATGGTTAGGGTTTGTTTAGATTTAATTATGTCATAAATTCTGCAACTGGGGCGGGGGATATAGCCACGTTAGTGGCAAACTCTCCTTTTACATTTTTTAACACATCAGGTTGTGACAGACACAAAGTCAATGATTTTATATCTGTTGTTAATTATTCTATTGTAAATAGTGAAACTTTCTGTTAGCCATGTCGGACAGGGATGACTGTTTGCTGGGGAAGCCCACTTGTAAATGTAGCCTCTTGGTTGCCTTACCCCAACACTTTAAGTTCATTGAGTTCAGGTTGGTTATAAACAGGAAATCATGGTAAAAGTTATGACTGTTGTGTATGGCTAGGTGTATCATCTATGTGTCATTGTTCCCAGGCTAGCGGAGTAGAGAACTGTTTCTACCTGGTCGAAGGCTCTGTGAAAAATCTGAGATTTGTGTCAGCCGATCTGCAGCAGAGACTGAAGGTAGGAGTAGTTATGACAAATTGTGGGGATTCTGGGTCACATTTGATCCCCAGCAACCTATTGCTGGTCGTAAGGGACGATTTAATGGATCGGGTAGTCAGGCTTGGGGACATGGTTCCTTGTGTATCATCATCCCCCAACAAGGTTGATTGCTACCCATAATATCAGGGGGCAGTCAAGTAGCCTAGTGGTTAAAAGTTTGCTCGTCACACCGAAGACCAGGTTCGATTCCTGACATGGGTACAATGTGCGAAGCCAATTTCTGATGTCCCCGCCGTGATATTGATGGAATATTGCAAAAAACTGCGTAAAACCTCACTCACTCACTCTCTTCAAACAGAAAACTCTATAGAGAGAAAAAGAAATGCATACAAACAATAAAACATGAAACAAAATAAGTCAAAAGCACTTTTTTCAAAAAAGAAATTCCATTATTTGTTCCCTGGATGAATTGACTGTGTTTATTTGCAGGATCAGCTGGTGCCCCTGATGGTGGAGGATGGGTTTTATGTGAACTACACGTCCTCATGGTCCAAGTCTGCCCAGTGGCTGTGCTGGATGACTTCTCTCGTTGCCCAAGCCTACAAGGACGGTAAGTAAGAACACATTAACACTGCTGGGTCCTATTTTTCCCAACCTGTTTATACCAGGGTTAGAACAGGTCCACATCAATCCATGCTTGTTACCAGAGGCGACTAAATTGGATCGGATTGTCAGGCTCTGTGATATGGCTGATTGTGTGTCATTGTACCCCCACGGTGAGGGATGTTGCTCATTATATCAATAGCTAGTTGCCTGGAAAATAGCTGGTTGTTTAATTGCCACAGTGAAAAAGCTGGAATGGAGCTGACTGAGGTTTTATGCTTCACTCACTCACTGATCCTTTCACTCACTCACTTATCCTCTTACTCACTCATCCTCTTACTCATCCTCTCACTCACTCACTCATTCTCTTACTCACTCATCCTCTTACTCATCCTCTCACTCACTCACTTATCCTCTTACTCACTCATCCTCTTACTCATCCTCTCACTCACTCACTCATTCTCTTACTCACTCATCCTCTTACTAATTCTCTTACTCACTCATCCTCTCACTCTCTTACTCACTCATCCTCTCACTCTCTTACTCACTCATCCTCTCACTCACTCATTCATCCTTCACTCACTCACTCATCCTCTTACTCACTCATCCTCTTACTCACTCACTCATCCTCTTACTTACTCATCCTCTTACTCACTCATCCTCTCACTCACTCATCCTCTTACTCACACACTCATCTTCTCACTCACTCATCCTATCACTCACTCACTCACTCACTCACTCACTCATCCTCTCACTCATTCATCCTTCATTCACTCACTCATCCTCTTACTCATCCTCTTACTCACACACTCATCCTCTCACTCTCTCACTCACTCATCCTCTTACTCACTTATTCATCCTCTCACCCACTCATTCATCCCCTCTTGCTCACTCACTCATCCTCTCTTCCTCACTCATCCTCACTCACTCACTCATCCTCTCACTCACTCATCCTCTCACTCACTCATCCTCTAACTCACTCACTCATCCTCTAACTCACTCACTCATCCTCTTACTCATTCACTCATCCTCTAACTCTCTCACTCACTAACTCATCCTCTCTTGCTCACTCATCCTCTCACTCACTCATCCTCTCACTCACTCACTCATCCTCTCTTCCTCACTCATCCTCTCACTCACTCACTCATCCTCTCACTCACTCATTCACTCATCCTCTCACTCACTCACTCATCCTCTCACTCACTTATCCTCTCACTCACTCACTCATCCTCTCTTCCTCACTCATCCTCTCTCACTCACTCATCCTCTCACTCACTCATCCTCTCACTCACTCATCCTCTCTTCCTCACTCATCCTCTCACTCACTCACTCATCCTCTCTTCCTCAGTCATCCTCTCACTCACTCACTCATCCTCTCTCACTCATCCTCTCACTCACTCATCCTCTCACTCACTCATCCTCTCTTCCTCACTCATCCTCTCACTCACTCACTCATCCTCTCACTCACTCACTCATCCTTTCACTCACTCACTCATCCTCTCACCCACTCATCCTCTCTCACTCATCCTCTCACTCACTCATCCTCTCACTCACTCATCCTCTCTTCCTCACTCATCCTCTCACTCACTCACTCATCCTCTCACTCACTCACTCATCCTTTCACTCACTCACTCATCCTCTCACCCACTCACTCATCCTCTCTCGCTCACTCACTCATCCTCTCGCTCACTCACCCAACCTGTTGATACCAGGGTTAGAACAGGTCCACATCAGTCCATGCTTGTTACCAGAGGCGACTAAATTGGATCGGATTGTCAGGCTCTGTGATATGGCTGATTGTGTGTCATTGTACCCCCACGGTGAGGGATGTTGCTCATTATATCAATAGCTAGTTGCCTGGAAAATAGCTGGTTGTTTAATTGCCACAGTGAAAAAGCTGGAATGGAGCTGACTGAGGTTTTATGCTTCACTCACTCACTGATCCTTTCACTCACTCACTTATCCTCTTACTCACTCACTCATCCTCTTACTCATCCTCTCACTCACTCACTCATCCTCTTACTCACTCATCCTCTTACCTACTCATCCTCTTACTCCCTCACTCACTCATCCTCTCACTCACTCATTCATCCTTCACTCACTCACTCATCCTCTTACTCACTCATCCTCTTACTCACTCACTCATCCTCTTACTTACTCATCCTCTTACTCACTCATCCTCTCACTCACTCATCCTCTTACTCACACACTCATCCTCTCACTCACTCATCCTCTCACTCACTCACTCACTCACTCATCCTCTCACTCACTCATCCTCTCACTCATTCATCCTTCATTCACTCACTCATCCTCTTACTCATCCTCTTACTCACACACTCATCCTCTCACTCTCTCACTCACTCATCCTCTTACTCACTTATTCATCCTCTCACCCACTCATTCATCCCCTCTTGCTCACTCACTCATCCTCTCTTCCTCACTCATCCTCACTCACTCACTCATCCTCTCACTCACTCATCCTCTCACTCACTCATCCTCTCACTCACTCATCCTCTAACTCACTCACTCATCCTCTCACTCTCTCACTCACTCATCCTCTAACTCACTCACTCATCCTCTTACTCATTCACTCATCCTCTAACTCTCTCACTCACTAACTCATCCTCTCTTGCTCACTCATCCTCTCACTCACTCATCCTCTCACTCACTCACTCATCATCTCTTCCTCACTCGTCCTCTCACTCACTCACTCATCCTCTCACTCACTCACTCACTCATCCTCTCACTCACTCACTCATCCTCTCACTCACTTATCCTCTCACTCACTCACTCATCCTCTCTTCCTCACTCATCCTCTCTCTCACTCATCCTCTCACTCACTCATCCTCTCACTCACTCATCCTCTCTTCCTCACTCATCCTCTCACTCACTCACTCATCCTCTCTTCCTCAGTCATCCTCTCACTCACTCACTCATCCTCTCTCACATCCTCTCACTCACTCATCCTCTCACTCACTCATCCTCTCTTCCTCACTCATCCTCTCACTCACTCACTCATCCTCTCACTCACTCATTCATCCTTTCACTCACTCACTCATCCTCTCACCCACTCACTCATCCTCTCTCGCTCACTCACTCATCCTCTCGCTCACTCACCCAACCTGTTGATACCAGGGTTAGAACAGGTCCACATCAATCCATGCTTGTTACCAGAGGCGACTAAATTGGATCGGATTGTCAGGCTCTGTGATATGGCTGATTGTGTGTCATTGTACCCCCACGGTGAGGGATGTTGCTCATTATATCAATAGCTAGTTGCCTGGAAAATAGCTGGTTGTTTAATTGCCACAGTGAAAAAGCTGGAATGGAGCTGACTGAGGTTTTATGCTGCACTCATTCACTGATCCTTTCACTCACTCATCCTCTTACTCACTCACTCATCCTCTTACTCATCCTCTCACTCACTCACTCATCCTCTTACTCACTCATCCTCTTACTCATCCTCTCACTCACTCACTCATCCTCTTACTCATCCTCTCACTCACTCACTCATCCTCTTACTCACTCATCCTCTTACTCATCCTCTCACTCACTCACTCATCCTCTTACTAATCCTCTTACTCACTCATCCTCTCACTCTCTCACTCACTCATCCTCTCACTCACTCATCCTCTTACTCACTCATCCTCTTACTCATCCTCTCACTTACTCACTCATCCTCTTACTAATCCTCTTACTCACTCATCCTCTCACTCTCTCACTCTCTCACTCACTCATCCTCTCACTCACTCATTCATCCTTCACTCACTCATCCTCTTACTTACTCATCCTCTTACTCACTCATCCTCTCACTCTCTCACTCTCTCACTCACTCATCCTCTTACTCACTCATCCTCTTACTCACTCACTCATCCTCTCACTCACTCATCCTATCACTCACTCACTCACTCATCCTCTCACTCTCTCACTCTCTCACTCACTCATCCTCTCACTCACTCATTCATCCTTCACTCACTCATCCTCTTACTTACTCATCCTCTTACTCACTCATCCTCTCACTCTCTCACTCTCTCACTCACTCATCCTCTTACTCACTCATCCTCTTACTCACTCACTCATCCTCTCACTCACTCATCCTATCACTCACTCACTCACTCATCCTCTTACTTACTCATCCTCTTACTCACTCATCCTCTCACTCACTCATCCTCTTACTCACACACTCATCCTCTCACTCACTCATCCTATCACTCACTCACTCACTCATCCTCTCACTCATTCATCCTTCATTCACTCACTCATCCTCTTACTCATCCTCTTACTCACACACTCATCCTCTCACTCTCTCACTCACTCATCCTCTTACTCACTTATTCATCCTCTCACCCACTCATTCATCCCCTCTTGCTCACTCATCCTCACTCACTCACTCATCCTCTCACTCACTCATCCTCTCACTCACTCATCCTCTAACTCACTCACTCATCCTCTCACTCTCTCACTCATCCTCTAACTCACTCACTCATCCTCTTACTCATTCACTCATCCTCTAACTCTCTCACTCACTAACTCATCCTCTCTTACTCACTCATCCTTCACTCACTCATCCTCTTACTAATCCTCTTACTCACTCATCCTCTCACTCTCTCACTCTCTCACTCACTCATCCTCTCACTCACTCATTCATCCTTCACTCACTCATCCTCTTACTTACTCATCCTCTTACTCACTCATCCTCTCACTCTCTCACTCTCTCACTCACTCATCCTCTTACTCACTCATCCTCTTACTCACTCACTCATCCTCTTACTTACTCATCCTCTTACTCACTCATCCTCTCACTCACTCATCCTATCACTCACTCACTCATCCTCTTACTTACTCATCCTCTTACTCACTCATCCTCTCACTCACTCATCCTCTAACTCTCTCACTCACTAACTCATCCTCTCTTGCTCACTCATCCTCTCACTCACTCACCCATCCTCTCACTCACTCATCCTCTCACTCACTCATCCTCTCACTCACTCACTCATCCTCTCTTCCTCACTCATCCTCACTCACTCATCCTCTCACTCACTCACTCACTCACTCATCCTCTCACTCACTCATTCATCCTTCAATCATCCTCTCACCCACTCACTCATCCTCTCTCGCTCACTCACTCATCCTTTCTCGCTCACTCACTTGTCCATTCATTCATCCTCTCACTCAATCACTCTGCTCACCCACTCACTCATTCATCCCCTCACTCACTCATTTACTCAATCCTCAGTACATTATTGTCTGTAATATATCAGTGAGACAATGGTGACATGTTAATGGTGCTTTGCTCAGGAGTGTTTAAGAAGCAGATGACCTTCTCTGATCTACAAAGAAACATTAGGGAGAGCAACCGCAACCCGTCGTTGAGACCTGGGAGGAGGCGAGGCAAATCACATGTGTGGCTCTCTCAGGACATCATACAGTGCATCTCAAGGTGACACAATTATGTCAGCCATCTTAACTATCAAGGTATAGGGATACTAGAGTAGAATTTGACTCCAGTAACTCATATTATTTGCCTGAGAGATCTGTGATTTAATAAAACTATAATAGTTATTTTTAATGTGACTAAAATTTAAATTCAAGAACATCTCGTTCGAGGAAAGTATCATCTTGTTTGTGTAACATTTTTGTGTGTCAAAACACGTGTTATTTTAAAGGGAGAGGTGTTTATTAGATATTTAGTTGTCTGTTCCCCAATCTCATTTATGTAACTTTTTCCTGAGTAAGATATTGTTTAAGTCATACATCCCTATTAAGGAAGAAATTTTGTGTTAGATTATAGTCTTCAGTATTTATTAAAAGAAGTCTTTGGCAATCAATTCTGACAGCAATTCTGGTAAAGTGTCTGTCTTTTTGTTGATATATTTAGCTGTTGATGATATTTCAAGGTGAGCTACAGTGTTGTGGCACTATGTTTTATGTATAACTAACATTCAGCATCACTTGAGGGTGAATGTTTTGTGTGTTCCCACTAATTGTAACCAATCGTGACATAAGGGACCTCATGGGTGAAAATCACATAATTCTTGTGAATACCCTACCTCTATTACATCATAGCCATAAATTCCTATTTATGCTGAGAACCACACTACAAAATTTTAAAAAATTTCAAAATCACATTTTGCCTACTTAATTTATTTTAAAACTAAACTAAAAGATTCATTTTATATTTATTAGAGAGATACATGGCAGCAAACATTTGGATGTCAGACATTTTCTTCAAAGACCAATTTTCAGTCTTTCCATGCCTTTAACTGTTTATGTAACGTTTGCGTTTTAGATATAATGTCTGATTAATTGAACATAGACATGTATGCTGAAATGTTTTGAAATAATGTTACGAGAGAGAATACGATTTTTTTTGTACAGTCCACACACGTGGCTGTTTTTTACATCAATCTTTATGACGTCAAAGCACAACTGTTTCCTAGCATCCACAAGGCCCCTTTTCTCTTGTTGGATCACAATTGATTTTATCACCAGCAGTACTGGGAACAATTCATTGACGAAGACCTGCGAAGCTAACTTTGGTCCAGCAGCAGGCAGTCGTGATCCATGCCAGCTTCTCGTCATAGAAGGACTGGAGATGTATAATAAGGTAGGCTTGTCAGATACACATTGTACCCATCTCTCTTCTGTAGAACTTTTGCTGATGATCACGACACTTTTCATTCGAGAACATTTTAGATTTAGCGTCATATCCTAGGGATGTGTATGTCAGTCGAAACTGCAACAAGTTGACTTACTTTTTTGTTACGCTGTAGCATAGTTAAGTTTTAAGGAGAGTTTGACATGGAGAAGCTTCAGGTTATTCTTTTTGTTGTCAAACCATACTGCTGAGATAACCTTAGACTTGAGTTTGTAACCTGGTGGTTGAAGTGTTTGCCTGTCACACGAAAGACCCAGGTTGATGTCGTGGATATGTTCAATATATGCAGCTCATTCTTACATTTATCAGACCGCCTCCGTGGTCTAGTGGTAGAGCGTCCGCCCGGAGAGCGGAAGGTCTGGGGTTCGATCCCTGGCCGCGTCATACCAAAAGACATTAAAAGATGGTACTTGTTGTTACCCTGTCTGGCGCTCGGCATTAAGGGGCTAAAACAAGGACTGGTTGGCTCGGAGTCAGTATACTATGTCTGAGTGGGGTATTCATGTTAAACTGCGGCATGGTATCTCAGTGAGCTAGCACTATAAATCGGCATCAGTCCGGACTAGTACAAGCAGTCACACAAACACACACATGTACATGCACGTCGTTATATAAGTGCAACAATCTTGGATGCGATTTTAAACCCCATTTCACCTCACCTCACCTCACCTCACCTCACCTCACCTCACCTCACCTCACCTCACATTTATCAGCCATGAGCAGCTGTAAAAAACATGCTGACCTCACTCAGTTACCTCCTCTTGCCAGTGGTGCTAGTAGAGGACATTTTAGTATAGCCTAAACTGACTTCAATGTATCTGATTCTGTCATGTTTGTTTTCAGCAACGGAGTGGGTTGCTGATCAAGTGTTGTGAGTCTGTAGCTAATACACCGCATGATAAACTCAATGGTGAGTTCTCTGTCATATCCTCTGATGTACGTGGTGAAGTTTTATGTCAAAATAATGAATGGAAAATCATCAGTTAGAAACTAAAATGTTTCAAGCTTTAGGATTAAAGTACATTTAAATAGAATATTGTTTCAGTTTTATGTTGAGAATGTTCCCCATTTGATGGACATGTGTTTGTATTTTGTCAAACTTATTCCTGTTTAACCTGTTTAAGATGAAGTGAGCTTGTACCTCTTGCCTCAGAAAGACAAGATGCTCCACTATGACGTGTTCAGCTACTGGCAGCTGTATATTCAGGTAGGGAGACAATGCTCCACTGTGACGTGTTCAGCTTCTGACAGCTGTATATACAGGTAGGGAGACAATGCTCCACTATGACGTGTTCAGCTACTGGCAGCTGTATATCCAGGTAGGGAGACAATGCTCCACTATGACGTGTTCAGCTACTGGCAGCTGTATATCCAGGTAGGGAGACAATGCTCCACTATGACGTGTTCAGCTACTGGCAGCTGTATATTCAGGTAGGGAGACAATGCTCCACTAGGACTATTCAGCTTCTGACAGCTGTATATTCAGGTAGGGAGACAATGCTCCACTGTGACGTGTTCAGCTACTGGCAGCTGTATATACAGGTAGGGAGACAATGCTCCACTGTGATGTGTTCAGCTACTGGCAGCTGTATATACAGGTAGGGAGACAATGCTCCACTATGACGTGTTCAGCTACTGGCAGCTGTATATACAGGTAGGGAGACAATGCTCCACTGTGACGTGTTCAGCTTCTGACAGCTGTATATACAGGTAGGGAGACAATGCTCCACTATGACGTGTTCAGCTACTGGCAGCTGTATATACAGGTAGGGAGACAATGCTCCACTGTGACGTGTTCAGCTTCTGACAGCTGTATATACAGGTAGGGAGACAATGCTCCACTGTGACGTGTTCAGCTACTGGCAGCTGTATATTCAGGTAGGGAGACAATGCTCCACTATGACGTGTTCAGCTTCTGACAGCTGTATATTCAGGTAGGGAGACAATGCTCCACTGTGACGTGTTCAGCTTCTGGCAGCTGTATATTCAGGTAGGGAGACAATGCTCCACTATGACGTGTTCAGCTACTGGCAGCTGTATATTCAGGTAGGGAGACAATGCTCCACTTTGATGTATTCAGCTGTATATTCAGGTAGGGAGACAATGCTCCACTATGACGTGTTCAGCTACTGGCAGCTGTAGATACAGGTAGGGAGACATTGCTCCACTATGACGTGTTCAGCTACTGGCAGCTGTATATCCAGGCAGGGAGACAATGCTTACATATCTGTAATTTTCTGTTTTCATATTGATACTTGTGAGTTTACCCTGCCAGGTCATTGTTTTCCATTGATCTTTGCTGTGGAAAAATTACAATTTTGAATGGCATCAGTGGTAAAGTTGTTATTGTCAGAAAATGTTTTCAGTGCTGCTAGGACATTACAAGTTAAGTGCTGGCAGGCACTCATTGCTTCTAACAGTGCTGCACACAGTTTAGTACAGATCCGGGTTAGAATAGGTCTTCAGCAACCCATGCTTGCAGTAAGAGGCGACTATGCTTGACGTAAGAGGGGACTAACGGGATCGGGTGGTCAGGCTGACTGACATGGTTGATACATGTCATCGTATCCCAATTGTGTGGATCAATGTTCAGGATATCAATCACTGGATTATCTGTTCCAGACTCAATTATGTACAGACCACCGTCATATAGATGGAATATTGCTGAGTGTGGCGTTAAACATGAAACAAACAAACAAAACATTTTAATACAGCACTCTGAAATTGAAGTATTTTTCTATTCATTTCCATAGGTCTTCTTTGGTGTGTATGTTGTGAGGTCAGAGGTTACGGAGGACACAGCTCACATGCAGGCTGCATTCCTACAGACCCCTGGCAGAAGTGGCACACTTGGTAAGAGCAATGGTGTGGTTCAGGGGAGATAATTCATTCAACTGAATGTATCAATAGATTTTGTGTAACCATAGGTGCTTGTTTTTTCTTGAAATGTACTACTTCTAATTCAGTTGTAATTGTTAAAAAAATTCTGACCTTGCCCCAGACATTGCAGCTGTTGAAAATAGCCTCTTACTGATTGGATAGATGAGTTCCACAATTGAATTCAAGCAGGCCTTTGCTTGACTGCAACATGTGGGGTGATCTAGATTAATTTGGTAAGGCTAAAAAAAATAAAAGTCTTGGTTCTCAGGCACTGCCCACATCATAATAAAGTTCATTGCACGTTTCGTTTTTGTTTCCATTTTCAATTTATTTTGTGCATTGTGTTTTTATTAGGATTTTTATATTTTTTTAAAAATGGAAATTAAAACAAAACGTATGGCAGACTTTATGATGGTGTGGGTGGTGCCTGAGAACCAAGACTACTTTTTTTTTATAGCCTAATAGTGATGGCGAGACACTGCCTTGTTTTTACACCAGGTTGAAGGACAGTATCCTCAGTGAGACTGGAAGTAGCACATCAAATTTGATCTCAAATTGTTCAACTTCAGAGACTAACACGTCCAGAGTGAGGTCTGTCAGTGGACATGCAGGTGTGGGCTGTGTCCATCAGGATCTTTCTCTTCCTGTCTCCCTAGCAGATACTGGGGTCAGCGCTGAAGGGGTCAGTACTGGGGTCAGCTCTGCAGGGGTCAGCCTGATGAGGAGGGACTTTGCTGCTGACCTCCAGACAGAAGAGTACATGGTCCAGATGGTGAGTACCACATCTGGAAACAAAATAATTTATATTTTAAGCCAGATCAATATGGTAACTAGGTTTACAGATTTTTATTCCCAAAATGATCTAAAGGCAGGTAAAACTAAAAATGTCAATGACTAAATTTATTACCGCAGTAATTGTGCCTCTTACCCTATTTTCTTTTGTGTTTGATACATACAATGCATCCACCTGTTTGGGGGTAAATGTTTTCAAAAAGAAGATGCTGTTCTTTCACTTCAGGTGAAGTGTTTTTTAGAACTAGCAGAAAATAAAAGACATAGTGAGATTGTCAATGTAAAAAAATTTTTAGGAAATGTCTTAAAAGCCAGACCTTTAAATTTATGAATATATTTTAAGTTTATATTTCAAACATGTCAATAATGGCCGATGCATCTCATGGTAATCCTGTCGGTTGATGCATATACTCTTTTCAGGCCATTGCAGAAAGTAAGAAAGAAAGCATAACAAACAACCATGGCCACAAAAGGTAACTTCACAAGGCCCAATAGATCCCTTATTGTTAACTTTGCAACCAACCCCCCACCCCTCTCCCAAAATTCCAAATTTCACATTATTTGACATACCCAATACAGTTTATTCTGTAAAAGACCACTTGCCCGAAATACATTCATATAAAAATTGCATCAGCATTATTACAGTATATAACCCTCAAACTATATAATATGTATCACAATTCCTTTGTATTGTTTAATTAAAAACTTTCATTGTAAATAATATCAACCTTTTTTATATTTAATATAATGTATACATGTTTTATGTGGGTGCTTATAAATATTTTAGACAACTAGATAGTTTAAGTCTTCTAACATGTAGGGGTGGTCGGGTAGCCTAGTGGTTAAAGCGTTTGCTCGTCACGCCGAAGACCCGGGTTCGATTCCCGACATGGGTACAATGTGTGAAGCCCATTTCTGGTGTCCCCTGCCGTGATATTGCTGGAATATTGCTAAAAGCGGCGTAAAACCATACTCACTCACTCACTCACTCACTCTATAACATGTAATGAACACCATTGTCCTACTTCGTTAACACACTGCCTTGTGGAGATGATAGGGGAGGAACAGATCCCTTGTAACCTGTGTTTGTTGAAAGGTGAGGTGAAGTGAAATGGGGTTTAACGTCGCGTCCAAGATTATTGCACTTACATTGCGACGTGCATGTACGTGTGTGTGTTTGTGTGGCTGCTTGTACTAGTCCGGACTGATGCCGATTTATAGTGCTAGCTCACTGAGATACCATGCCGAAGTTTAACATGAATACCCCACTCAGACTCAGTATACTGACCCTGAGCCGACCAGTCCTTGTTTTAGACCATTAATGCCGAGCGCCAGACAGGGTAACAACAAGTACCATCTTTAAACGTCTTGGTATGACGCGGTCGGGGATTGAACCCCGGACCTTCCGCTCTCCGGGCGGACGCTCTACCACTAGACCACAGAGGCGGTCGTTTGTTGAAAGAGTTGACTGATAGGGAGGTAGATGTCAGACTTTGCTGTTAGCGTGTTCATGTGCCTCAATAGTTTTAATCATGCTCATGCGTAATCACTGGATTGCCTGGTCCGTACTTGATTATTTCCATGGATAAGCTGGAACACTGCTGACTGCCTCACATGCACCCTCTCATTTGATTCCTCTTTCAGCAATGAACCGAAAATGAAGCTGGTGGCCACAATCAGTCCAATAACTTTGGTTGATTCTCAAGGAACAGATCACCACAGACAGACCACTCAAACTAAAAGTGGAAAAATGAAAAACTCTGCTCTAACCTCTCCAGATGTCATTGAACTTGTTGACTCTCAAGATGAGGATGTTGATGTGCCAAAGAGCAGGGCTGTGTCTCTGCCTGTGTGTGGAGGGTCAGTCTGTGACCCGGTTGTATTGGATGACTCCCAAGAGGATGACCAGATTCCATCAGGACCATGTGCCAACGAAGGGTATCAGAGCTCTTGTGTAGTACTTATAGACTCTCAAGAGGAGAGCCAGCTTCCTGTGTGTGACTTCCTGTCTGAAGACAGAGAGCTCCAGAACAACCCTGACCCATCTCCAGTTTTACAGAAACACTGCAGTCATAGTCCTGATTCTATTACCTTGCCGCCAAAAGGATCAGAGTTTCCTTGTTCCAAAACCTTCACTGATCCATCTTCAGTATTACAGAAAATTAGTCATTGTCATGAGTCTATTAACAACCTGCCTCAAGGATCAGAATCTCTTCCTGATAGTTTCAAGAACCAAACCGAACCATCGCCAGTGCTACAGAAACATTGTTGTCATGATATTGATTGGAGTGATGTGGATTCAATTTCCAACCTGAAAAAAGCATCAACACCTCTTAGTTCCCCAAACAAAACAGACCAATCTTCAGTATCACATCCTGAACTGGATTCAACTAACAGCCAGAATACATTTCCAACAAATACTTCTCCACATGTTCAATCAGCCTCAGACACCAATAAAGAACACGTAACATCCTTCACAGATAATTATCCTGAGCAGAACAAAATAGATCAGACAGATTCATTGTTTAATCTGCCACCAGTATCAACAAAACATTGCAATGCTGTTGCTATCTTGAGTGAAGAAGAACAACTTAAACTTGCCTTGACTTGGAGTCTTCAAGAACAGGATAGAGATTCTCAAAATGTTAGCATTACCTGCATGAAACAACACTCCAATATGAATGCCAACAAAGTGTTGACAAGGCAGTCAGACCACACTATTGACCAGAGAAGTGTACTCCACAAGACTCCAACAAAGAGACGGAATGCCTCAGGTCATGGATCACCAGAATCAAAGATCCCACGATTTGACCTGGGTGAGAGATGTGATAATGCCCCAGGTCTTGTACAGAGTACGAACAGTTCTGTGGGCAAGACATTTTCAGACACGGTATCGCATAGATCTATCAACAGTGATGCTGCTTCCACCCAAGGTCAAACTGACGGTGCAGCCAACATCAGCGATGCTCCTGATGTCCTTGGGATTGAAAATGAAGGAGAGACTTCGAAAGATGCGGAACTTGCAAGACGTCTTCAGCAAGAGTTTGATGATGAATACAGCAAATCAAAAGTTGGAAATAATGAAACTCCTAGACGTTTGAGAAGCAAGCTGGGATCTGAACCACACCCAAAGAAGCTTGTGCCATGTGTTTCTGATCAGCGTGTTGGGGCAAAAGGATTGAAACACATAAAAGTATCTTCTGAGACTAGTGCCACATCATTTACTGTCAGTTCAGAGGAACAGCTGCTTAATGGAAGAAGTGAAGGAAAGGATGTGGCCTTGTCTTCACTGCCAGGTAAACAAGAGGTTGAGGAGCCATCAAGGTTGTCTAGTTTAGGTCCTTCAGGAGATGATGTGGTTTCTGAGACTGTATCAAGTGCATCAGATAGTGCTGTGAGGTGTTCTACTTCAGTCCCACCAACCAGTGCTAACACTAGTGGAACATATGACACTGACATGTGCAATGATTCAAATGATCATATGCCTGACAAAGTGGAATCTAGTCAAATCATTAATGAAGACAATCCTAGATCTGACAGTTTTAGAGAAGACATTGGACTTTTGTCAGAATCAGGTGTTTCATTTGGTAGTGATGTTGATGAAAATTCTTCTGTAAATTTTAAAGATTCTGAAAGTTTTCTTCATGCTGAAGGCAACAGCAGGACTGTTGCAAGCCATGTTGATTCTGAAACTAGGAATCTCATTGGCCATGAGACATCTTCTGTATCCACCGAGAAAATCGTTTCTACAGATAAGGATGCAATATTTTCAGGAGAGATGGAAATGCAGGAATGCACTGAGACTACAGAAAGTGTCAGTCAGGATATTGTTAAGCCAAGTGTCGAAGACATGGCTCACACAGAGAGTTCAGACTCAGAGGTCATGGAGACTTCTGATCAGTGTGAGGGTCATGAAGAAAAGAACATGTCTGACTACAGTGGTAAATGTGTGGTACCTGGCGATGAAGGTTCGAGGGGTACATATAGTGCTCAATTAGTTGAAGATTATGGTGAATGTGCATCAAGTGAGATTTCTCAGTCAATGCTGTCACATCTCCCCAAGGACCCCACTTATACTCACAAGGCTATATCTGTCACTCACAGTGAGGCAAAGTCACTTACTCACCAAGTTCATGGTGCTCACAAATTTCCAGATAATGAGATCAGGACCGAAAGAACTCCAATGAAAACATCATTGGATGGGGTTAAGACTGAAGCGATGACAGATGAGGAATTTGCCAGGCAGCTGCAGGAACAGTTTGACAAGGAAAGTGGGATAAAGCGGGTCCCAACAGCCGAGGCAATGTCACTGAGACGCAAAAGATTGGGTGACACCAAGGGTGTTGGTTGGCCTCTAGATTGCAAGGTACCTAAAGCTGCTTCTGGCAGTTGTACAAGTTCTGATAAGGAGGAAATGGCAAATAGAGAGCTAAGTGCTTACGTTAGAACCCCCAGCTCACATGTTAGTGCTCACACTTCAAATTGTGATTCACACAGTTTAAATCCCAGTGCTCAGACTTTCATTTCCAGTGCTTCCAGATCCAATTTCACTGCTCATATCTCAAATCTTAATTCTCATGATGTTCGTGCATCACAAAACAATATCACCAAAGCCAAAACTTCAAGGAAAGCTCTGTTTGACCATCATCAGCCTTCAGCAGGGGTGGTCCCAGGACATGACTCCTACACTGTTGACACTGATGCTGAGCTGGCCAGGATCCTTCAGGAGGAGGAGCTTCAGAAACATATGCCTGGTGGTAGTGGAGGATCAGCTAGTGTGACTTCAGATGCAGAGTACGCCAGGAGTCTCCTGTATGAAGATCAGAGGACTGTGTCCAGTGTAGAGGATCTGTTTCAGATGAAGCAGGCAAATGTGAATCCATTAGTTCCTGTCCCTGAACGTGTGTGTGACGGTTCTGTGTTTGGTGTTGGATCCAGTGCTGACAGTTGTGAGACAGATGTTAAGTTTGACCGACTTCCAAGGAAACCCATTGGAAGAAATAGAACTGAAAAATCTATTGCTAATCAGGTAAGTGATTTGAAAACAAACGTTTTACCTTACCTGACGCTACACAGTGCTATAGGTGTATCGTCAGGTAAGTAAGTATAAAAACATTGCATTTAATCAGAAATGCTCATGTTTTACCTTACCTGACGCTACATCTATAGCACTATGTAGCATAAGGTGAGTATAAAAACATTGTATTTAATCAGACATGCTCATGTTTTACCTTACCTGACGCTACACCTATAGCACTGTGTAGCATCAGGTAAGTATAAAAACATTGCATTTAATCAGAAATGGTAATTTTAAACTATTTATAGATAGAAGTGGGCATGACTTTTCATGGGATGCAAACGTGTGGATATGGCAGAATTCTATCCGACATGGCACCTAACCTTTTCAGAAGGGTTAGCCATACTTGGGTATTTTATTTGAATATTTCAAATGCAATATGACATATCGAAGATCAGCAGTGATCAAAATCACTTTTGTATGCTTTTAGAGGAAGTATTATCTATTCTCTAGCCTGATAAAGCTCATTTCCTTCAATTGCAGATAAATGGACAGTTCTCTTGTTCTTATAGTGCAGTACTACCCATAAACTGAAACATTCCAGTGCTGATTAGTTTCAGAAAAAAATGTACTGTGCATAGATGTGTTCAATCTTTTAGCTGGCGTTATACAGAGAGTTACAGAGACAAAAGTTCTGTGGTGGGGAAGATACAGGCTCACACAGGTCATCCAGATCCACCCCTGGAGTGACACCATCAATCTACAGCAGATCCCCAACAGCATCAATTACACATCTTTCACACCAGGGAACTAGAAGGGTGCCATCTGCCACTGTCACATCACCATGGCAAGACCCTTCTGCCACATCACCATGGCAACCGCCGTCGGCTACCAAAATTTCCGCTACTGCAAGAACACCACCCAAAGCTTGTATAACTCCAGTGCGAAGAGTGTCAGTCACACATCAAAGTAATTTTGTTTTAGTAAATGACATTCATTGTTTCCAGCTTTGGTCTCTGGGTTGCGTATCGGTTTATTTTCTATTTTCTATGTTTTTGGCTGATTGTCATCCAAAATGTCCTAACTTGTCATCCTAAAATTGACAACATCATGAACATGTCATTTGTCACTCACAAAATATGTGAGGTTGGTGAAAGTGGCTGTTGCTATGGTAACTCTCAAATAAGGCCACCGCCTCCGTGGTCTAGTGGTAGAGCGTCCGCCCGGAGAGCGGAAGGTCAAGAGTTCGATCCCCGGCCGTGTCATACCAAAAGACGTTAAAAGATGGTACTTGTTGCTACCCTTTCTGGCGCTCGGCAAACTGCGGCATGGTATTTCAGTGGGCTAGCACTATACATCGGCATCAGTCCGGACTAGTACAAGCAGCCACACACACACACACACGTGCATGCACTTCACTACATAAGTGCAATAATCTTGGAAGCGATGTTAAACCCAATATCACCTCACCTCACCTCACCTCAAATAAGGCAATTAGAATCTACCGAATCATTTAGTCAAACTTTATTCATTCCACAGTAATCAACTGCTGAGCTGGGTTTGGTGCTGACAAACTTTGAAACATGATCATAGCTAACCAGGATTCAAACCCACGATCATAGGCTTCTGTCACTCTTAAGGCATTGGCATACTAGAAGGCAAGGGAATTAACTGACTATTAAAGTCCAGTTTACACCCTTGCCAAACGTGGCTGGAATCTCCAGGCTCTATCGCAGGGCCACCAGTGGCTATTACGAGTTATGTCCCTTCTCTGTCCCTCCTATTGACCAATCAGATTCCACCTCTTATATCACTTGCATTTGCTTCAAACAAAATGGCGGTGCCCAGTCAAGACAATCGGATCGACAATCAAGATCTGTATTGTTATAATACAGTCTTACCCCGCAAAGTGCAGCAAATCACTTGAGTATGCTTACGAAGTGGATGTCTTGTTCCTAACACAATTTTGATCTGACTCCACACATTCGTTGGTCCAGCCAAAATGTAACTCCGGGATTCCAGCCTAGTTCGGCAAGGGTGGAAACTGGACTTTTATAGTCAGGTAACGCCCTTGTCTCAGGAAGATGATCAGAAGCTTAACGAATTCACCATTTTTCATGAAAACCACTGCATTAAGTCATTTCTATTTTAAGAATATGTACCTCACAATCATATTACATACTCTCAATGCAGACCAGAAAACGACAATGAATGATGTACTCTTTTTTCTCCAATTTGTAGCCTCATCAACGTTCAAGAGCTTAGGTGACAAAACAAGTGACAGTTTGTCCCCATCAGATGTTGTTCCTGGGTTGAAGACTGAAGATGGCAATGATGTCATTGACAGTAAGGAAACAAAAATGATTAAAATGCAACATGGTGACATCAAATGCTTACTCAAAATATGTCTTCTGTCAGGAAACAGCATGTGCCACCAGTCTACATGAGCTATGACCTCCGGGGGGCACGGGTGGCCCAGTCGTCTAAGGAGCCGCGATTTACTGTGCAGAGTTGCGTCCCTTGGGCACGCCAGAAAGCTATGATTGTGGGTTCGAATCCCGGTTCGCCCCGATTATGTTACTAGGTTTGTCAGCACCATACCCGTGCTCGTTGGTTTCACCGAAGTGGTAAATGTCTGAGACCTGCATCACTTCGGCTTTCCTCCCACATTAAGCTGACACGCCGCGATATAACTGGAATACTTTTAAAAGCGGCGTTAAACCAGACTCACTCACTCACTCACTATGACCTCAGAAAACATTGTCTTTTGGTAGTAAAATATGGATTGCAATTTCATTTCTTGTCATGCTTGACAACATGTTGGCTTGTACTCACACTCTTCAGATTGAAGTATTGTCAAGCATAGTAAGCAATGGAAGGACTGTGTATTGAAATTGTGAAGTGATAACAATTTATGGTGTCCTAAATTACACCTGAAAGAAATCAGATCCTTTTATGACCTTAATGTTAAAAGTTGTACAATATTCTCAAAATAATAATAGTCTTGGTTCTCATGCACTGCCTGCATCATCAAAAGTCTGTCGCACGTTTCGTTTTATTTCCATTTTCCCCAAAAATCCATAACAATCCTAATACTTTAAAACAATGCGAACCAATATAGCATGCAGTTACATCCCTTTACATGTGCACTTCTTCACTGCTCATCTTGGGGCGGTTGAATAGCCTAGTGGTTAAAGCGTTCGCTAGCCACGCCGAAGACCCTGGTTTGATTCCCGACATAGGTACAATATGTGAAGCACATTTTTGTGTCCCCCGCCGTGATATTGCTGGAATATTTCTAAAAGCGGCATAAAACCATGCTCGCTCGCTCACTCACTCACTCACTCACTCACTCACTCATGGTCATGACGGCAAAAGGAGTTATATGCTTGTTTATGTCGGGAGGCCCTTTCACAGGTTGGTGGTACACACTAGTTTGAACAACCCCCCCCCCCCCAAAAAAAAAACAACACTGCCTGCCCGCACTATATTTTGAAAAGTCATTGCCAGAGAACCAATTCTTTTATTTTTTTAAGCCTCATAAAGTAGCAGGACCCAAGCAGCCCCCTTCAACCACTGTTGTATATGTGTAACAGGCATTTGAAGATTTGTTGTACCATGGTTTGTTAATTTGCTCCATGTGGATTGAGTGGTGGACGAGGTTGCAAGTGTGCCATGCTTGAGAATGTTGCTCATGCTTTTGGTCACTTGATAGACTGGTCCAGACTCCAGAGTTTCAGACCACCTTCAGATAGCTGGAATATTGCTTAATGACCAAGTCCCATTGGTTATGTCGAGGCTTACTCAATCATGAGTTGTATTTATTTTCAATCACATTAAGGGTCACGTCAGAACGACCTTTCATCCAACCAATCAGAGCGTCGCTTACCAGATCATGAAAGTCACAGTAGGAATGTGTTTTCTAACCATGCAACCATGAAATATTTAACAGAGGGTATTCTGAACGACAGCTACGGGTTTTATGATTATACCCATACAATCTAGGCCATCTATAAGCCATTCCAGTGTGTTCTTCTTATCAGTTTTAATTTTTTTAATCGAGAATACGTCAAAATATGTTTTGAAGCGTAGTCGCCAGTTTGATAATAGTGTCGTAAAGCTCGAGAAAGCTGCCTTCTGATTGGCTCATGTTGATTTCTTGTCAGTCATTTCATTGGTCGGTCAAAATTCGCGAAAGGTCGTTCTGATGTGACCCGTAATGGGATGTCCTAAGATCTTTGTTTAGCAGAAGCGAAAACTAAGATCTGATTTTAATGAGATTGATTTATTTTTAACTTAGAAGCCTCATCGCCTTACTATTTATGATAAAAAACATTCTGATTACAATCTGATCTTTTACGCAGATACGATACCTCTCTGAGTCAAGATCTGAGGTCCCGTCAAGTGAACACCGAGTCAATATTGACCTCCCAGTCTAAATGAAGGATACATGGGTTCTTCAGCCAATCAGATCACAGCATTCTAAAACGATTTTCTTTCTTTTAATTACCTCCTTTATTCGGAAATGTTGGCCTTACCAACAGAAAACCACCACAGAATATAGATATACACTTGAAAATACATCCTTTGGTTGTAGGTGCCATGGCGCTCAGTAATGACAGGATGTATAGAATATCCAAAATATTCTGAATTTTTTTGCCATTTGAAACCTGTGACCATAATCATTTTTGAGGTACAGAAAAACAGATACGGGGATCTGAAGGCTACGCACACTCGTACTGAAAATTTTTGAAGAATCAATGCTGATTGGCTGATTACACCTGAAGTGACCTCAGATGCAGAGAGGTATTGTCTTGGAGTAAATGATCTGAATTTAAAGAGATTGAATAAATAAGGGACTGAATCAGCTCTGTTCCCAGTGTCTCAACATATCAGTCAGCTTGGATGTTGAATCAGTTACAGAGGCTGGTGATGAGGACAAGCAGACAATGGAAAGTCCGTCCAAGTCACCAGTTGTGAAAAATGTCCGATGTGGGAACTGTAAGCAGCTTGGGCATCCACGGACACACAGTGGTTGTCCCCATTACTACAAACAGTCTGAGGTGGAGCGGAGAGAGGTGGGTGGAGACTGGCAGTGGGAGGCTGGTTTATGGGAGGGGGAAGAGGAATGTTGGATGTTCCTGCTACTTCGGACAGTCTGAGGTGGAGCGGAGAGAGGTTGTGGAGGAGGCCGGTTTATGGGAGGCGGTAGGGCATGGGTGGGTGCCTGTGGAAGTTCCTGCTTCAGACAGTCTGAGGTGGAGACTGGCAGTGGGAGGCCAGTGTTTGGAAGGACATGGGTGGGTGCCTGTGGGAGTTCCTGCTACAGACAGCCTGAGGTGGGGACTGGCAGTGGGAGGCCAGTGTTTGGTAGGACATGGGTGGTGCCTGTGGGAGTTCCTGCTACTTCAGACAGTCTGAGGTGGAGACTGGCAGTGGGAGGCCAGTGTTTGGTAGGGCATGGGTGGTGCCTGTGGGAGTTCCTACTTCAGACTGCCTGAGGTGGGGACTGGCAGTGGGAGGCCAGTGTTTGGTAGGGCATGGGTGGTGCCTGTGGGTGTTCCTGCTACTTCAGACAGTCTGAGGTGGAGACTGGCAGTGGGAGGCCAGTGTTTGGTAGGACATGGGTGGTGCCTGTGGGAGTTCCTGCTACTTCAGACTGCCTGAGGTGGGGACTGGCAGTGGGAGGCCAGTGTTTGGTAGGACATGGGTGGGTGCCTGTGGGAGTTCCTGCTACAGACAGCCTGAGGTGGAGACTGGCAGTGGGAGGCCAGTGTTTGGTAGGGCATGGGTGGTGCCTGTGGGAGTTCCTACTTCAGACTGCCTGAGGTGGGGACTGGCAGTGGGAGGCCAGTGTTTGGTAGGGCATGGGTGGTGCCTGTGGGAGTTCCTGCTACTTCAGACAGTCTGAGGTGGAGACTGACAGTGGGAGGCCAGTGTTTGGTAGGGCATGGGTGGGTGCCTGTGGAAGTTCCTGCTTCAGACAGTCTGAGGTGGAGACTGGCATTGGGAGGCCAGTGTTTGGTAGGGCATGGGTGGTGCCTGTGGGAGCTCCTGCTACAGACAGTCTGTGGTGGAGACTGACAGTGGGAGGCCAGTGTTTGGTAGGGCATGGGTGGGTGCCTGTGGGAGTTCCTGCTACAGACAGTCTGAGGTGGAGACTGGCAGTGGGAGGCCAGTGTTTGGTAGGGCATGGGTGGGTGCCTGTGGGAGTTCCTGCTACTTCAGACAGTCTGAGGTGGAGACTGGCAGTGGGAGGCCAGTGTTTGGTAGGGCATGGGTGGGTGCCTGTGGAAGTTCCTACTTCAGACAGTCTGTGGTGGAGACTGACAGTGGGAGGCCAGTGTTTGGTAGGGCATGGGTTGTGCCTGTGGGAGTTCCTGCTACAGACAGTCTGAGGTGGAGACTGACAGTGGGAGGCCAGTGTTTGGTAGGGCATGGGTGGGTGCCTGTGGGAGTTCCTGCTACAGACAGTCTGAGGTGAAGACTGGCAGTGGGAGGCCAGTGTTTGGTAGGGCATGGGTGGGTGCCTGTGGGAGTTCCTGCTACAGACAGTCTGAGGTGAAGACTGGCAGTGGGAGGCCAGTGTTTGGTAGGGCATGGGTGGGTGCCTGTGGGAGTTCCTGCTACTTCAGACAATCTTGAGCAGAGAGAGTTGAGTGGAGACTGGCAGTGGGAGAGGCCATGGCTTGGTGGGTGCCTAGGAGGTACTGTATGGAGCCCCACTGCTGTCTGTCGGAGATAGAGTCAAGGGAACAGGTTGCAAAGTCAATAATGCCTTGCAGCTTATACTGTTGAATGAATAATAATCTCATCATTGTAAAGTGTTACTGAAGAAATAGTAATGGAAGGTAACATTAGTTTTGTGTCTGCTAGCACATCTTTACCTTGAAGTTTGGTTTGTATTTGTAATGATAATCTGTGATGCTTCTATACCTTTTTGTGTTTGTAAGGTCAACTGGTCATAGATAGTGTAGGACAAATTGATCAGAAAATCATGATGGTCACAACTGGTACAACTATTACAAACATACCGTATTTGATGTAATGAGCGCCCAGGGCCCTCTCAAAATTAGAAATAGGGGGCTCTTATTAGAATATTATTTTGGTGGGAAAAAACAGAGTAGAAAGATAAATTTTCATGGTTTATGCTGACAGTCTGAAATGTTTAAATAAGACAGATATAATTTTCCAGAATTTAATTGCCCATAATTAAGGGTGCATATAACACACAAGTGCGTATTATATGCAAATAAATAAGTCATGTGTACATTGATCAATCGGAAGGGGTGCTAATTGGGATTGTTCACTAGCCAATATATTAGCCAACCGTGGGTGCTTATTATAGCGCAGGCTTATTACGTCGAATACGGTAATGGTTTGCAGGTCAAAAGAATGTATGATACTCCAATTTAGCACAAATGGTGACACTCATTTCTTTGTATCAGACGAAAGCTTCAGAAAATTTGAAGAGAAGGGTTGAAAGAGCTAAAGAAAATGAAGAAGCCCTGGAATTATTGGTGAGCTAAAGAGTCATTCAGAGGATGCAACATTATGCATATTTAAGTATAAACTGTTTTCCACCCCTTCTGTCTGACACTGGTAATGAATCTAGCAAATTGTTTTGTTCAGCAAATTAACACAGCTAACACTGGTCATACATAACAGTATATTAAATATCTCTCTCTCTCTCTCTCTCTCTCTCTCTCTCTCTCTCTCTCTCTATATATATATATATATATATATATATATATTGATGCAGAAAGACTACAATTCATGGCTCTCAAATTGATGTATGATGATGCTAATTTTAAGCTCTTCTGACTGAAAGTCAAGTGAGCTTATTTCATGGCCTGTTTGTCTGTCGCCTGTCATAAACATCTTCTCAGGAACCATTGGACCAATGAAGCAGAAACTTCACATTCTTGTTCCAACTTGACAAACCAATTTGTTCAAGTGGCTCAAATCCGATTTTCAAAATGGCCTCCATGTCGGCCATATTAAAAAAGCTGTTTATTGATATTACTCCATGTTTGTGCAAAATATACTGCATAATAAAATTTGGTACATGAGTAGTTATTAGTGCGGCTCAACACACATTCCAATTTACAAATTTTGACTTGGACCATGCTCCGAAATCCTCTCAAAATGCAAAAATCAAATGCAAAAGTGTCTTCCACTGTAAACATCATCTCCTCAACTTCACATGCTTGTTAATAACTATTATTACATCCCAATTTGTTCAAGAGGTTCAAATCCAATTTCCTACAGCAAATTTTGGCTATCAACTGTTGACTATGTTTCCAGGTGAGCTACAGGGCCAAGGTGCTATTGTTAATAATTTACTTTATTTTAAAGAAATTTTGTTTAAATCTGAGAAAGTATTCTGGATTCAGGGCAAGTGATCATTAACCCCTTTCACTTGCCCAAAATAAAATTAACTTGCCCAAAAATGTAATGATTTCAAAATCTCTCTGGTGCATATGCACTTCACCAAGATACACAGATTGTACACTTGACTGGGTTTAGTAGTGTTACTTTGTCTCAAGGGAAATTGTCCTTAGGACATTAACTTAGGACATAGGTGGGGACAAATCTAGTCATTCTCAGAGGCTATTATTGAACCCCGGGTCATCAGCAAGTACGGTAAAAATTCCCAAATTGGAATTCAAGTTCCCACTTTATCACAGATTATTAATAAGATTACTTCTGCTTTAGTTTACTTGTAGTTCATTGATGAAAAAGTCAAATAAAGAGAAAAGACTTGTTTGCATTATATCATTTTATTCAATATCATAATAGCACTGCATTTAAAAAAGTAAGATTCTTCAACTTTGAGCAAAATGGTTCACAAGAAGTGAACAAATCCTGAAAGTGGTATGCTCCAAGTCCTTGTTTTCAGACAAGGATGGAACAAATCCCGAAAGTGGTAATCTTCAAGTCCTTGTTTTCAGACAAGAAGTGAACAAATCCTGAAAGTGGTAATCTTTGAGTCCTTGTTTTCAGACAAGAAGTGAACAATTCCTGAAAGTGGTAATCTTTGAGTCCTTGTTTTCAGACAAGAAGTGAACAATTCCTGAAAGTGGTAATCTTTGAGTCCTTGTTTTCAGACAAGAAGTGAACAATTCCTGAAAGTGGTAATCTTTGAGTCCTTGTTTTCAGACAAGAAGTGAGCAAATCCTGAAAGAGCGGAAGCAGACCATGCTGGCTCAGATCCGAGCTGAGGCTGAGAAAGTAGAGGAAGAGTTCAGTGACCAGATCCGCCAGCTGAACCAGGTGGTGAAGAGACGGGAGAAGAGGAAGAAGAAGACAACATGATGTATTTGTTGTTCTCCAGACTTTGATGAAGATCATTCTGTTGATCGGAACAATGTACAGGAACTCATTTCACAAAGCGAGTATGTGCGCACTACGATGGTCTGTCATAAGTCTATGTTAAAGTTCAGTCTAACACCTCTGTGTCGAAGTTGAAGGGACCTACATAAGTACTTCGAGTTATCCAAGGTTCGACATTACCGAAAAATAACTTGACATGAAGAATGAATAAATCGAAACGTGCGACAAACAAACAACGACAAAATGAAAAAAATTACCAACAATACTTATGTTATTCATCATTATTGGCAATAATGGCATAGTAATTGAATCAAAGCTCACATTCACCATCTGCATCACGAGCTTATATGAAACTTAACACATGATTAAACGAAATAGGAATCATTTCTGAGTAAACAGTCAAATGTCGGACGAATATTAGTCTAGATCGATTTGACTGTTAATTTACGTTTTTTTAGGTGAAGGAACATCTGATCCAGTTATCCTCCTGATAACACCAGGCCCTTCACAAGATTCATCAATGATGTTGCTAACCGTATTGATTGATTTTGGTATCTATCCGTCATTTTATAACACTAGTGAAACAAAAAGACTATCAACGCAAATCCTTATTCGTGACACATTCCATAATTTGTAGTCACAAGATAAACATGTGACAATCACATGACTCCATTCACTCCTGTGTGTGGTGTTGATCAAATGACCTGTTAATCCCTGGTAGACTCATCAAGTAAACGTTCCTTTTGAGTAAGGAGTCACTGTGTGTGACTAAGAAGACAATAGGCCTTTGACAATGCAGTGGAGATTTCTGGCTTATCAGAGTAAATTTGTGCTGGGCCTGAAAAATAACAACAGTAACTTCCACACATTCAATTCGACAAATGAGAGGTTAAATAATGATGAACAAAGAAGGAATACACAGAGACCAAGCTTTTCCTTAGGGACAACCCAACCCAACAACCTTTGATTTATCAAAGTTTGACACAAGAGTGTTTGACTGTATATGATTGCTTTGTGAAGTGGGCCCCTAGACTCTTTAGATATTGTTGTTTTACCTTTCATGCTTGGAATAACTTGGGTCAGTCATCTTATGAGCCGCAATTTGCTCTGCGGAGTAACATCCCTTGGGCACGCCCGATTATGTTTGTAGGTTTGTCAGCACCATACCCGTCCTCTGGGTTTTTACCACAGTGGTAAACTTGTGAGACCTACATCACTTGGGGCTTTGTTCCCACATGAAGCTGACACGCCATGATGTAACTGAATTACTGTTCAAAGCAGCATTAAACCCAGCTCTCACACTCAGGAATGACGAAGGGAACTGTCGTGAGAGTAGTAATGTGACAGCATGTTAGTGAATATCAAGCTGATGAACAGAGATAGTCTTTTGACCAGTAGAACCATCCACCTTCTGTTGACCTCTTTGAAGACAAATTATATGAAACCTGTCACAGGTTTCAGAGCTCCAGATAAGCTTTTGGCATCGTGGGTATTTTATCCATGCATTTTAAAATAATTGGGTATCCGTCATTCTATCTGGGTATTCAAATTTCTGTTACCCACTAGTTTTTACACATGTGGGTATTTAAGTTAAATATTTAAAAACACTATATATCTAGTCCCTGCAAACTGGTGTCTTGTGGGTTCAAGAGCTTTATACTCAAAACTACCACGATACTTCCACAAGAAAGTGTTATGGCAAATGATCATGATGTAACTGTCATCTTGGAGTTTGGCAAGGTTGACAGGACGCCCGTTTATAATTTCAAAATAAGTTGCTGATTTGCTAATCGAATACGCAGGGTTACTTCACAATATTTTGATGATACGCACAAGTTTTATTTTTGTAGTGTATCTGTAATGTTCATTGCGTATTTGATATGCTTGGATTTTATTTTACTGCGTATTTCAGCATTTCTGATGCGTATTTTACGCAGATACGCAGCTTATCTGGAGCTCTTGGTTTATTTCTATTATAGTGTTATCAAAGTCTGCATGTGAGTTATGGTGGGCCTAAGTTTCAAGTCCCCTTGTATTGGATTTGGGCTAATTTAGACTAAGGATGCCTGGTGACTGGTCACTGTGGCATCTTTAGCCTCCTAAATTACATTCATGGTCACTTTCCAAAATGTGTTTTCCAACATGTGGCCATTTTGACTGGTCCCTGGGTAGGCTCCCTTGGGGCCTCCTCTAAATATGAAAAATGTAGGTCAGTTGAGTGATAAAACCAATTCACTCACACTTATTTGAGTAATTAACATACCTGTAACAGTATTATTGGTGGAATCCTAAAACAGTGGCAAGATCTTATAGTTGTTTGGATTTAGTGTTGTTCTTATTGTTGGTATATCTATCATTATTTTAAGCATTTACAGATCTGTTCCATTGGAATAGAACACCTTTTAAGACACAAAGGACCATTTCATTTTCGAGGGGGAGAAGGGTGCTGGGATTTTATAAAAAAAAAAAAAATAATTGCTTGAAATAATAAAAGAATTACAAGATTGCTGCAAGATGATTTAAACAAAAGCATTAAGGCTAATAGTTTCAATTAAAAAAATATGTGGGTTCTATTTTGCATGTTTAGCTGAAAATATATGCAGTCTTACAGTCTCCATACAAAATCCCAGTTGCCCCCCACCCCGCAGAAACATTATTTTTATTTGTTTTCATCGTCCAGTAGAAATGATCAAGGGGGTAAATTCTTCATAGTGTAAATCATTCATTACCAATTTATTTTCTTGGAGCTCTTGGGCTGACTTTGTTAATAAAAGCAATGTTTGATTTCAGTTCTTGACTTTTGCATTCATTGATGTATGTGTGGGAGTGGAAAGATGCCACTTTTGAGACAATCCATGCATATCATGGTGGTGAGTATTTAGAATGTGATGTAAGCAACTTTGTGCTGACCCACCCATGATCACAAGGCCAATCTGGGGTTGGACATCAGCAGCACTTGGGAGTACTTCTCTGAACTGCAAGTTACAGTGCGCCATCAGTCTGTGCTCAGTACTTGGACAATGTAAACTTGTATTTGGAATTGACTGTCTCCGTGGTCTCGTGGTAGAGCGTCCGCCCGGAGAGCAGATGTCATGGGTTTGATCCCTGGTCGCTTCATACCAAAAGACGTTAAAAGATGGTACTTGTTGTTACCCAGTCTGGCGCTCGGCATGAAGGACCTATAAACAAGGACTGGTCGGCTCGGAGTCAGTATACTGTATCTGAGTGGGGTTTTCATGTTATACTGCGGCATGGTATCTCAGTGGGCTAGCACTATAAATCGGCTTCAGCATGGACTAGTACAAGGAGCCACACACACTCATGCATGTTGCTTTATAAGTGCAATCACCATCACCTGTCCTGTATCTGGAATTCATTTCAGTAGATGTTAGTATACATATTAAAATAGTAACAGCTTCATGAAAAGTTGTGTCCATGTTATATAGAAAATAACAATATTTGTTCATTCGTGTGATCAATGTTTTTATCATAACAAATTCATTGACAAAACCCATACCTGGTAACAGGAGACAGAGCGACGCACGTTAAAGGGGTGGTGTAACAACTCAGTTAACAATGTCAATATTGGGAATGACCACCATTTGCGTTGACACAGGCGAGGCAGCAGTGGTGCATTGAAGACACCTGTTGCATTACCGGCTGGTTCTGGTCCTATTGTAGACGTCATTTCATCTCATCCCAGATGTGTTCTATGGAGGAGGGGTCAGGAAAAATAGCTGGCCATGGCATTACAGCAATGATGTGCTGCCTCACACAATTTTGTTACAACATCTCCAAGTGTGGGCAGGCATTGTCCTGCTGAAACGTGATTTGCACCCAGCATTTGCACAAAGGATAGAACATGATATTGAACAATGTCGTCCTGGTATCATACACCATTCAAATTACCATCAACAATGATGACTTATGTGCTTCTTTCAACAGCATGTATCAATCAACCATAGGTGCTTGATTTTTCTTGAAATGTACCATTTCTAATTCAGCTGTAATTGTTAAAAATTCTAACCTTGCCGGACATAGCAGCTGTTGAAAATAGTCTCTTACTGATTGGATAGATGAGTTCCACATTTGAATTCAAACAGGCCTTTGCTTGACTGCAACATGTGGGGTGATCTAGTTAAATTTGGCTGGCGGGCACTCACTCCTTCCAAAAGTACTGCACACAGTTTAGTACAGATCCTGGTTAGAATAGGTCTTCAGCAACCAATGTTTGTTGTAAAAGAGGGGACTAATGGGATCAGGTAGTCAGGCTATCTGACTTGGTTGATGCATGTCATTGTATCCTAAATTCGTAGATCGATGCTCATGATGACAATCACTGGATTGTCTGGTCCATGTTGTGTGGCGTTAAACAACAAACAAACAGACATTTGATCCACCCCTTACACATACAGAAAAAGGCATGAAATCAGATAGTTAACTGATTGTGGCAGATATCTTCCAGGTCGCTATATAAAAAGAGCATACACAGAGATGTACACAGTAATATATGGAGAATGGAGAATTACTCATATTCAAGATATATTAGATTGGTTCGATGCATAAACAAACATACTGGTATGTTGTGTGAACCAACGCATCACATGTGACATCACAGATCAATGACTTGAGATGCACACTTTGTCTTGTGCAGGATTAGTGTAAATATTGGAAATCATGGGCAGGGGCGGTATTTACAAAGCTTCTTAGAATTCTTAAATCCACAAAGAAATCTTAGTTTCCCTAACAACCAACTTAAGTTTTAAGTAATTTCTTAAGTCATATTCACAGAGCTTCTCAGTGCTTAGTTCTTTGCAGGCTGCCATAGGTATTGTACAAACCACCGCTAGCAAGATGTACTGCAAATATATTCTGAAAAAGAACTAATCAGAAGATACAGGTTAAACAAAAGTGGTATTGAATATGTGACTGGGTTAATTACTGATAAAATATGTCCTAGCACCTCTCGTTTTCATGCCATGACAGGAACTGAAAAGGTTGTAGCAATGCTACATTATTTTGCTACAGACAAAATGCAATTATGCAACGGGGATCACTTGGGTCTTTCCCAATCGTTGGTCAGTCGAGCGATAGAGCAGACAGTGTCAGCTATGTCTGACGCCGATATAGCATCCCAGTTTATTCATTTTCCGACAACGCAATGCGTTTTACAACATCGCTCACTTCCCTGGCATTGTTGGAGTGATTGATGGACCCCTTTCGTGCTTACTGGCGTTCTTTATTGAAAACATCCTTTCGTGCTCACTGACGTTCTTTATTGAAAAAGTCCTTTCGTGCTTACTGACGTTCTTTATTGAAAACGTCCTTTCGTGCTCACTGACGTTCTTTATTGAAAAAGTCCTTTCGTGCTCACTGACGTTCTTTCGTACACATTGTTCTTTCATTTCTGATGACGTCTTTTCGTAACATTTGACTATTAATATTGCGTACTTTTGACATCTATTTCAACTTCGTCTGTTTGTTTTGTATTTTGACCTTTAGTAGTAACATTTAGTTCTTTATTCGTAATAACTGACCTTTATTGCGTACATTTGTCCTTTTTTTCAACTTTGTATTTTTCGACCGAATGGCCGCCCATAGGATCCCATGTGCAGATTATTGCACCATCTGTCGACGAACCCTCATATGTAAATCGTAAACAGTACCACAGTATTAACACACAGCTTGTATTTGATCCAAACAACATGATAATTGACCTTGTTGCGAAGTGGCCAGGCTCCACACACGACTCGAGAATACTCACCGAAAGCGGACTTCATATTCTATTTGAACGACACATCGTGCCAACCGGATGTCACCTACTTGGAGATAGTGGCTACCCCTGCAGAAACTGGCTGCTTACTCCGTACCTGAGACCAAATCCTGGCTCACAAACATCCTACAATCGGTAATATTCTCCTACAATCGTGAACACGCAATCATGAGAGTTATCCCCCTTCAAAATTATTAAGGCATTTAAAATCATTACATGTTGTGGAATTCTGCATAACATCTGCAAGATAAGGAATATCCCATTACCTGACAGTGAGTCCAATGTTCCGGATGACGACAGCCCCCTACGGAGAGAGAGATATTCCTGGACACAACTTGACCTTCCGGAATCACTTTGCAAACACTCACTTTCAGCAGAGACCATATAATCTATTATATGGTCTCTGCTTTCAGTGTGAGTGATAATTCTTCTTTTAATTGAGTAAAACCACTATTTAATTAATTATATTCAACAACAAAATATTTCATTTAAAAAAAACAGTTTATTTTAACAAATAAGAGTAATATATAAGAATCAGTTGAGATTCCCTTTTTTCAAAAATAATTCACAAACAATTTATTACAACTGATTAATGAAATTAATATTGTTACTATATAATTTTCTTCTTAAGACTTAAACATTCAGTTTCAAGTTTAAGTTCTTTGTAGAGTAGCTCATCATAACTTTCCCCCAACAGGAATGTTTGTCTCGAGGACTTTGGCTCCTGGACAGTGCTCCATCCTGCTGGTCTCTTCATGGATCCCTTTGCTGAGGAGGCGGTATCTGGCACTGATGGTTCCGGCTGAGGAGGCGGTATCTGGCACTGATGGTTCAGGCTGAGAAGGCACAGACACTGTTGATGCAGTAGGGACAGCTCCTCCCATGGCCTGGAGTGTCTGCAAGTCGAGTGCTGCCATGTCACTGTATTCACTGTATATAAATGGACAGAAAATATTTTAGTCATTGTTATTTTTGAGTATCTATGTATCTGATTAGGGTAAAAATATGAGGGAATATCTTCAGTCTCAAACAAATGGAGTCATCACTGATTTTAAGTGATCCCTTCAAATACTTTTCACCACAATCTTGCACTTTGCAGGATTTGTTTAGGGGGATAATCAAGATTGGTTCTTCTCTGTCACTGATGTGTTATATAATTTAATATGGATGCTTTTATAGTTATGTGTATGACCAATTATACACAGGAGGTACTTTGCTAACATAATAGTTTTTCATAGCAAATCATTTCAGTAGAGTTAGGCAATATGAATGATTATACTCAATACAAGGGCAAGGGAATACATCAGTAGAATTACCTTGCATTAACTGTGTCAGAAAGGCTGACCACCTGTAGGAGGGATGTGTCCATAGCTGATGGTATTCCAGATATGGATACATTATTCTGCCCCAGAATATACCACACTACCTCTGATGTGGCAGTCAAAGTAGGGCATGGTGATGGATCACCATCTGTCGAAGTAAAAAATTATTGTTACTTACATTAAAAAAATTGAGAAAGTTTTATTCCGAATCAAAGTGTTAAATAATAGAACAACCTTACAATTTGTTTCAAATTTAGGAATCTTTATAAATATGCACATTCATCATGACTAACCTAAGAATTGTATACATATGTAAATTCAAACTTTTAAACTTTTTAAGAATTGATTATACACTGGTGAGTGAGTTAGACGACTGGGCCATCCGTGCCCCCAAGTGAGTGAGTCGTGGGTATGAGTGAGTATGGTTTTACGCCGCTTTTAGCAATATTCCAGCAATATCACGGCGGGGGACACCAGAAATGGGCTTCACACATTGTACCCATGTCGGGAATCGAACCCGGGTCTTCGGCGTGACAAGCGAACGCTTTAACCACTAGACTACCCAACCGCCCGATTATACACTGAATGGGACACCAAAATGTACTTAATGACACCAAATATAATTATTTTTACTTGAAAACTAGCTTAGACAATAATTGTATCACATTAAGATTTCATGTATCTCAGATCTGGTGATTTATGCACTGTAAAACTACTATTACAGTTCAGTGTTGCAAAATGTGAACTACAATAATTACCTGTGCTGATAACACCTTGCTTGCACCGTGCAATTTCTCCCCTGGCTTTACTTTGGATGTTATGCCATTTCTTTTCCACCTCCTCTGGGGCTCTGATGCATCCTATGATTTACATAAAAATATTCAATTCTCAACTGTGTATTGTAAATTTCAGAAATAAACGAATAGGTACTGGATGTGGCACTGTAATATAACTGAAAACCTGTACAAAAACATTTATTTTTTCTTTCCCTGAACATAAATTTATGTATACGTAATACAATAAAATCTAGTTTTATCCAAAAAAATCCTTCCGATTTTAAGTGCGTTGCTGCTGTGAAAATTTGCCAAAATACTAAAATCTGGAATAACAATAGAATTTTGAACAGTATTTGAATCTTAAATATATTTCAATACCAAAAAGTGGCACAAACCATCTTTTTGGTCTGCCGTACCTGTAAATGCTAAGAAGTTTTGTGAATACCGCCCCAGCATATCATGAAAAGAATAAGTCTAGATCTAGATATGTGGACAGTACTCAGGAGTCCAGTCTCTTATAGGGACAGCTTGGTTGAAACTAATAATTGTTACCTTATGACTTATGCAAGTCTATGCCGGAGTGTGACAGAGAGTTACTCGCCTTCATTCCGTGCGGCTACGTGCCGTTTTGCATGGTGCCATCGTCTCTGGCCTAGATCCGCTCTTGGCACGTCCGATAAAGGAGCGTTTGTTTATATTTTCTATGACCTGTTGTAGCGTGACATCAGCTCACGCAGCACTTGCTCTCCAGCTTTCAGCCGTACAACACATAGTTATATTCGCGCATCCATCTATAGTTCGTTGCACCCACCCTGTTATCCTTAATTCCAAGTTATTCAAGCTTTGCAGTTGTCAATTGGTGGAATTTTACTGGAGCATAATGTTTGTATATAATGATGTTGTCATGAATAAAATGTTGCGGATGGGCGGGGTGCTGGTGGACTGCATTACAAGTTACATTTGGCGTCTTGGGATACATCCCAAATTATAAATTATTTAGGATAGGGTTACCCGCTTTACAGCAGGAACCAATTTATCCATTCTGCTTTACAGCAGATGGCTTAGTGTCCGCTTTACAGCGGATGGTCAGCTTGGCAACAATAGTTGCCCTCGCTCATGGTTTGGCAATGGTACTTGCCTGGCAGCGATAGCTGCATAGCAACATGGGGGGTTGCTTGGCAACGGTAGTTGCAGGGCAGCGGGCGCTGCATTGTTAAGCAACATGGGTTGCTTGGCAACGGTAGTTGCAGGGCAGCAGGCGCTGCATTGGTAAGCAACATGGGTTGCTTGGCAACGGTTGCTGCAGTTGGGGTTGCTTAACATGGGTTAAGCTCATTGCCGTAGTCCACCAGTACCTCCACATCCGCGACCATTTCATCCAATGATATCTCTTGTCTTAATTTGAAGCTCCGCTATCATGCATGATGGCGGAGCCTGTCATAATGGAGCCATGTCCTTATATAATAAGCCGTAGGCTGTGCTCCGCCTCCACTCTCCTACCCAGCGTTCCATGCGGCCGGCAGCCAGCTGGCATAGTACCTCTGCCACAGGCCAGCGCCATGTGACGATTCGTCACATCATTCACAGTCCATTCAAGATATTGCATATGCTTTTCATCCGTTTCATGTTTGACAAGTCTACACATTTTCATAAACAAATGTCAAAGAATGGTTAACTTTCATTGAGAAAGTATGCAAATACGTAAAAATCTACTTGTTTTTGCGTAGTTATCCTATGTTTACATTGGTTGTACGGCTCCACGTGCTGTCATCGAAGCCCAACGGAGATCTAGCGACACGGTCACTTTGATGCATAAATAAATATTGTTATGCAACTCACTGTCGCAGTTGTAGTAGCATATCTATAAAGTTATGCAAAACAATATGTAAAGCGCCCCCAAATACTTGCATTAGTCCGTTCTGATTTCTGAAAAAGCGAGTTTGTTTACAAACAAGAGAAAAGTCCGGTCACGTGATATGCAAATTAGCCTGTGGCAGTGGTGTTATGCTGAGTCACAGGAGTCCGTATCTAAAAATAGACGCCCTCGTGCATATTCATGACCATCTCCACACGCGAGCCCGAAGGCGTGTTGAGATGGTCATGAATATGCATGAGGGCGTCTATTTTTGGATACGGACTCCTGTGGCTGAGTCGAACGTTGCGCAGAATATAGTTGTGAATCACTCTCCTACCCAGAGTTCCATGCGGCCTCGGCGCATAGTACTACCTCTGCAACGGTGTGTGGTTGTGAATGGAAGCTCGAGCCCGAACATTCGATTGCTCGGTATGGTATATTTCAATTATTTGTTCGTTGATACAAATGTAATTGTAATACTTGTCTTGTCAAGCGTTATTTACTGACTCAGAGAATCATTTCAGAGCTGTTCTTTTCCTTAGAGTAGTCTGAACACAATTTGGATCTTACTTAGGCCTAGATATCGTAAGATTGCCGTAAATCCAAGATAACCTCACTGAGGCTCACACATGTCGTAAGTTTTTCTTATTCCTATCCATGATGGTTTACAAACAAATAATCTGAAAGTGACATTTTGAATTCTCTTTTCTTGGAGTCTGCGTGTCAAGTAAAGTATATTGAGAATACTACACTCATGCAGGTTAGAGGCCATTAACACGGCAGTCTCTGACGGGTGGGCAGTGATGGTGCCCAGGTATCTATGCTTGTCTACAACTTCTATTACCTCATTATCAATAACAGTTGGATTAAAATATGAGTTATCTTTCCTAAAATCTATGACCATTTACTTTGCTTTCTTGACTTTTAAAAACAGATAACTATCTTCAGACCTATGTAAGACCTGTGAAATCACTACAGTTGTGTAACGATTTCGTCTCACGGAAAAGGGATGGGCAAGTGTGCTTACTGCGCGAAATACTCCAGTCAAAGATGACACAACACAAAAAGACAGTAATAATATTGTATTGTTGTGTGAGACGATCTCTACTTCCGTCGGAGACATTCGGTTTCCCTCGGAAGTGTTCGGGCAGCCGAGGCCGAGGTGCACGTGGCCGAGCGCTGCCGGAAAAGGGATCGTCTGCAACGAAGCTTCGAGAAAGGTAAAATCCCTAGTTCTGAGCTAACAGTCGCGGACCGCATTTTAGAATAACACTGCGCAGATCGTGCCGGACGATCACACTATTAATTGGCGAAACCATCAGGGCAGTTAATCACCATATTGTTCGCGGAAGTAAAATCACTACAGTGGCGCTGCGAACAAAAATACGATTTCTGCTTTTGAACGGGCCGCCATTTTGATTGTTTTGACCGTTGCCGATCTGAAGTGAAAATTTTGTCGTACGATTGGAAGATATTTTCCATTTTTTGTACGGCAAATATTGTAATTATTGATGCTATATGTTATTATATGTATGTCTCAAACATTTTTCATTCATGTGCCACGCGAATTAACGTGTTTGGCAGATTTTGAGAAATTTTGACAGTCTGTTGCGAGCGTCAACAAAACCGGCGAAACCGCATTATCAGTGGTTCATATTGGGAAAGGGAGGTCACTCTAATTTCAAACGGGAGCTATCTCCGTTGTTTTCGTATTTGCGAGAAATGGCGTCACCCACGCTGCACGTTGTTGGTCCAGCTATTAAATGCCCAGCTTATTAAAACGTAAGGTAATTAAATGTTTGAATGCATTATATATTTATGTTTCCATCAGTACATCTTCTAAGATTGGTTTAGTGGTGATAACCATTTTCCAAAATGTGGGCCCACATTTTTCCCGTCATCTATGGTGATCGAAACAAGTGGGCCCACATTTGTATTTCGCCTAGCTTCGTTAGGTTGTTTCGTTAGTTCTGATAATCAATCCCTAAATGTTGGCAGACGTTCTTCCGTCATATTGATTGCAACAGGAGGGACCACATTTATTAATCGCGAAATTCTACTTAAATATTGATAATCATTTTCTCAAATGTGGGCCCACATTGTTCCCGTCATATATGGTGATCGAAACAAGTGGGCCCACATTTGTATATCGCCTAGTGGGTAGACGTTCTTCCGTCATAGTGATTGCAAAAGGAGGGACCACATTAAAAAAATCGCTAGCTTCATTAGCTTTGCTTACTTATAACCATTTTCTAAAATGTGGGCCCACATTGTTCCCGTCTTATAGTGATCGAAACAGGTGGGCCCACATTTTTAAATCGCTGGGTTTCTTAAGGTTGACGAAGTCATTTAGGCTATTGGGTTCACGTTTGTCATTATGTGACATTTTATATTATTCATATTTTGTAATATTGATGGGAAATATCTTTATAAATCATTTCGTGTGACATTAATTCCATAAAAGGCACAAAAGTCTTTGAAGTTTGAATAACTGCGTCATAGCTGACCACACTAGTTTTACAAAAATAGCTACCAAGCAAGAAACATAAATCTACTTCAAATTAAAATTACAGAGGCAATACCACTCATTCTACCTTTTCCAGTATAACACATCAATCTAATCATAAGTATTGGTGGCGATATAAGCCTGAACATATGTCTACACTTGAATTGATCTCGGACATGATACAAGCCTCAGACGTTTCCGAGAACTTGTTCCATAAAAGGAATAACTCATGAATATTAATAACCCCACGACCTAGTTTGGCGATGTTCGTAGAAGTGAGTTCTGCTGTATTGCCATCTTATTTGTACATTTTAATCCAATTATATTTTAAATAGACAAATTATGAGTTCGTTATGCGGGTTTGTTTACGTAGTATATATTCTCAACAACAAGTGCGTTTAGTTTCGAATGTGGGCCCACCTCGAACATTCGATTAGGCAAACGGAGTTAGCTCCCTTCTCGAACCACCGATAATGCGGTTTCGCCACAAAACCTCTGACCTCGTGACCTTTAACCTCGTCCGTGATACTTTGCATACGAGCGATTGTTTGTATGTATATGTATTTTCTGAACGAAATTTTTGTGTGAGATTGATTTATTACCACTTTTGGTCCACCGTGATACCTATTCATCGTGGATTAATCGTATAATAAAATTGAAATCTGTTGAATATTCTGTGGTGACAAGACAACACAGGAATCGTCAATATTGTCGAGATTGGGATCACACACTCGCTGAGTTTTGCGATAATTTTTGCAAAATACAATATTGCTCAACAATTTGAAGTTTGGATCCCACACCTGCTGTGTGTTGCGATAGATTTTGATAAAAACATCTTGTTCATAAAGTGAATTAGGACTTCAAAATTAAATCAAACCATGGCAGAAGACAAAATTTACATTAACTTTTGTGAAATTCAAGATTTGGTCACAGTGCCTGGCATCGGCCGTTCCACAGCAAAATTAACAATGGCACACATTGAGAATAATGGGGAAATCACCAAGGAGGAATTTCTAAATTTAAAAATTCATAAAGTCACCTCCTTGGCTGACTATTTTGATTTCTCTGCACCTGGAAGCCCTGAAATTGGAAGCCCTACAATGGATAGCCAGCCTCTGGCTCAAAGCCTTCTACAACCAGGTATATCAAGTTCAGCCAACATGGGGCCAAATTCTGCGGTCGGTATGTCATCAGGGTATGGGGGTTTAGGGGGTTTAATGACCCCAGTACATCAACCACCACCTGCTGGCGGTGTTGCGAGCACTCTTGCAACACCCACTCATATACCACCACCTGTTGGCAGTGTTGCGAGCACTCTTGCAACACCCGATCATATACCACCACTAGTTGCGAGCACTCTTGCAACACCCGATCATATACCACCACTAGTTGCGAGCACTCTTGCAACCAGCATGCCCAACACATATCCGCACATCCTGGCACAGTACTCGCCTTACCAGTACTCACCATACTCACCGCCAGCGTTTGCTCAAGTCGCAGCACTCCGATATGAGGAAGAGTTGCGTCAAAGAGATGCATTAATTCAGTCATTATTGGCAGAACGCCAAGAGCGGACACAACAGGTACCGGTAAGCAGCCGAGTCCAAACCCCAGACCAGAATATCCATGGTGGGGTTCGACCCAACGTGCCAGCACAGGCAACAGCATCTCGGATTCAAGATGACCGATCAAGACAGCAAAATCATTTAATTTCTGTCATTGACAAATATCAGGCCACACATGTTCAAACAATTCCCCAGTCAGGAAGGGTCGAAAACCAACCAGGAAGAGATATACATCCTGGGCAATTTCTCAGTGACCGAGAGTATGGGGCAGGGGATGTCAGACGACGCACTCAGATTATTACCGAGCCTGGTCGCCCAAGTAACAGAGAACCAGAGATTTGCATAGAGCCAGCGCTTGATCATGTTGATGATGACGAATACAGGTTTCCTAACCCAGGAAGGGCCAGACAGCATCAACCAAGGCAGAGCTATGCAAGTCAGGACAGACACAGCCCGGCAATCAAGGTACCTAGGGCCCTGGTCTTTGATGGAAAGAGTCGTTGGTCGGCTTTTTATTTAAAGTTTAGGACTTATGCCAAACGAGAGAACTGGAATTCTGAGGAGTAACGGGACCAGTTATGCTTCTGCATGAAGGACGAAGCAAGTGAATACTTCGCTTCTTGCATTGAGCGAGATCCCGATATCCCATTTGAGGATCTCGTTAAGAAGTTTCAACGGTGGTATGATCGCCAAGAACTTCCAGAAACAGCGCAGGTGAAATTCAACACCATGCGCCAACAACCTGATGAGTCCCTCGAGAAATGGTCGGAACGGCTCATGTCAACAGCAACAATTGCATTTGACAGATTGCCAGAAGACTATGTTGAGCGACAAGTCATCATGAGGTTCTGTCTTGGATGTGAGCAGAAGGAGGCAGGTCAGTATGCAGCCAACCTACATCCCTTTTCTCTTGAGAAAGCAATGGATGCTGTGCGCACATTCCAGCACACCCATCAGGCCATCTATGGTAAGCCGAGACAGATAAGATACCTGGCATCTGATCGAGAAGAGGGTGGAGATTTTCAAGTCAGGGCTGTATCAAGGTCACCAGTAAGCAATTCCAGAACCCCAACCCTGGAAAAGAAAATGGACCAGCTGGAGGCAAGGTTCGACAAGATGGAAACCATGCTATTCAAAGTAATGGGAAGGTTTAGCAATAGGCGTTCTCGTTCCCCTAGTCCCGCAACATCACCTGGTCGCAGCAACAAATGTTACCAGTGTGGCCAAGTGGGACACTTTAAGATAAATTGTCCTCAGAGAAGCCCGTTTAAAGACAAAAGGGTAACATTTCGAGAGGAACAGAGTTCCGGGGAGAAGGAGTTAAACTCCAACGGGGTGGGTCGAAAGGCCTAAGTCCT